CAGGATTCTAAGGTAGGTGAATGGTACTTCTACACACCTTAAGACTGGATCACAGTCCCAAGTCTTACACAGGGAAAATGCTTTTCTGAGAAGACAGATGCAAAGAAATTTATTCTAACCTGTGGCTTTAACCTTGGAAGATAGAAGACAGGAAATATTACCTTGTTGCACCAAAATGTCTCTTTCCCACAAATACAGAAGGGGATAGGGAGGAAGGGGAGAGAGTATACTAGATGTACCTTTAAAGATAAAAAACATTACAATTTAATTGAGTTTGAGTTGAAGTGAAGTGAAACTGTGCGACTTGCTGAATCTCTGTAATTACTTCCTCCAAAGAGGAGAAATTAGTTCTGACAATGTTTTAGGAAATACATTAAGGGTTTAGAGTTGTGGTGGACTTTTCTGGCATTAATGCTTTGGTTTCTGGTAATTGTAAATTCTTTACCCAACAGAGTTTGGGTCATGTATGTCAAGACGAGCAGACCCAGAAATAAGTGTCATAAGAGAAGTTTATACTCATAGATTCCCTAACATAAGAGGCACGGTACCACCCTCAACAACTAGGAAAGGACCAGGGTCAGGCGGGAGGTAGAAGGTAGATGGGAGGCAATCTCAGTCCCTTTTTGGGGTTTTCATGGTACCTGGAGTAAGCTTAGAATCAGATGGTCTGAGTAATTTTAGCAGGAGAGGTGTCTGAGTGTTGGATACGTGATGAGGTAGGGCAAGGATGAGTACTGACTTGGAATGTGAGAGATGGATAAAGAAGGTGGTTGGCTGTATAGGTTCTGGATTGGTTGGTCTGGTTTAGATGTCAAAAGTACACTCAAAGGAGAGGTATCCCCATCTCTTCTGTAATTGGCTAGTCTAGGAGAGGCAGTCTTTCCCAGATTAAAAAGGCTCAAAAGCTGGAGCACTGAGAAAACAAAAAGAGCAGAACATCTCCTTAAGCATTTTCTTTGCCTGCAACTTCTTCCTGCTTTCCTGTCTCTGCCTGTCTAAATTCTGAATTCTTCTTCCTATGTTGTCCAGGTTATAACATTTACAATCCACTCTGCAACCAGTTTTCACAGTTGTCTATCTGTGGACTCAAATAGAAGGTTTCACATTTACCACTAGTTCCTTCTTTGTGGCTGGCCATTCCTAAGCATTTTATTTTGATTTATGTCTTGTTTAGCTGTCCTTCATTATCTAGTGGTTTCCCTGGGAAGCACCAGAGGTATTCTGTGTTCCAAGTTGTAGCATATTTGACAATGTTGTCTTATTTAGAAATAGCCTGCATAGTTATAAAACTCTTGGCTAACTCTTTGTATGCAATGTTGTCATCCCACTGTGTTCAGTGTGGTAGCGAAGTCCAAGTCCAGCTGGTTTCCAGTGTCCAGTGACACATTCCAGTGTCCAGAGACACAGTGTATGTGTCTCTTTTTTTCTGTTATGAACAACATCAGTTGCATTTCTTTATAGACATGCCTTAAAAACAAGAGCATCTTATGTACAGTCAACCTCCAAGTTCATCTCTCCCCTCCACTGAGGACATTTTTTTCCTATTTTGTCTTCGAATATTTATATGACAAAATGGTCAATAGGGCTCAACTTAGGCTCACCTCCTTCCATCTTTCTCTTTACATTCTTATGATCATACCTGTCCTAACCACCTTACTAATTCAAGTAAAACTACTCATTTTTCATTATACTGACTAGTTCTGTTTTTAATTCCTTATTTATTCTGCTCTTGGTCTTTGTTTCCTTAAATAGAAATCCCTGTTCATCTATGTTTGATCTTATATCGTTCTGGTTTCTTATTTTGGTGTTTTTCAGATTCTAATGTCCCCTAAAGTCGAGCATTTACAGTATATATTTTGCATAGGAATGCAGTTTTGCTTCTTTCTGTGTTCCTTGCATCTCCATATCCATGCTGACATCTGCCTCCTGTGTATTTCCATTCTTCTCTCCCTTATACCTTCTGTCTTTCCTTCCTCTTTTAACTCCAGTATTTGCCATGTCATTCATTTTTATTTCAATTCTTTCTGATCTGGCCATTTCTACCTGGGTTTTCCCTCTTCTCTTTATGTGTGGGGAAGGTTAATTTTTATTCACTCCCTTCTGCCTCAGCAGAGCTCTCTTTGTCCTCCTTGGTAGTTTAGTGGTAGTTTAGTTGCAGACTGGGTGCTCATGTAAGCTTCTTTGCTGCCTGGGTGGGAAAAAAGGGGAAGTTCAGACAAAGCTGCGAGCAGCAGCTTTTGTAGGATCAGCTTTCTGCTTCTTTTCCATAACTTTGTTCAGAGTCCAAAACTTGAGTTTATTGTGCCAAACTGGGACATTTCTGTGCCTGCGGCTGGAGATTAGTGGGGTTTGGAACACACTTCGAGGTAGAATTATAGCAAGAGTCTGCACAGATGTTTATTGCTCAGACTTGACCCAACCCTTCCTGGGAGCCACTCACTCTTCTGCCAGGCAAAGGGAGGAAAAGATAGACAAAACCCCAGGACTTTGGCCACTGTGCTGTTTTTCAGAACTAGGACTTGTAGGCATGAGGTAGCTTCAGTTAGAGCGTTCCATACGTTTCCTGCCACTCACTCCATCAGAAGAGCTTGTTTCATTTGTTTATTTTTAATCTTACCTTCTAGTAAACCCCAATATATTGTTCAAGGTAAAAATTCTGATACAATATCAGGCACCCATTCCTCCTTTCCTCTCCCCTCCTTCTTGGCAGGAAAAGCTACATGCCAAGACAGCCAGCAATCTCTCTTTCTCTTTGCAGTGATGGTATGGTTGAGTGTAGAACCTTCTAGAGAAACTTTCTTTCTGACTTCCCTCCACAGGCTGCTACTCACTCTGTCCACTTCCTTTCTTGTTCTATGCTCTTGCATTCTTTGACATTTTCCTCTTACCCAGAACTTACTCTTGAGCCAGCTATTAAGATGCATGCTTGTAATCCCAGCATGCAGAAGGAAGCAAGAGGATCACTACAAGTTCAAGGCTAGCAGGGACTATACAGTGACACTCTTATCTCAAAACAAACAAAAACCCCATTCTTTGAGGGAGGAAGAAAGGGACATTCAAGGTGGGGGGGGGGTATCACATTTATTTCTAGAAAATTCTGTCTTTAGCCATTTTTTTTAAATACTGCCTTTTCCTGTATTGAATATTATTGCATGTAGAGGTGTTTTGTTTTTACTTTTTGGTTGTTAATGTGGTTACATTCAGGAAGATGGTGTTTGGATCTGGTATCCAGTTATGGGATTGCTAGTTTACAAGAGCTGGAAGCCCTGATTAGTTTCTTTTCTCCTTGCTATCTTCATTCCTCTTCCCCCTCCTCATTTTCCCTCAACTTAAAGGATTTTTTTAGATGGAAACCTCTGGTATGTCCTTCACGTGACATTAGATTTGATATGTTTCAGTTACACATGCTGAGTTTCAGGAGCTCCCTGCCTTATTAACTCTCTGCTGAGTGTGGCGGAGGTGCCTAGCTCTCTGCCAAGTGTGGTGGTCCATAAATATAGAATGTGACACCGCTTTGCCACTTGACACGTGAAACTGTCCACGAGCAATAAATGCCAGCAGAAAACTCAAGAGTTGACAGGTAGCTACAGGAGCATCTAGTCTAATGTTATACCCAGAGATGCAGTTCTGACTGTTCTGTCCCTGACAGATGGTCCTTTAGCCTTCATTTGAATAACTGAAATATCAGGGAACCTATAATACCATTATGGTATTGGAAAGGATTGAATTGTTTAAAATTTATTTACTGTGAGCGAAAGTGTGCCTCTTCCTCTCCCTGCTTGGTCTCCATTGGTGTTAGGAATCCCAGCCTTAACTCCATTCAGATAATTGTTACAACTCTGCCTTCAGTCCGGTTCTCTAACCTGGCCTGCAATTCTGGAAAATGGACAAGCAAGTTTGGAACACTGCTAGATCAAAGGTCCCGGGAGACAGTAAAAAATATGAGTAGCCTGCTGCATGTAAATACAGAACACTCACTGTACAGTATAGATCCTGAACTGGCTCAAATGAAAGAAATCTGAGGCTTTTACTTCACTCTAAATGTGCTGTGTGTACACAGTAAGTCACAGCAAGTCTATCCTGCACGTACTTGAAGGTCAATGTCAAGGGCATTGGCCAATGTCCTGTGTTAAACTTGCTAGAGTACATCTGGGTCTCTCAAACAGCAACAAAGCAGAATATATATAGACAAGGATGGTGTCTAGAGACCATGAACCATAGGATTCCCTAAAGGGCAACTGGGAAATGAAGGATAGGTCCAGGAAACGACTGGCTTGCAGAGGCACAAGAGCTGTTCAATCAGAAGAGAGATTTATGGTTTGCTCTCTCTGCTTCCTGGATACAATCCTGAATCATTTCAGGAGGCAGCAAAGGCTGTTTGTTGACTCTGTTGACTAGCAGGCATCCGTATTTCTGAGATCTGTGACAGGGCTGATGACCTTAGCTTTATCCTGGAAAATACCCACTTCTGTTACTATCTAGTGGCAAACCAGATGTTGGTTTCTAGGTAGAAGCTAGAAGATAGTGCTTTTGAATTTATTTGTGGAAGAAATAAAGAGGTCCCTTGAAGAGCCTGCCAAATAGACAGGTTTTCCCCAAACACCATAACCAAAAAACCAACTTCCAGTTGCCAGAAACCAACACAACTAAATGCTGACATGTGATCCTACTTGATATAGTGGAGAGTTATGGGAAGAAAACGACTGGGGCGGATAGATGTTGGTTTGCAATCAGGCTGCACCATTTATTATGCCTGTAATCTCCAGCAAGTTACCAGCTGTATTGAGCCTTCTATTATCCACCTGTAAAAAGACATGACAGAGAAGCAGCTCTTCGGTCACTGTGAGGATAAAGTAACATAGATGACAATTATAACGTCTCTGGCATGTAATGAAGTGTTTCCAAGTGTTAACAGTCTTCCTGGGACCTGAAGCCAGATGCCAGCAGCACTAGTATGATTTCAAATAGGAGGCCTATAAGGAAGCACTCTTATTTTCCAGGGGTCTCTTCTGAACTCACCCCAGCAACAGAGGAAGAAGAGTCAAAGAGCGGTCTGGATGTGATGCCCAACATTTCTGACATATTGCTGCGCAAACTGAGGGTTCACAAGTCACTCACCGGAAGGTAAAATCAGAACATCAGGTTTTGAAGACCTTTCAGAGGCCACCCATGTTAGAGCCTGGGTGGAACACAAAGGAGTATCAGTCTTGGTTCTTATCCCAGAAGGGATCCAGTCCAGTGGTCCAGGCAGGGCTGATGCATCCAAACACAGAGTACAAGCATGGCCATGTTGGTATCTCAATTCCTGAAGACTCACAGGCAAGAACCTTTGAGGACATAAGGGTCACCAGAGCTGTGAGAGAGGTGGGCTTTGGGCCAGAGGACACATGGTTCAATCCAGATAAACCATTTACCTGTGGGACACACTATATATGGAGAGATGTACAACATCTAAAACCACGTGAAGAACTGGGCAGAAAGGCTCCCAGACTTCTACTCCCAGGGAGAAAGTGCCTTTTCTTTCTGAAACTTGGCTTCATTGCCCTTACGAGAGTAGTGTGTGTTCTGCCACTGGCAGGGTATACTAAATGAGACCGTCTGTGGGAAGGGACTTGGGACAGTGTCAGCACAGAACACATCCTTGACAACTGGCCTGGAGCATAATGCATAGGAATTTGAGATAATGAAGTTGCTAGGAGGACCATGAGACAGGGCAATAAGAGAATGATGAAAGAGTGAGGCACTGGGGAGAGTCAAAAAAGACCTTTATGACAGGCTAGTAGGGAATCCAGGACACAAGAAGAAACCCACACTTGCAAAGACTTGGTGAATAGCTTTCCCAACACAAAGGTGTAGTTTTAAGAAATGGCATTGAGCCAAGTGAATAGCTTTCCCAACACAAAGGTGTAGTTTTAAGAAATGGCATTGAGGCAACTGGCAAATCACAGGCAGAAGAGTAAAGCTACCACAATACTCAAATGCCCAGCTCAAAATGGACCACAGACCTAAATGCAAAGGATAATACTGTAGAATGCTTAGAAAATAACTGCAAGAGGCAATCCTATGAGCTATGAGCTTGGGCTAGTTCGTGGATTTAGCTAAGACAGAAAAATCACAAGCAGAAGATTTAAAGAGAACAGGTGAAAGGTACATCACCATCATAATAATATCAATAAAAAGCCTGTGCTGTCAATGCTGTCTAGAAAGTGAAGAGCAACATACAGAATGGGAAAAATATTTACTTGTTAAGGTACATGTTTCTACAGTCTATAAAGAATTCTTGTAATTCCACTATATTTAGATAAAGAGTTTCTCAAAATTGGCAAAGGATTTAAATAGACACATCAAAGAGGGCACAATTGTATGTGAGAAGACACTCCATTACTCCATTGTCTTAGAGACCCATAGCCTCCTTGCTGCCTATGCAAGTCTTGAGCTCTGCCTTAAGAACCAGATGTGCATGCCGGGCGTTGGTGGCACACACCTTTAATCCCAACACTCGGGAGGCAGAGGCAGGCGGATCTCTGGGAGTTCGAGGCCAGCCTGGTCTCCAGAGTGAGTGCCAGGATAGACTCCAAAGCTACACAGAGAAACCCTGTCTCAAAAAACAAAACAAAAAAACAAAAAACAAACAAAAAAAGAACCAGATGTGCCATGTGACCTACATCACACAACCCTGTTCCTTACCATATAAGTATATTGACGTGTTCTATAGGCAGAATGTATCACCAAAGTAGAACATAAGCTAACTGAATTAATTATGGAAAGATGCAAATTTCATGTAATACCCAAATGAACCTAGCTGTCAGAAGCACACGCAGAGCACTTTGATAAACCCCCAGGCAGTATAGGCCTGCTCTACACAACAGTAAGAGAGTGTGTTGACCCTCAGAGGACAGGGCCTGTGGGGTGGGGCTGTGACAAGAATTGAAAGCATCAGACATCTTTGCCATTGTTTGTCCCCATGCTCTGTTTTCTGACAGCTTGATGGCCCTAGGGTCTTGCTGTCTCATCCTGACAGGAAGGCTCTCAATGTCCCTTGTCAAGGGTGAGAACCAGCCCTTTGCAGAGATGGCTGACCCCTACCTTTGCTCTCGGGGTCTCTCTGTACCCATCCAAGGGAGGAAAACTGTGTTTCCTGGGAAGTTTATTGATGGCTTGCTTGCTCGCCAAGTCCTCTGACGTGAGTTGGACCCCTCCCGGCCTCCCCACCCAGCACAGGAAAGCGCCTGTGTGTTATTTACGTTATCTGGGCTTCCAATGGGGCCAGCTTTAGTTACTAAGAGCTGCACTGACAGCCATATGGAGTGAGTGTGCAGATAAGGTTTCTGCTGACTGGGCCAGGCTGTGGAAGGAAGGACCCGTTTTTGCAGAGCTAGAAGCCCCTCAAAAGCTACAGTTCAGCTCAGACATGTAGTTAGTAAGTGGCAAATGCATGTATGTTTTCTGATTCCTCACAGCCTGTGGGTGAATAGCAATAATAGGCAAGATGTCAACGCTCAAAGTGGGCATTGGTTCCAGCATATACACATACACAACACAGATATTAAAATCCAAACACTCAAGACCTTGTATGAAATGGCACAGCACTTACATATAGTCTATACAACCCTCCCATACTTCAAATAATCTCTACATGATTTATAATATCCAATATAGTATAAGTTCTATGTAACTAGCTCCTATTCTGTGTTGCTTAGAGAATATGGCCAAAAGAAGTCTGAATAAATTCTGTATAGACACAATTAGTTTTCAGTATATAGTTGGTTGGTCCCAGGAATATGGAACTGGTGTGTGTGAAAGATTGAATTGTATTTACACATACACTCTACATATACATTCATGCATACACATGTGTGTATGTACAAAGATGTGTGTGTGTGTGTGTGTGTGTATGTATGTATATTCCTTATAAGGCTTATATAAGGTAGATGTTTTTATTCTGATTTTACATATGAGCAAGCTGGAATTTATAGGGTTGCTAGGGGTTGTCCCAGAGGGCTGACCCCAGCATCTAATATTTTCCCCACCACCTCTATAAAGGTCAGTGTCTCACAGATGACAGAGGGGAAGATTCTGCATCCTCTCCCTCTCACAAACTCTGCTCATTCCTTTCTGGCAGTGCATGGCCGACTGGTCATTCAAAGTCACCTGCTTTATTTACTAGGTTGGATAAAGTTCACTTGTGCATTTTTTTCTTCTTCACAGTGCCCCTCCACTCACTGAAAAGGAAGTTGAGGTAAGTGACTCAAGGACTTTGTGGAATATAGTGATTCTCTTTGATGAGGTTTATCCAAACATTCCTTCCTCCAGCCAGTGGCCCTAAGAGTGAGAAAAAGTGACTGCAGAATATTCTGGATATTTGTTCCCGTCCATTGCTGAGCTTCCTTTGCCTGCCTCCATTCATGAGGGGTTTTGACAAGTCTTTTTTTTTTTTTTTTGCAGATTTTTTTTATTTGAATTAGAAACAAGATTGTTTTACATGACAATCCCTTCCATCCTCCCCTACCACCCCCCTAACTAAAACCCTACCTATCACATAACCTTTCTGCTCCCCCTGGATGGTGAGGCCTTCCATAGGGTGTCATCAGAGTCTATCGTATCCTTTGGGATAGGGCCTAGGCCCACCCCCGTGACAAGTCTTGTCAGTGAAAAAGTTGCTGATACCTCCATCTTCAAAGACTGTCAATGTCTTTTGATGGATGGGACATACAAAGTCAGTCAGGAGGCTTTACAATTATACCAAATTTATTTCAATTTTTAAAAACATGGTCAAATTTCAAGCTTCAGACTTTGGTCCGGAGGACAAAGTTGCTTGCCTCTGAGAGTCTGAACAGCAAGAAGGCCAGCTCAGATGATGGTGTGAAAGCTATTGGCATAGCCTTCCCTCATCTGACCACAATGACCCTGTGGGCCTTCTTCTTCCAATGCTGTGAGATGCATGAGTTGAGAAGAACTTTCATTTTGGTGAAGGGACAGATGGACAAGAAACATAGTAGAGGTGAGAGAGGCAAGATTGGTGCAGTGGACCAGATAAGCAAACAAAGGAAGATAGACAACCTGAAATGTCTACCCCTAGGAAGCACAGTGACCGTGAACCAGACATTATTATTGTAGCGTGCTCACAGCTGTCCATGCAGCTGATCTCCTAGTAGCTCTGCAAGGTGGACAGAGCAGGACTTAAAGCAGAAAAGCTGGGCAATAAAACAGGTCACTCAAGGTCCCAGATTCAGGATTAACTAGGACCAATAGTTGGAAACAAATATCCCAAGTGACTTCAGGACCCTTCGAGTCAGGCTTAGAGAGCTAAGCATTGAGAATTGTTCACAGACTGAGGCTGGATAGGAGAGAATCCCCATCACTGAGCTGTGAGTCAAAGCCCACTCTATCATCTGTGGAGACTGACCATGGCAGCTCATTTGATGCCAGATCCTGTCTTCTGATGTGTGCTAGCATGGACATCAGCACAGTGGAAGTAAAACAGACTCAGGAATCAGATCATCTAAGGTCAAATCCTTGCTCTGCTACCTCTTCTGTCATCTTGAACAAGTTAATGATGTCTCTAGTCTTGGTCTCGTTGCCTATAAAATGGGTGTAGAAGTCTTCACTCCAGAAAGATGCTGTGGGGTCAAATGTGGCAAGGTCCATAAAATTCACAATACTGTGATGATCAGTAAGGGGTCATTTTTAGTAGAACCACCACCATCATCTAGGGATCAGCTCTTGTCTGGAGATAATTGCCATTGGCCATATTATATGAACTTCAGAAGCCAGGCAGTCAGTGACCACAGAATATGAGCAGGTGAGATGGCTTAGTGAGTAAAAGTGTATGCTATGCAAGCCTGCCAACCTCATGATCCACAGTACACAGAAAGAACCAACTCCCTGACCTCCACATGTATGCTGTTGCACACAGACAGACAGACAGACAGACAGACAGACAGACAGACAGACAGACAGACACACACACACACACACACACACACAGACACCATAAAAGAAGAAAGAGAAAGAAAGCAAGCTGCTCCCACTTGCTTCAGGCAGGGTAGACGAAGCAATTGGAATTGAAGACTCCTTCCTCTCTCCTTTATTCCCTCCCTCCTTATTTCTTGTGTGGAGTCAATTTGCCTATTTTTCTTCCCCATTAGTAATGTGTTATGGTGAGTGATAGTGATAGGATGATAGTTCCTACTAGCTTCCTATTACCCTAGGAATTCCACATCTGATCAATTCCACCTTTAAAAACTCATTCTTCGGGGCTGGATATGGCTCAGTGGTTAAGAACACTGGATCCAGAGGACTTGGACTTAATTCCCAGCACCCACATGGTGGCTTACAACCATTGGTAACTTCAGGTCCAGGAGATCCAACTCCCTCTTCTGGCCCCCGAGGACACTGCATGCAGACATACACACAGGCAAAACACCCATGCACACAAACTGTTCAAAAAAATTTTAAAAAGTCTTCCCATATGGAATGTTTCATCTTGGGCTGGAATATTTATTTCTGGAAGTTTATCTTAACAGATCCATGCTTGAACTTGTCTAATTTGGAAGTTACTTAAAGCTGACGTAGGAATTAGAAATAACAAGGCTACAGACTGTTTGAAGTTTGCTTTAAATTCACAAGCCTGAAACTCACCTGATGCTTCTTTAGATACAGAGTTTCATGAAAACCCCCAACCCACCAGACACATACACACCACACACACACACACACACACACACACACACAAAATGCATTCCAGTATGAATCTAGACTGCTTACACAGCCAGCTGCACTGGTCTAAACCTATCTCAACCTAAACATGGGAGCTCACACTCTTGATTAGGGAAAGGCAGAATGCTACTGTCCAGTGGTTATGGTTGTCCTCTGAATCTCAAGGGTTGCCATTTGCCCGTGTTTGTGTATTTCACTGTGAAGGGAGTTTGTCGGCACATGGAGGCCTTAGTGACTAGTTCCAAGGACTCTGGTAAAAGGCTTGAGCAAGAATCCCACCTGTGGCCTTGCTGGTGGCAATGACTCCTCTAGCATCTCTACCACACTCTTGTTCCCAACAGAATGTGTTTGTACAACTGTCCTTGGCCTTCAGAAATGACAGCTACACCTTGGAATCTAGAATTAACCAGGCTGAAAGGGAACGCAACCTGACAGAAGAGAACACTGAGAAGGAACTGGAAAACTTCAAAGCTTCTATTACGGTAACAGAGACGGCCCCGTTTAAGCAGTTCTTGCAGAGCCACTGTCTCTAAGGGTGACGCCCAATATCACACTTCTTTCACTAACCAAATAATAGTATCTGGAAGCAAGAAGGGAGCCAAGGTCCTGACAAGTCTTCCTCAGAGGGCAGGGAGGAGCTGAGGCAGAGGTCCTGAGGGTTTGGCTTCAGATCCCCTGGCAGCTCCTTAGGAGGGGCTGGTTGGTTTGGATATGACTCCTTCCAGGCCAGTGTGTTCACAGGGTTTCAATATCTAGAAGACATGTGGCCTGGGCTCTGTAGGAGTTTCTTCTTCTAGCCCGGATGAGACCCAGAGCTTGTCTCATGAAAACGAATCCATGTTTGATGTGCACCATCTTAGTCAGCTCAAGCTGCTAAAGAAATTACCATTGGCTGGGTGGTTTAAACAACAAACATGTTATTTCTCCTAGTGCTAGGGCTCGAGTCCAAGCTCAGGGTTCCAACACGGCCAGGTCCTTACTGGGGTCCTCTTTAGACTTACAGACTGCCGACCTCTCGTTATAGCCTGACATGGTAGAAAGAGAGTAAGAGAAATTTCTGGGCCCCTGATGTATGAGAACCACTCCTATTTACAAGGGTTCCAGCCAAGGGCCCATTCTCTCATCTGCACATTGCGGTTAGGTTTTTAGCATGCACATGTGGAAAAGCAGCTTGAAGACTCTGGGTGACACCTCTTGTCATCCCTCAGTCCTCAGCATCCATCTGGTACAACTGTGAACACCGAGAGACCTATCAGAAGCTTCTGGAAGACATCACGGTCTTGCATCGTCTGGCTGCCCGCCTCTCCAGCCGGGCTGAAGTAGTGGGGGCTGTGCGCCAGGTGAGACCCACAGCACTCGGCCTTGCTGGCTGGTACTGTTCCAATGGCAGTAATTAGCACCATGGCACAAATAGGGACAAGAAGAGGTACCACCCTTGATGACTGGCTTAAGCCAGGCATTCTACGTAGGTTGTTGAGATATTCCAACATATTTGGTGCCTATTAAGCCTTTGAAGTATTCCTTTGGGAATTGTTTTCTGTGGACTTTGAAATTTGAGGTAGACTATGTACTGCTTTCCTCCCTTAGAACTGGTCCACTATAGCTGAGTTAGAGAATTCCCTATGAAAGAAGTCTATTTAACTTTTCCTGTGTGTTCTGTAAATATATGTGATTGGGGAACCCCTCCCTCTTCATTGTTCTCACAAAATACATACTCAGCTACTACAGAACCAGTGTTGGGCAGAGCATGCTTTAGGGAAATGTGCTGTTTCATTTAATCCACCCAGTCACTCTGTAAAGTGGCTTCCATCCTCATCTCTGTCCCCAGTGAAGTTGCATGTTCTCAGAAAGATAGCTTCCAGATAGTAGAAAATCTCAAATATTCCAAACGTTTTGAGTGCCTCCATTATGTCGCAAGTGGAAAACTGTTGACCGAAGTTTCTGGTGGTCCCAAGTATACACACTAAGGCTTATATTAATTATAAACTATTTGGCCTATAGCTCAGGCTTGGTATTGGCTAGCTCTCTCTTAATTATTAACCAATTTCTATGTATTGCCAATAATAATCTGGAATGTTATTCCTTTGGTGGTTACATGGCATCTCTCCCGCCACTCCTTCTCTCCGTTACTCTTCCCAGAATTCTCTTAGTCTGGTAGCCCTGCCTATCCATTGGCCAAAACAACTTTATTCATCAGCCAATAAGAAAAACATATATTCACAGCACACAGAAGGACATCCCCCATCAGAAAACAACTAATTTTCTGTGACAAGGTACAATCAAGATGCACTGAAAATGTGCAAAATTATCTCTTGGCAACATTTATAATAAGATGAATAATGTATTTAGACGTGGGTCCTATTCCCAAGACACTTCATTGTGTATATGCAATATTCCCAAACCTGACAAAACCCCAAACACTTTGAGTAAGTGTTTCAAGTCAGGGATATTGAAGCTGTTCTAGTGTTAGTGAGTGGCAGAGCTGGGTGCAGGCCCTGGTTAGACTCCACACCTTGGCCACTCTGAAGTCTTGAAGGACACAGAGCCTTCACACAATGTTTCATTGCCCACTGCCTGAGTTCCCCTCCACACTGTGGCCTTGGACTTCACAGAGTTCTCCACACTAGAGAGTCACTGGGCTGTAAAGCAGGGGTGTTTATGATGTCTGCCATGTAGGACTGACACAATGCATGCAAAGCATGTAAATCCTCTGTAACACTGCTGTAACCATGTCCTGGCACACTATTTGTGTGAGTGGTTCTGAGGGTGGGTCCCCAGGCACTGTCTGTGAAATGAATGGCAGCCAAGCCACCTGGCTGGCCCACCCTTGCATCCTTCTGGAGAAAGAGAGCCTGACTCAGCAGTGTGATCTAGCAAATAATCCATCTGGGAACAACAACACCAGAAGAATGCTAGGGAAGTGGTGGCTCTCAGTCTCACATGGCTGTGGGGACCTTTATAGGGAAATCCCTCTAGTATAGACAGTGCCTCAGCTAGGTCCTCTTGGGGACTCTAGGGAGTATGGAGGGGGGAAACTTCCAAATATGTTTCTGATTCCCCATGTTGTAAGGATTCAGGCATTGTGCTGGGCTGCCCCTCTCACCTGACAGAATGCACTCAGGCAGTACCCTGGTCAGCATGCAAGTGCAAAGGACCCCTTTAAATTGAAAGACCCCACCCACTTATGCTCTCTTTCCCACTCTCTTTCCTATTGGGGCAGACAGGACTTTTCTTGTCTCCCTCTTCTTTTCTGTCCTCTCTCTGTCTCTGTGTCTCTTTACCCCTTTTCTCTTTCTTTCCCCTTCCCTCCCCTTTCTAATAAATCTTCTCACTAAGCTCAATCTGCCTGGCTTGTTTGTCCTCCGCCTCCTTCACCCTTGCCTGCCATGGAGTCTGCCAAGGTTTCCCTTGAGCTTTATTCCTAACATGTTATTGATTCTATTCACTCTTCTTTTCTTTATTGTTACTTATTTATTTTTAAATTTTTGTTTTTATATGTGTATGGGTATTTTGCCTGCATGTATATCTGTGCACCACATATATGTCTGGTGCCAGCAAAAGCCAGAAGAGGGCATTGGATCCCCTGGGGATCATTGTCTGTAACTGGAGTTACAGATAGTTATTAACTACCATGTGGGTGCTGGGAATTGAACCTGGGTCCTCTAGAAGAACAGCCAGTGCTCTTAACCACTGAGCCATCTCTCCAGCCCCTACTTTTTGAGACAGGATTTCAATAGATAGTCTGGGCTGGTCTCCAACTCATGACCCTCTTACCTCAACTACCTGAGTGCTAAGGAACAGACATGCACCATCATGCCTGACTTGTATTCTTCTTTTTTTTTTCCAAGACGGGATTTCTTTTTGTAGCCTTAGAGCCTGTCCTGGCACGCACTCTGTAGACCAGACTGGCCTCAAACTCACAGAGATCTGCCTGTCTCTGCCTCCCAAGTGCTGGGATTAAAGGCATGTACCACCACCACCCAGTTTGCAGCCTTCTTAAAGTGGTCCCAGCCCTGCCTTTGTTTCCCTACCATGCCTTGCAGTGCCCCACACTGTTTTCTGTGTCTCAGTGCTGGATTTCTCACTGGTTCCTTAGGACCAGCTCAGACACTTGTTCCCTGTTGCTGTCACTGCTACTAGTCTCATTTACTTCTGCCCTGTCTCCATTCATACTCGGTCACCCCTCACTTTAACACGTTCAGTAATTCCTCTTTTTTGCAGAGTAAGTCAAAATTCCTTCATCTAGCATGGAAAGTCCTTCACAACCCAGCCCTAGAGCACTTCCTCCTAGCAAACCCAATAGCTTGTTGATTTTTTATACGAAGTGGGATGTCTGTGCTATGCTGACTTGCAGAAGTCCTTGGGAAGGCTGTGTCCTGGCATAATATGGAATGGGGCCCACTTTCATTCTAAAGGATTCCTGCCTGGAGGATAAATCTACATACGAGTCCTATGAGGAACTGCCTCTGCCTCCGGATGCCTTGAAGTTCCCCGGCCTTGGGCCTTTGTCTATCCTGCCCATGCCTATGTGCCCACACCCCACATCTGTGACTCCAGGCCATTGCCACAAAGCCATCCCAACTATTCTCTTCCAAAGTAAAGCAATCCCTTCCTCCTCTCACTCTTACAGTGTGTGACTGCTTTTTTGTTTCCTGGACAAGGGTACCAGAGTGCACCTCTCAGCCCAATGCCACAGGACAGATTCCCATCTGATGATCCCTGTAGCCTTCTTATTCTAGCAGCCAAGGGCTGAGCTCAGAGTGGTCAAGTGTGGAGGGTGCCCTTTCTTCAGCTGTCCCCCATGCACCTGTGTCCTCCTTCCCTTCAGGAAAAGCGAATGTCAAAGGCAACGGAAGTGATGATGCAGTATGTGGAGAATCTGAAGAGAACGTATGAGAAAGACCATGCTGAGCTCATGGAATTTAAGAAACTCGCAAATCAGAATTCAAGCCGCAGCTGTGGTCCCTCTGGTAAGGAACTGGGCTTCTGTGCTTGTTGTGAGTGCAAGTCCCCAATGGCTATCAGCCTGGGCCACAGGGAACAGGACTGCTCCAGGGGCTGTTTCTGCCTAGAGGACCCTCCACACCTCTGTTCAGAACTACTTACGAGGCCTTTATAGCAGCTGCTCCAGTGAGGTTGGGGTCCTAGAATCAGAAAACATGAAGGGTGCGTAGCTAAGACACTTGCTTCAGTGATTCTTTTCTTAGAAATGTTTTAAAAGTTCTAAGCAAATTGGTGCAAGAAGATAGAGAAAGTCCCACCTGATTCTGCTCAAGGGAGTCAAGGATGGAGATACATCCAGGGAGGTCACCTCCACAGTGTTTTAAAGGAAGTCAGCAAACAAGTGGAGGAAGCAGTGTGTGTATAGGTGTGGAGGTGGGGGTGAGGGCAGGATGACACAACCCATGGGGTCATGTTGAGAGCCTGAACATAAGACCTGGCAGATCAAGGCCACCCTCCAACACATACTAACAACTAGACCTTTGTCCTGTAGTAACAGTGTGTCGGTGGCAAGCATGTCACATGACATGTCCATATTTTATTTTTGTGCTACTCTGACTTCAGCAAGCACAATGCATTAGTAGTGTCAAAGCTGAAATGGGGAAAGATGAGCTTAGAGTCTCACTCAGTCCAGCTGGGAAATAACAGTGCATTGGAGCAGAATCTCTCCCTGGGTACTGCCAGGGTTTAGAGTTTGGTCTAGGAGGGTGACTAGCTGGAGAAAACAGCTTGTCACATCAGGAATCCCTGTGGAATGCAAACATCCGTGTTACCAAGAGCAGGGGAGGAAAAGTATAACAGACAGAGAAGCTTTTATAAACAGGAGGTTTCACAAGCTTCCTGGAGTACCGGCGACACTTCCCAGAGTCCAAAGGCCATGTACACATGCTCAGGGCTGTCTGCTTAGCATTTTAGCAGCCAGGTTCCTGACTCACAGGCATCTGGACCCCTAACAAACTGCTCTTGGCTACAAATGGGGAGGTGATTCCAAGAAAATCCTAGTATGCTGGTTCAGTAGTTATTTCTCCACAAGGGTCAGGTCTCCTGCAAACCAGTGTGTCTAGAATTTATAGTATAAGATTAGTGTCTTCACAGTGGATGCTCCCAGCACCTGGGAGGCAAAGGCAGGATTACTCTGATTTTGAGGCCAGCCTGGGCTATAGAACAAGAACATGTCTAAAACAAAAACCAAAATGCTGTATGGGGTGATCTGTTACCCAGGTGTCTCATTTATTCATTCTAGGATGTTTTTGAACACTTTTGGTATGTCCCATATGATGTAGCCCCAGTTCTAGTGCTGCAACAAAAGTAAGCAGACTTCTTGGGCTTGGGAGATGGCTCAGTGGGTAAAGTGCTTGCCATGAAGGCATGAAGACCTGAGTTCAGATCCCTGGTTCCCATGTGAAAAGGCTGGATGCAGCCACACTGATCCGTAACCCTAGTGTTGTGGAGGAAGAGACAAGTAGGTCCCTGAAGCTTGCTGACTAGCTAGTCTAGCAAATTGGTGAGCTCCCAGCTCAGTGAGAGGCCCCATCTCAAAAAACTAAAGTGGAGAGCAATAAAGGAAGACATTCTGACTTCTATGTGCACACACTCCCTCACACACACTGCACATATCCACCCAAACAGGTGCATCTACCCACAGAGGAACACAGATTTCTGGAGTGAGGTGGACTCTGCAGAGTCCCACAATCCAATCTGGGCACTGAGAAAATGCTAGCAAAAGGAAGGGACTCTAGAGGAAGTCCTAATCAAAGAATAATTGTTGAAGATATTTGGTGCCACTTTGGCTGTTTTTCCAAGCCCTAAGTCCAGCACCAGTGAATCTGTGTATCTGAGGGTATGTCTGTGTGATGTGCCATGGTCATTCTCTAACTACATGCTTCTAAAAAGCCTTTACATGACTTCTGTCTGTGCGGAGACTTTGAAGACTGTAATGAAATAAAATATCCCCTAATTAAAAAATAAGTTGCTCATTAAAAAAAATTTTGGAGCCAGATGGTGGTGGTGGATTCTTTAATCCCAGCACTTGGGAGGCAGAGGCAGGCAGATCTCTATGAGTTTGAGGCCAGCCTGGTCTACAGAGCGAGTTCTAGGACAGCCAAGACTACCAAAGAAATCCTGTCTCAAAATAAGTATTTTTGAACATGAAGCATGATTACCAATATTTTGTATTCTTTTCTTTAGACAGACTTCTAGAAATATAAATACTAGCTGAAAGAGGAGGGTATTTGTAGAGAGGACGGAGACCAGTGGGCAGCGGACAGGGAAGGCACTTAGGTAGGCAGATATGAGCCTAGTACAATGACATGAACATATGAAAGTGCCATAATAAAGCATGTTCTTTTGCTTGCTAACTAAAAATCTAGTGAAAATAAAACATTGATAGATCAGGGAAAAGAAATATTTATAAATTGCTTATTTGCAAGTAGTCCATTGGCACAGTCATTTAGTGGGTTACAATAATGCTTGATTCATTGTACATTGATCACCAAACTCGTTCTTTCTTCTGAAACGTATTTATGGTTTTACAGATGTAAATTGTTTTGTCTCATAGTTTTAATTCATAGTTAGATGCTTTCCCATACATTTGTTAGGCACTTATACATCTTTTTGTGACGTCTCTGATTATCCACCTACAGGACTGGAATTTAGTAATGTATTTGAATTCTCACTTATTAGATAACGTTTTCTGGTTCTGCTCTTTGCGGTGACCAGAAAACTTCAAAATCCTTTAAGTGAAGTGCTTACAACTTCCTGCTGGATAAAATAAAACAAGTTGTCTAAAAGAACAGCTGAGCCCACAAGAAAGTAAATGGAAATAGCCAGAAACAAGAAGAGAACTGAAACCACACTGACCCTGTGGCTTGCTGGGGACAGAGCCACCCTGCTTATCTGGAACTAAGTGTTTGCCTTCAGTACTCTCTGAGAGCAGCCTTTGAGCCCTGGTGGCAAAGCTCAGAGTGGACAATGCGCTTTGTGTGGAGAGCAAAGGCCTTCTAGGGACTGCCGTGAGGTAGAATCTATACAAGGAATAAGAACACTCACCCACCAGCCAGCAGAGAAGCAAATACGGAAGCTTTCCTATTTTACCCTGTACCCTGGGTGGAAACAAAATATTCTCTTCTTCCTCATAGAAAAAGTACATGAATGACAGCAGCAGTGGTGCAATCTGTAGGGAATCTGAAAGAACAGCAGGACGGTGTCTCCAGGAACACTGTCAGCCCCTGCAGAGAGGCACACCCTGCACCAGGACACACAACATCCTCTACAGGGCCTGGATGAAGACAAGTTCACAGTGTAAAATACACAGTGGAACAGTCCACCGGGAAAACAAATCATCAGATCCATCAAATATAAGATTACACTCTAAGAACATCAAATATTAATTAGAATTTTAAAATCAGCATAGGTATGAAAAAGCAGACTGAAAACACAAGATCAAGCTGGGTGGTGGTGCACACCTTTAATCCCAGCACTTGGGGGGGGGCAGAGGCAAGCAGACCTCTGTGAGTTTGAGGCCAGCCTGGTCTACAGAGCAAGTTCCAGGACAGGCTCCAAAGCTACAGAGAAACCCTGTGTTGAAAGAACAAACAAACAAACGAGCAACAACAAAAAGCAATTTTTAGTTTATAAAATATTAACAATTTAATTTATAAATTTAGTTTATAAAATTAAAAACAATTTAATAGTTATAAAATAATAGAACTCCTCAAAATGAGAAGTCAGGAATAAGGGAGACTTGGTAGGTGTGAGGGGTGTGGTAGCCATGGTAGAGGGGGTTTCTCAGTACCGAGCTCCTCCCCCGTCTTATTAAAAGATAGACCAGGCAATGTGGAGGGCTTCGTGGGTGAGCCAAGTAACATCTGGCCTGAACCCCATAAAATTTGACTAGCCTGCACATGGCTCTGGTTTTCTTCCTCCCAATCTGATGAATGCCAGTCTCCCAGAATAACAACCTGTTCATCTTGACTGGGAGATTTGAGATAGTTATCCAAAGTGCAGTTGAAATTGATATGGTGATTAAAATATGAAAGAAGGTTTTGGGGCACAGGATATGGAGAAGAGCCTACAGTTAGTTCACTAACCAGGTGGTCCCTATGGGAGAAATTAGGCACAGAAAATCTTCAGAGATAAAACCTAGCATCTTTCATAGCTAAAGAAAGACACAGATCACTGGGTTCAGTAGTATAGGGAAGTCTATGAAAAAAATACATGAAATAGAAATGTCAAAAAAAAATAAAATAAGGAGTGAAGAGATGGCTCAGTGAATAAAGCCCTTGCTGTGCAAGCATGAGGACCTGAGTTTGGATTCCCAGCACCCACACAAAACTCAAGGATGGTGGCACACCTGTAACTCCAGTTCTAAGAAATTGGAGAGAGGCAAATCCCAGGACTTCTCTGGTCAGCCAGGCTAGCTAAAACATCAAGATCCAGCTTCAGTGAGAAATCTTATCTTAAATATAAAAGGTCAACAGAGATAGAAAAAGATGTCCAATGTTGACCCCTGGCATGTATGAGCATGCACACATACATGTGGTGCACACGTATGCATCTCTCTCTCTCTCTCTCTCTCTCTCTCTCTCTCTTTCTCACACACACACACACACAAAAAATAGAAAAGGAAAAGATAGGCAAAGATCTTTAAAATAATGAGAAGAAAATTTGCAAATAGACAACAATTCTCAAGAGCAACAATAGCACTAGAAGGCAGTGGTCTCACCCCTCAAAGAACTAAGGGGAAGTAAATGGGTGGTTGTGCAAGGCTGAGGACTAGGGAAGGCTATAGTAAGAGAGTGCTCTCTTCATATGTCCTTGCTGAAAGGACAATTAAAGAATGTACTGGGGTCTACGGCCATACCACCCTGAGCGCACCTGATCTCGTCTGAAGAATGTACTGGGTTGGGGTGGAATGGAGCACAAATCAGTAGGATGCAAGAAAGGATAGTGATCAAGGGTGATCATAAGCACGTGGATGTAGCCAATAAGCATCCAGTAACAGCTAACTGGATGAATAATTCATAACTTGGGGATACACAAGGTGACATAACATGATTAAGGTTGGAGAGAGTTATTGGGTTATTGCTTTGAGCTCTATTTAGGAAGGAAAACTGGAGATCTTGATTAATTTTAAATTTAAAGTCAAATAATAGCAAAAGTTAAAGCCATATCTCAAAGATTAGAACTATGGATAATTTCTCAACTGATGTTTAGAATGGGGAAAAATTAGAAAAAAGATCAAGGAATAAATCAAGGTAAATAAAATATAGATAATGAGATGGTGGAAATAAACATAAATGTGTGATAATCACAAGAATTATAGACAGTGTAAAGCTGTTGGTTGACAAAGATCCTCAGATTAAGAAAAAAACAAAATAAAGCACACAGATATGTGGTTTTCAAGGGCCATACATAAAATATGGGACTATAAAGGACAGACAGATGTACAGACTCCAGCATATTGGTGAGACTGAATCAAATTCAACAGGCCTTGAAGGTATTTTCAGGTAATTTTTGGACCAATCATATTTGGAAATAGATTCAAAAGAACAAGAGTTCCACTTTAAAAAAATAAAAATATTTTTCATGTACCCAGCTGTTTTCTGGCAGCACTCTTATGTAGATATGGGTGTTTAACACTGACTATAAAGTGTGTCATTTAATATACATTTCTAAGGAGAAAAAGGTCTTAAGTGGTAGCTCCCTGTGCTGAGTCAGTGTAGGTAGCACATTGAAACTACTTCAGTTAGAAAATTTTCATTCTGAACATCAAAGCTTTCTTGGATATAGTGTTTCCAACTGTCCATCCTTTGAGTGAACATGGAATGAGTCCCTGTGCTTCAAGCTTGCTGAGGTCTGTTCACACAACTCCTTGGGTAACCCCAGAGGCTACAGTGGTATCACATGAAGCCCAGAAGCCCATGAATGGGACTCCTCATAGTGTCCAGTAGAGTTAGAATAAACATTTTGTCAAGAGGTTCCCTTTGCTGCAGATGGTCTTCCTTAGAGGGTGAAGCATCAACTATGAAAGATTCCTAATACCCAGAACTCTGAGCCATCCCTGTAAAGCCAGCTATGACCCATGGGTAGCTTGGCTTAATTTCTGCCTGTCTGTGTTCTGTTGGAACCCAGCCTGAAACTCACACCCATTTTCTTCTGTTCTTCCCTACTATAGAGGATGGGGTCCCCCGCACAGCGCGATCTATGTCCCTCACGATGGGTAAGGTATGTATGGTCAAGGAACTCCAGGGCTCCCAGAAGAAGCATGACAGTTTTCATGGTCACTCAAGAGCTCATTCACTCTTGGGCCTATGGCTTCCAGCAGGGAATTCAGCCTTCACACTTGTTCACATGGCCTCTGATGCCCTATCTTTCTCCATTTGTTGTAGTCTTCCCAACACTGCATTAAGTGTACATGCAATTATGCATACACCTTGGCTTTGCCATGGGCAGTTTTTGCACACTATCTAGCATGCTACTCAGAGAATGGGGTCTCAAATTGTAAAATGGAGATGTGTTGAGAGATCACTCATGACCAACAGAAAATTTGGGTCAACTTTGGTTCACTTTTTCCATGCTGATTCCTAACACACTCACCACCCCCAACCAAATTATCTACTTAATGTTAGGAACTAGCAAGCTTTTCCAATACCCTCAGAACTATGACTGTTGTTATTCCCAAGACAGGAGGCCTGAATCGCTTCTCTTCCCATAGAACATGCCACGCCGGAGGGTCAGTGTTGCTGTGGTTCCCAAGTTTAATGCCCTGAACCTCCCTGGCCAAGCTCCCAGCTCATCACCCATCCCCTCCCTACCAGCTCTGGTGAGTATGATGTCTCCTGCTTTCTGTCCTTTTCTACGTTTCCCTCACACCACTGCTATGGAGATGATGCAGATGGGGACAGGGGCAGCAGGGGCAGGAAATTTCCAGCAGAGACTATGGATGGAGGTACACAAAGCAACCCAGTGTAAACCATGCCATAGTTCTGAGACTGGGTCTCAAACAAAGCCCAGATGGCTCAAGTGTACCTCAAAATCAGCCGCCCCTTTGAATAGAAACCATAGATCTTTAAGGGGTGACGATTTAAAACAACAACAACAAGAACAAGCAAACTTTACAGTGGGTTGTGTCAGCTAGACCTGAAGCAAGGCTCTGATCAAAGAGCCTGAATTCATGAACTGGATCTCATCCTGTTTTAACTCATTGTGGCCTTGTTTACAGAGATGAAACCCTGAGGCTAACCCAATGCTTATTAACAGGAGATTGGCAAGCAAATTGTGAATAGTATCATAAAGCATTTCTATAGAATATCACCCATGATTTATATTATGAAGAAATAGCAATTTCTATATATAATAATCACATACATTGGAGTATATGTAATATCATTCTGTTTTGTACTTTTTTAAAAACATACAATTTATTTGGATTTTATGTTCATTTGTGTTTTGCCTGTGTTTATGTCTGTATGATGGTGTCAGAAGCCCTGGAACTGGAGTTACAGATGTTTGTGAGCTCCCATGTGGGTGCTGAGAATTGAACCTATGGCCTCTGGAAGGGGAAGTACTCTTAACTACTGAGCTGTCTCTCCAGCATCCTGTTTTGTACTTTTAAAAATGGTGTCTTTGCATAGAACATAGAATATTATGGAAGAAATCATTTGAAATTTAATAATTGTTCTAGGTTTATTTCTGCTGTGATAAAATATCTGACCAAAGGAAGTTAGGGAAGAAATTGGCTTACAATTCCAGGTTATAGTTCATCATTAAGAGTATATCAAGGCAGGAACTCAGCCGTTACATCTACAGACCACAGCTGGGTCTTCCTACACCCATGATGGTCTGGGCCTTCCTGTGATAGTTTTCAAGCCCCCACAGACATGACCACAGGCCAAGCTCATCTAGGCAATGCATCAGTTGAGGCCGTCTCCCCAGCTGACTCTAGGCTGTGGCATGTTGATAATTAAAAATTAACCATCACAATATTGGTTATTTCTGGACAATGATGAAACAGATCACTTTCATTTTCTTCCTTGTTTTTTATGTTTCTATAGGGTATAAAAAGAAAGGCAGAGAAAAAATGTCTGTTTCATTACAGATGAAGGCAATTTGTATATATAAGAAAATTTTTTTCTACACCTAGGGTCTTTATGGATCTAGTAGCTTCTCTCTAAAACTTTTAAACACCTTTCTCCAGTGGCTTCTCTAATCATTGTGCATACTAGCACAGGGTTACAGAGAGGTTCAGTATACAAGAAACCAGTCAAGTAGCTCCAAGCTCCACCATACCAATAGCTAGCAATCACTTAAGTTTCTTTTACCTTGTGAATATTTTGTCTGTGAATTGAACTTAAACTCCAAAATCACTGAAACAAAGAAACCTGAAGGACCTGGAGAGATAGCTCAGTCATTTAGAACACCAGCTGCTCTTCCAAAGGACCTAAATTTGATTCACAGCACCCACGTAGTATCTCACAAACATCTGTAACTCCAGGCCCAGGATATTTAGCACCATGTTATGGCCTTCAAATGCAATGCAGGTTTACAGTGCACAGGCAAACATTCATGCATATAAAACAAAAATTTTAAAAACTGAAAATTTTTTTAAGAGACTAGAAAAGGTTAGTTAACAACAGGCCTTTTTAAATAGAACTATGGTTTCAGAATGTATACCTTTAGACAAATGGTTGACAATGAGAACTATTTTTTTACGTCAAAAAAAGTCTACATTGAAAACACCCTGGTTGTGGGTCCCACCCCAAAACTCTGGAATGCTTCTGTACTGTTTACCCAAATCCAGGTGATCCTAGCATAGGCCCAGAGCTGCAAGTGTATGCTTTAACAATGACTGCTGCAGCAGAGCAGCACAGGGGCCCAGGTGAATTGTACAGAAATGTCTGCCAGCTTGAGCACATTGTGACATTAGGCATCTCCTGACCTTTGTACTTGGAACAGTACCTGTGGGAACAGTGATGCTTATGTGAGTCCATCCCAAGGAATTCTAGACCCACATTTGGTAGAAGGCCTACAGGTACTCAGGAAAGGGGACAGTAAAACCGATGGCTCCCTGCTAGGATGGAGCCTCAGAATACAGATTGCAAAGCAGTGGGGGTGGGGGGAGAACGATGGAGAGAGAAGGGACAGCAGCAGCAGCTGCCCCACCCCCAAGCATCACCCAAGGCCCAGTAGCCCTGGCTGCTTCCTTCATCACTCATCCTCAGTTCTGGCTCCTGTTTCCATCCAGTCCGAATCGCCCAACGGAAAAGGCAACACATCTGTCCCCCCAGTACTGCCTGCACTTTTGGAAAAGTAAGTTTCTCTATTTTCCACTTAATATTGGGGATCCTTAGGGGGGAAAAAACCCTTTCTTTACTCTCATCCTCAACCCAAAAATGAAATAGAAAGAAAATCAAGTTCTAGGAGAAAAGAATAGGACTCTGAGACCCACAAAGATTTCAGATCTTACTTTGTAAAATTCTTGGACCAGGAAGATACTACGGCTAAGTACACCCTGCCTAAGACCCTCTGAGGGGGAGAAAGCCTCCTCGTTAGTTGGGATTCTTTTGGGCTATGAAGACAAAAAAGCTCTAATTCAACAGGGCTTAGATAACAAGTCCAGGGTAGGCGGCTCCAGTGTGGCAGAATGCCAGCTCTCTGTGGCTCCCTTTGGACAACACTGTATCTAGAGGAAGATGAATACATTTCTTCCATTTGGGAATAGAATCATTATATGGGTTTAAAACTATCCTAGAGAGGGGGAGAGGGTCCCCGAAACATGGTGACTTTGGGAAGGGTAAATTGCTTTAAAAAAACAAAACAGTCTCTCTGTCAAGAAGTGGGAAGATACATACTGGCTCAAGAGCAGAGAGGGTCTCCTGGGCCTGGCACCCATGGAGTTTACAGGCTTTCTCATGCTAAGCCAGAGCACTAAGGTAGTTCTTCTGCACCCCGGGTTGGGTGCAGAAGAACTAGGGGTGAAGAGGTGGGGAGTATGGGGGGCTTATGGCTTACTTTTTGAACTGTTTTCATTTGCTTGTTGGAAAACATCTGGATCACAGCTGCCACTTCTTTCCTCAGCTGGTGGAGTGCAGACCTCATTTCTCTTTCTTTGCCTTGAAGCAGCTTTAGTCCTTCATTTTCTGTTGCTGTGTTGTCTGGCAGGGAGTGTGACTGCTGGGCCCTCTGTCACTTCAAAGACACTCCCAAGCTCCCTACCTCCAGACTGTGTTCCTCACTCTCGGTGTGTGATTGCCAAGTTTCCAAAGTATTTATCCCCTTTGTCACCCACCAGCATATCCACCCCTTTCACCATGAGTGTACCCTCTTCTCACTTCTTGATTACTTCAGAAAAACTCAAGATATGATGAATTAGTCATCAAACACGCATATCTAAGGTTACAAAATCTTACCACATAGAACCACAATGCCTAGTTCCCAGCCTCTGAATCTACTTAGAAATGATTATACTCTCTGAAGTTCTGTTAGCCTTCACTTTGGGCTCATCAATCCATTTCAGAGCATTTACATTAAAGTTCCTCTCCCCAACTCTAGGTCTACAGACACAGCCAAGGCAGAGGCTCTAGGTCCCCAGCTCTCCTTGATAGACTCTCATTCAGAACTAATGTTCAGGCCAGCTGAGAGCTCATGTTCAAGGCATTGGGGGCTATTAGGAACTCAAGATGTCCTCTGTAAGAGAATCTGAGGGACAGCTCCAAATCTTCAGTATCAATGAGTGAGGATCAGGCAGGGGGTCACCTTTCACAGGTTTAGCTAAAAGGCCAAAGTGAGATTCAAAGTCAAGTCAGAGGTTCCCAGGATTAGTTTATAGCTCCCTCCTAGGCTAGCTAGAAACTGTCATCATCCATGTGGCTCACCTACTGGCTCACCTACTGGAAATATTTCCAAATAAAGATGACTGCAAAGAGGGGAGGGAGGTCTAAAGGAAGGAGGGACCCTGGAGACTCCAAACAATAGCCGCTCCTCCCTGCGGACTTATAAAAGATATTAACTGATTTTTCCTCCAAATGCACAGACCCGGAAGCATCATAGACCCTCAAGTGGTCAATAATCAAACAATTTTCAAGTGAAAATGAATTCATGTCCTCTCTAGTTATATATAGATGCACCAATTCCTATTAGCCTAGTCACATTGTTGAAGAGAAATAATGTGTTATGATTTATCAGATATTTGTAGTTGTATTGAGCTTCCTGATAAATGATCCCCCATTTCCCAAGTGTTCCATATAAGGAAGGGAACTGGCTAGGCATGTGAGAGGAGCCCATGGCCAGTCCATCACACAGAGCAGCTGACTACACTGTCTGTCCCATGAGAGTTTAGAGCGTTTCCAGTCTTGCTCTTGTAGGCTATTTCATAGCAAAACAATATTCAACTCAACAAAAGTCTAGAAATGTATAGATTTAAACATATGGCCAGAGTATGGTTTTTAGTTATCCTCAAAGATACATATAGGGAGAGCTGTATGTCCATGGTGTTTTATTCTATTGTTCTTTTGACAAGTGCTCTCAGGGTCAGTCCCATGGAATTCTCTCAAGGAGTGCTAGTCTAGTGGGAAAGCCAGACAGGAAGCAGCCTATTTTTCCATGATTTGATGAATGTTGTCATAAGGAAGTACACGTTGCTAAGGGACCAACACATGAGAAAATGTGCCCCTAACACTGTGTGGGTGTAAGATGGGGTGGGGCTCAGAAAATGTTTCCACCTAGGGATCTGCTTTTAAAGTTAAGCCTAAAGGTTTTATCATCAACTAGGTGACTAGGAAGTTGACAGCATTCCAAGGTAGTGGTGAATTCAAAGAATGATGAATTCTTTGATGGCTATGGTGGTGGTGATGACAATTCTTGTTCTTAGTTAAAACTCATTCCTTGTAGGCCAGGCACCTTTCCCCCTAATTGCTATCCATTCCTTGTTAACTCTGCCAAAGACCTCATGAGGTGGATACATTATTAACACCTCTGTCTTATTGATGAGGAAGATGATGCCCAGAGATATACTCCCTGAGCTTACACAGCTAGAAGATGGCCTGGCTCATGCTCTTAACCTCCTAACAGAACAGAGGACATTCAGAAGGACTATAGAGGAAAGGGTGGGAAGCAGAACTCTTTGGGGGAGAACCCGGTAATCAGATGGGCATGGAGAGTGGGACAGAATGGGGTATGAGAGGGTGTGTGCAGAGCTACTCACCAAAGCATCAGCAAAGCCAGGGTATGGGAGTATTAGTGGATTATTTTTATGGACAGGCCATGATGCTGGTGTCACAGTGCAGTGTTAGCTATTGTATTTAAAATCATTGTTTTCTATGCTTTTGAAGAAGCCAGGGTCATTAAATTTGCACAGCAAACAATCGTATCCCCTTATTGATTGTATTCTGGAGAAAATTATATCCCAGGATAATCATCACCCAAGAATCTGGGCCTGGGTGCAAGGGGGTAAGGAAGGTCCCATAGCTGAGGTCCTCTGGAGTGGGCTTATCAAAAGAAGCCACTGAATAACGATGATTTAGCAACATGGATGAGTCTAAGAGGCAAGATCTGCCCTTTGGAAAGGCTTGAAGTCACTTTCAAATACTGCTCACTAATGTACTAATAACTAGCTTGGCCAACAGTTTACTTTGAACAAACAGAACTCATGTGACTGAAAGCAGAGCACAGTGATAAACACAGCCACAGTTTAATGAATCATTCCAGAAAGAAGGCACGGCATTCCAGGTTGAGGATGGATGCCACAATCCACCCAGTGAACCCTGGGATGGGCACAGATTGTGCCCAGCTCTCATTTACAGAGATGAATACAGATTCTCTTAGTCCAAGCAGAATTCTAGGTTCTCAGGAAATCCTCATTAACAGATAGGAGCTATTCATTTCACTGACAGGGATTAGACAAGTCACTGTGAAACTGGAGTAATAAAAGCACTACAGTCTGCATCAGGCACCTTGCAATCACAGCCCTCCATGTGTGCTCACGATCTGAGGGAGAAATGGACAGGTGGGAAAACATTCTCTCTTTGTTATGAGGTGAGATGATAGATCCACTTTATTTAGCCAGTTGGCCTGGGAGACAGTAGCAAATCAAAAAAGATCTCACAGAGCAGAAGGATTTGATCTGAGCCTTAAAAGTGCACAAGGAGAAACTTCCAGGTAGTTGGAGAAAGTATTTAGGGAACTCCAAGCTTGGTCTAGAAGCCAGAAAATAACAACAAAATTAACATTACTATATTTGTCCCACCTCCAATCCCAGCATCTTGCTTGGTGGTAAACCAAAGCCTTCAAAGCCTCTCATACTTGAAGCAGTCTGTGGAGGAAGGAGCATTGCTGGTTATGGGAATGTGGTGGGGATAGCTTCATTCAGCAGATGCCTTGGGCCTTCCACACCACTCAGAGCCCCAGAAGAGAACTGAAGGAGGGACCAAGGAAGATGGCTCATCTTGACATGTGATGTGAATGTAGGCAAGTAGTGAGCTTGTGTTTCTTAGCTGCCGGGAAGGAATGCCTCACAAGGACAGTAGATAGTACAGTTAAAGCATGAGTCAGCATCAACCTGCAACAGGGCCAAATTTGAGCCCTCCCACACACTAATTGTTACTGGAGTTAAGGTCATAGACCAATCAGCCAATTAAAAGGGTCAAATTAATAGTAGAAAGCAGAAAAGGATTTATTCAATATTATTATATTGGGAAGAAAACCAAAGAGGTCCAGTGGCCCTCTACCCAATACATCTTCAGTTCCGACAGGACAGAGGGTTGGGCCAGAGATAAGCATAAGTAGATAGTTCTGGTCGAGGTGTGGTCCCTCCAATCATTGACCACCACAGTCTCAGCTCCAGTTTGTCCTGCAACGTGATCTGGCAAGTTACAAGGCTCTTTTGGGGAGACAAATTTCCCCTCTAATTGGCCTAGTTTCTATCGGCATGAGATCCCTGAGGAAATTTCAGTTTCTTGGGGTATATTGTTCTGATAGTCTGCTAGCCAAGGGGAGGGAAATATTCTATTTCCATTAGAATATCCTCAATCCTGCCAGGGAAAGGGTTTACAAGATTCCAAAGCCTCAGGCTAGTATTTAAGTTCTCTGAGCCTGGGATGCTGGGCTTTGAAGCAGGGTCATCTTAGACACTTTCTCTTCATATTTGTTTAGCTTTAAGGACCCTCTAATGTGGGCAGCTGTGGAGAAAAGAAACTAAAAGTGTGGTGACCATACTTCACTTCTAATATATAAATACACTTCATGAGAGAATGGCTGTCCCCACCCTTTACTCTACTTGTGTTTTTCTTCGCTTGCTCCAGTCTTTGGACAAATAGGAAACTGCACATTAGTCTAAGGTCACCGGGAAGGGAGTGGAGAGTATGATTTACAGGAGGAGAAATGTTATGAATAGCTGGTATTTTTAGAGCATTATCTTTCTTGTTCATGATGGGGTTTGGTTTCTAGCCCGATGAAACATACATTTTCAAGGTCTGAGGGAAAGCTGGGAGACAGGAAATTGATGCCAAGAGTAGTGAGCAAGCTGAAGGTTTGGACTTTGCCTAAAGAAAAGCAACAGTGACCCTTAGCTTCCTGCTAGACGGTTCAGCTTACAATGTGGTCTTGTTTCTGGGCACCTCAATGATGCTGCCACTCCCAGTCAGATTAGGGGCACCAAGATGGCTGCAGAATCCATCTTATTAGGTTATTAGGTTGCTTCCTTTGAACTTGTGGTGCACTCATTCATACATTAGACAGGCTCCAAGCACACCCAACCATCCTGAGGTGATTCGTTAGTGTGCTTGTTTTCCTACTTTTCCACATGACGCTTGTACTTCCTGCTGTTTCTCAGCCTTCTCAGACCCTCTACTCTCACTCTCTGCAAAAGACCTGGCCTTGTTCTTACAAAGAGCTTTCCCGTTTGGATAGGAGCCAGCTCATCTTTGTTTGTCAGGACCCCACCTCACTGTCCTTCTCTTCTACTCTTTGTCCAGTCAAGGTGAGGTTTCTCTTGCTTTTTAAAGGTCTTGGTTTCTTTAGTCAAAGGTACTGTCTCTGGCCATCTTCTCCCATCACCTCCATCAGACCCTTTCTGCCTGTGTTTGAATATGCTTGCAGCCCTTGGCCCATGTATTCAGCTGAGCTGTCCTGCCAGTGCACTCCCTGTACTCCCCTTCCTAGCCCAAGTGAGGCAGAGATACTCACTTGATGTTGTAAGAATATAAAGGATGGATGATGGCCTAAGGAGGGTTCACTGTGTCTGTACCTTTCTCACTTACCCTTCCTTATCAAGCTCATTCATCATTACCTCAAGGCTCCATGTGACCCTTGCATTATCAAACCCCACCAGGAACACAAACTTTCAGAAGGCACAGTGAAACACAGTGAGCCTTCTCTCCCTGACTCCCAAGCCAGACCCCCTTTTGGCTTGCACCTACCTCTCTGCTTCTCTGTCTTTTTATTCTTGTCCTCCTCTTCCTCTTCCTCCTCTTCCTCCTCCTCCTCCTCCTCCCCCCTCCTCCTCCTCTTCCTTATCCTCCTCAGATGAGCTTGAAGGTACCTGGGAGTTGGTCCTGAGATCTCTGCTCTTCTTTCCTCATGATCTCTCCTTAGGCTATCATCCATCCTTTATATTCTTAAAACATAAGGTATCTCAGCCTCACTTGGGCATCTCCAATTGTCCACCCAACATTTCTTATTGGGTACCTCATGTGCATGACAATTTATCCTGCTCCAAACTTAGCTCCTGCCATATTGGTTGTTCTCGTCAGCTCAGGTCTCCCAGTCTATATACCCTCCATCCTCTGCCCCATGATATTTTGTGCGCATATCTCATCTTTGAGGCTAGGGTTTCTGTTTCAGCATCTCAGAGAGGTCTTTTTTGACCATTCACTCTATACACACCCTCTCTTTTTTCATTTTCTGTCACTGGATAGTTTCATTCACAAATATTATATATAGTTTGTAATTAATATGATTACTTTTTCTTTCTACAAAACTCTACATTGGCAAAAAAAAGAGGTTTATCTTTTCTTCTTTACAATTCCACATTGCCTTGTATGTGTAACATTACCACACTCAATGCACAGTTGAAAGAATAAGTGAAAGTCATAGACACAGTCTATGGGAAAAGAAAGAACTAGGATGCTTCTGTCTACTTCCTCGTGGCAGGGCTCTGCTGTCTGTGACACTTGCCTGTCCACTCACAGCACCTCCTGAAATAAGAATAAAGTTGGATTTGGGGACATCAGGCTAAGGGAGCTGTTGTAGTGTCTGCCTCCTACGGGGGCTGGGGAAGATTCATGGAGCAGGTCTTTATAAAATCTTGTCTCAAAGTAGATGTTTAAAAACTCAAAAGTCAGTGAAGAGCCCGAGTTTCCTCTTTGAATAAGGAACCAGGCCAAAGATACGGTTTTGTCTGTAGATGTTCCATCTCTCCCTGCAATGACATCCTGTACTTCCCTCCTCTCACCAGTGGAAAGACAAATGCAGAGGCTGACTGTGAAGCTTGTGTCCCCGTGCCACTCCCAAGCTGCCTGGAGGACATGAGCCAGGAGACCAAGGCCAGGGCAGAGGAAGAAGCCTACAACAAAGGGTGAGTCAGACCTCGACACCCCAAGGGCACCTGGCAGGTCTCAGAAGGGAGCTTCCCACACCCTGGCTTGCTTCTGAGGCCTTTTTGGGAAGTAATCAATGGGCCCAGAGCCTCTTTTTTTGTTTTTGTTTTTTTATTTTTCAAGACAGGATTTCTCTGTAGCTTTTGGAGCCTGTCCTTGAACTTGCTCTGTAGACCAGGCTGGCCTCGAACTTACAGAGATCTGCCTGCCTCTGCCTCCCGAGTGCTGGGACTAAAGGTGTGCGCCACCACCACCCAACTACCCAAAGCCTCTTTAGTCAAGAAAGGCCTACATAGGGAAACAGGACACAGGATGTGCTTAGACAATGGCTAGCTTCACCTAGACCCTTCTCTTTCAGGCATGATGCCACTGCCTAGAAAGATCTAAACATCAGAGAGGCCTGGGATAGGTTCCTCTTGGTGCTGCCTGAGGCTTCCTGACACATATGCAGAGTTGTCGTGTTGCTGCCAACAGTGCCCAGGGGGCACCTTCAACTGTGCTTCCTAGAATCGCCCTAGTGTTCCCTACAAATCAGAGCTCTCCCTCCTGCCCTTGCCCCACCATTTCTACCCTTGCCTATCTCTAAATGAGCTACATTAGCAACCGGAGCCAGCTCAGTCATTGCGAGAGAGCACTGGCAGGTTCCAAAGTCCAGGACTCAAGATAGAAACTCACCCTTAACCCAGGATAGTGTCCCACGGCTCCCGAGGGAGGTTCAGCTTACCATGGGCACAGAGCCCCATGTATTTGCATGGCAGTCACTTGGTGATAGGTGGGATTGTCCCAGCCAAACTAATGAAGTTAGACACCTGACTGTGAGACAAGTGAGCAAATCTGTTCAGGGAAATACTGATTCCCATGAGAGCTTTTTTCTTTTCTTTTTTCTTCCCCCCACCCCCGAGATAGGGTTTCTCTGTGTAGCGATGGCCACCCTGGAGCTAGTGCTGTAGACCTGAAACTAGCTCATGAGTTCTGGCCTCGAACTCACAGAGATCCACCTGCCTCTGCCTCCTGAGTACTGGGATTAAGTATGTTACCACTGCCTGGCTTCATGAGGGAGCTTTTTGTTTTGTTTTGTTTTTTGTTTTCGTTTTTTGGTTTTGAGACAGGGTTTCTCTGTGTAGCTTTGGAGCCTATCCTGGCACTCGCTCTGGAGACGAGGCTGGCCTCGAACTCGCAGAGTTCTGCCTGCCTCTGCCTCCCGAGTGCTGGGATTAAAGGCGTGCGCCACCAATGCCTGGCCTCATGGGGGAGCTTTTAAGGAAGGTTCACCTCAGAAAACATAAGAGCAAAGTCCCTCCATTGGTTTTATGAGCATTGTCTGGGTACCTTCCAATGTCAAACCTGACATTTCTGAAACACAACCCAGTACCCTGAAGTTAAAGCTCCTGGGTTCCATAGGGAAAATGCAATCTTATCTCTGGGGAATGTTTTGTAGGATAACAACCAGCAGTAGACCTTGTCCCACATTTTTCCCCAGTTTGTCACACTGTCACATAAACAGGAAGGATGGCTAAGGAGTGAGGGGAAATGGTACTGACATGTGTTGCATTGGGGTTCAGCAGAGCTTCCCAGCTTTTTCCTGTTGTATGGAGCCATGGGAAGTGCGCAATGACTGGAGGTTCTTAGTCCCCTCCCCCAGGATCTCAGGCAGGAATGCCCCATGTCCAGCCCTCCCAGACTCAGTTCTTCCTTTTTACTCTCCAGATACCAGGAAGGGGTAAAGAAGACTGAAGAACTTCAAGACCTCAAGGAGGAGGAGGAAGAACAGAAGATGGAGAGTCCCGAGGAACCAGCGGAAGTAGAAGAAACTGAGGAAGAAGAGAAGGATCAGAGAAGCAGGTTGGAAGCCCACACCTGGAACCCAAATGGGTTTCAAGTCATTTAACTGTTGAATTGGATGGAAATTACTTTCCCAGATGGCAGTAGGTCTGGGGCCCAAGTTATTGGCCAACAGAACTTAAGAAGGCACTAACTGGAGAAAATTAAGCTAGAAATGGAACATTTGCAAATGCTGAGGGGGTCAGAGGTCATGGGCAGAGCAGAAAGCCATTACTAGCTCTTAGGAGCTGAGAAAGGGAGATGTACTTTTAGTGGACTCACAGCCAAGCTGTGGTGAGGCCATTCCACAGCCACAATCACAGATGAGTTCAGATCAAAGGAGCTGGCCTGAATTCCTAGAGAGGGTTTGGACAAAAACAAGAACAGCAGAGGGAAACAGAGGGAACATTCGAGGCAGGGAAGTTTGCTCAGTGGCAAAGTTCAGTCTCTAATAGATCCCTCCTATGTTGACCAAATACTTGCCTTTGCACAGTCTCTTCACTTTAGGTCAGAAATAAAATGTTTTCTGTTTTAATATATCTGCTTCTAAGGAGTGGAAGAGGAGATGGAGCACAGAGAAAGAAAGTCTGTATCCTATGACTTGCTCCATTACAGCTGTAGGTCTCACTTTACCGTGCAAAACAATAAATTAAAAACAAAACAAAACTGGCACCAGGGTTTGAACCCAGGACCTTGCAAATGGTAGGCAAGCACTCTTCTGCTGATATGCATCTCCAGACCAAGAACAATAGAAATAACTTTGTCTAGTTGCACGGTATTCCATACAATAAGGTCACGATGCTATAGGCCAGGACTATCCCATATAGGAATATGTTTAAATACAGAACAAACTGTCCCTAAGAAGAGGCATGCACTGCTTTACCAATATAAGCACCAGATCAACACCCTAGATTTTCAGAAGGCCCCAATTTCATATATTCTGCCCAACTATCTCCATTAGTACATCAAAACCATAAGTCTTGTTTTTGCTTTGCTTTGTTTTGTTTTGTTTTCTCAAATGTAGTTATAACAACCTTGGAACATGTCACTGAAATCTTCTTTTAGATACCCTTGACTATCATGGGGTCCAGAACATCTCTAGGCAAAATCATTAGCTGTATGATCACCTGCCCCTGATCCCAGACACAGTGTCTGTAATCTGAGCCTCCCACTGGCAAGCTCCAGAACCCACTCACATGTAATGAATAAGGTAGTAAGTGAAGATTAGAAAGAAGATAACTGTATTTCCAAGCCTGTAGATGCCATTGACAGAACCCAGTGGTGGAAGATGCAACCAGCGGGAGGGTACTCAGCCTGCCTGTGTCAACCCCACTGTCAAGGGAAGAGCTTTCTCAGAGTGTCAAGGGAAATGCTTCCTCGAGGTGAACATGCCTGTGCCAGTTACACCACTCTCTCTGTTGAAAGAACCTCAAGTTTAATCATGACCGCATCCAGTCCTCCTTACATCTCACCTTCCTCTTGTGGGTCATCTGCATTTATTTTGCAGACCACCAGGCTGCCTTTGTCAAGCCCAAGCCTGGACACGAGCCCTTCCTTTGGCACCTTGAATTCATCGAAGACAGGCTAGAATTTCCAACACTTCTACACACAACAAAAGAACAAAAGAGAAATAAACAGAGCAAGCATGTGACTATAAACAGTCTGGCTTACCTTATCTAGCTAACTCCATCTCTGTAGTTGGCAGCGCCCTCCTGTCTCATGAAAGCCTGGGGAAGCAAGGTTTTGCCTGGATCCTTTTCTGCCCACCTTGTGCGCATTTCTTGGCAATGGCCATTTGCTGCACCTGAACCTTTAGAGGCCTCATTCAGACTCCCATCCTTCATACCTGATTGGCATTGTTTTAGGTTATGAGGAGATAACTTCCTCAATGAGGATGACTAATACCAGACCTGAGCAGGGCCCTCCAAAGGGTCCTTAGCCTTCAACACACAGGTACAGCTTCACTTTTTCAGGCTCAGCCCATCTTCTCAGGACATTTATCATACAAACTGCGTGCCCATGCAGAAAGTCCCTCTCTCACCCATAACCCAAGCCAGACTGGTTGCAAGAGCTATCATGCTTGATGCCAGAAGATGCTCAGCCATCTTCTAAGGAGCCCCTTAGAACCTGAGTTGCTTACAGGAACCTTCACTTGAACATGAGTCCCCTGTGACATGTTGGCACCTCACTAGCAAGCAAAGTCCGAAGTTATCAAAAAATCCATGGGTTAGAAAAATGGCTCAGCTATTAAGACTACTTGCTACTCAATCATGAGGACTGGAGTTACAGAGGCATCAGATCCCCTGGAACTGGATTTACAGGAGGTTGGGAATTCAGGAGGTTGGGAATTCAGGTCCTCTACAAGAGCAGAATGTTCTCTTCATTGCCAAGACATCTTTCCAACCCCTTAATCCATCCTCAGTCTACAAAAGAGGCAGTCAAGATCTAGGTACATGATCCTTAAGTGGCTTACAGAGCAAGCCAGTCATCCCATGAACACTTTGTAACCCCAGCTCCAAGAGTGGCAGAGACAAGAAGATAGCTAAAGCTGGCTGGCTTCTAGCAAACTACCTGAGCAAACATGAGTTCCAGATCGAAGGAGAGACCCCTCCTCAAAGGAATAGGAAAAGGGGTTAGAGGAGATCATCCAATGCCCTCTTCCTGCCTCCATGTGCATCCATAGATATATGCACTCATATACCCATGCATGCATGTGCACACACACACACACACACACACACACACACACACACACAGAGAGAGAGAGAGAGAGAGAGAGAGAGAGAGAGAGAGAGAACTTTATGCCCTGTTTTGTACATTTTACAAAACACTGGGACTGGAGAGATGACCCAGAGGTTTAGAGCATTTGTTGCTCTTTCAGAGGACCTGGATTTAGTTCCCAGCATACACATCACAGCTCACAAATATCCTAACTCCATTTCCAGGGGATTTGATGCCTTTTTCTGACTTTTATGGAAACCAGACATGCACATGGTGCACACACATACACGCAGGCAAAACACTCATATACATAAATTAAATAAATAAATTAAAGAACATTGAACGAAGTAAGACCAGTAACTAGCTCCTTATTTGGTTTCAACATCAAACTCTAAGTCTTGTAATTTTCTTCTCTCTTATATGTACTGAACTAGTTTATTATAACTATTGATCTCTGGAAGAACTTTTGGGCAGAGCAACCAGCACCTTCTTAATGCGGTCTGTAGAACTGTTTTGTAAACAGCTGAGATTCACAATATGTAACAGAAAACCAGCTCTTTCTTCTCACCACTGGTTCAGATGTATGGGCTTGAGTGACTGTTAAGTGATGCCATTACTTTTCCAATAATGCTCCAAAAACAGAAGCTTTAGCATCAAAAGTTGACCCAAAAGAATTCTGTTTCTAGCTTAATTTTGTTTCCAGTTTCTCTTATAGGCTAAAAACTGGGGTGACCACTTAAGGATCATGTACCTAGATCTTGACTGCCTCTTTTGTAGACTGAGGATGGATTAAGGGGTTGGAAAGATGTCTTGGCAATGAAGAGAACATTCTGCTCTTGTAGAGGACCTGAATTCCCAACCTCCTGAATTCCCAACCTCCTGTAAATCCAGTTCCAGGGGATCTGATGCCTCTGACCTCCACAAACACATGCACACTAGTGGGTATACTCCCTGCTCCCAACACATAATTAAAAAGGAAACCTATAAGTGCAGGTTTTTTTTTAGAGTGGGCTTCACCCCACACCAGTAGCCTGTTTGGGATCATAAAAATACAGCTCAAAAATGACTCCATTTTGTATTCCAACTATGTCCCACTAAGATCTAAAGATAAATAGTGCTAGAAGGAAGGAAGCTTGTACTTCCAATCTCTCCCTTCCCAATAGTTGCATAAATAGCCAGTGACTTTCCTTAGAAGCAAATGTTCTAAGCTGTCATGAAATGGCTTGCACAGCTGAAATTGGTCCACTTCCAAGTCATGTAATGACTTGTACAGCTGAAATTGCTTGCTGGGTTCCCACACAGACAAAGGACCAACTGCTGTCCCCTGTGGCCATGGCATCCAAGGCAAGCATTTCAAGGAGCTGGCCCCTTTCTTCGGAGGGCATTTTCTGAGTATTTTGATAAATGGCAACCCATCTACTTCCCACCAGCTCTCTGTTCAAGCTTCCATCTTCCTAAGCAGCAGACGTGAGCATTACAGTGTCTTTGTGAGACATGTGGTCTACAGGAAGCCCTTGGTCACTCTCCCTACCTCTTTGGTCTGGTAACCCTCAGTAATCTTGCTTTGCAAATCATAGAGTTGGAATTAGACACAGGAGAAAAAATATAGCTTGCTTAAAATGCTCAGGACATCTCCAGAAACCTCTAGGATGGGACTCTGATTAAATGTCTTTTTACTAAACTGAAGAGAGAGAGAGGGTAGGCTGAGAGGAAGTTGGGAAGGGGGAATATGGTAAAGGTAGAGAAGACAGCTGCAGAGGAGAGAGACAAAGAGGAAGGGAGAGAACAGTTTGGAGAGAGTGGAGAGAAAAGGAGGAACAGAGTGGAGGATGTGTATAATGAAGTTGACAAACATGCATGAGCCTCCGATAGTATGGACCAGTAGCACCAGAATCACCCAGGGATTCTTAGATCTAACTGGTATCATCATTCAGAAGGCTTGGGATATTTTGAATATGATCTGCCAGGTGATTCTCTGAATTGTTGAGCTTAAGAACTCCTGCCTTAGACAGCATAGAAGGTATCTCCAGACAGGGAAGCATGGGTTTGGGCATCAGATATGTGCTCCATATACTAATCTCTCTATCTATATTTCATTGACAGCAAACTTGAAGAACTGGTCCGCTTCCTACAAATCATGTATCCCAAATTGTGTCAACACTGGCAGGTGATCTGGATGATGACCGCAGTAATGCTGGTCTTGAGTGTTGTGCTTGGGCTCTACAGCTCCTATAACTCCTGTACAGAGCAGGCCGATGGGCCCCCTGGGAGGTCCACCTGCTCTGCAGCCCAGCGGGACTCCTGGTGGAGCTCAGGACTCCAGCAAGAGCAGCCAGCAGAGCAGTAGGACATCAGACTCCTTAGCCATGCCCTGCTCTAGTGCATTCACCCAACACCCTGCCCCCAAGTTCAGTGTGTCAGGCCCATGTGTGCACATGTGGTCACCCATCCCACTGGGAAACAAGGAGGCTTTCTCTTCACCCGCATCGCCTCCATGGAAGCTACTCACACACAGTGACCTGATACTTTGAAGAGATCAGCAAAACTGTTCCAGGAAAGTGTCTGGAGTACAAAGAAGCGACCTTCACAAAGGACTCTGGCGCAAGGGAAGAGTCTTGCCCCTGGCTCAGATGGCTTGAGAGAACTAAAACCCCTTCATTCAGGGGACATCGAGAAGCCTGCTCTCCCCCCTTTCCTCCCTATGTTTCATAATCAGGAAGAATTGTACTTAATGGCCAGTGCTGACCATAAGGATCAGACCTGGGACTTGCAGTCACAGTGTGGATGTTTTCCCACTTCCTATGACCAATCTTTAGCCTTCTCTCTCCCCTTCAGAATCACCATTTCCTGTTGGAGAGGGAAAGCTTACTCACAAAAGTACACAGGTTAAAAGTAGTCCCATGCTCGAAAGGAAACAGGAAGATGTGAGTTAATATATAACTTATCTTTATACATATGGACAGTACACACAACATGTTTGTGCACAGACACCCACTCTCTGGAAGCATGCTCTGCCCAGTGGTATCCATGTTGTGTCAACCAACTAGTTTTGACTAGGTATGGAACAGTAGTCACTAGGCATCCATACAGGGAGCCCTCCACACCTCTGAAGATGTTTGAAAACCCTAAGAAGTCATGTCTTCATTGCTCTTCAGATGCCAGTTTGGAGCTGCACAGTTTGTTCCCTGCTTGTGTGCTGCATTTGAAAGTCATCCTACACAGTTAACCCACCCCTTGGTTAAGAAAAGGTGTGCCTTCCACTCCAGACTCTCACTCTGCCTTGCACCTCAGGGCTGCCGTTCTCATGTAATTCCTGCCCAAATGTGTCCTTCCAAGGACCTGTTCAGCATCAAACCAAAGGAGCGCATCCAGCCTCCAGCATGGTGTCTCTCACACTGTTCAGCTGTTATTTTCATTCAGCTCTCATCAGTTGGAGATGGAGCTTCTGTTGTTGTTGCTTTTCTGTTTCATTGTTTTTGTTGCTAACCCTCATGTAGAATTTATTGTGACCCCAAAGTGTTTCAGTGTTATATAGGTAGTAGTAATTCATTTAGTCCTCAAGAAAAACAAAATCTGAAATGGATATTTTTCTCTCCATGTCAAATAAGGAAACAGAAGCATAACTGATACAAGAATATGTGTACACACACACACACACACACACACACACACACACAGAGAGAGAGAGAGAGAGAGAGAGAGAACTTGTCAATCATGTATAACTAGTAAGTAAATCATTCAAACTAGAGTGGTCTGGCTCCAGGGACTGTACTCCTGACTCTTCTCTGGTCTCCTAGCTAGGTGCCTTCCAGTCTGAACCCACTCCCCCAGTTGGCCTTTCAGCTGTTCCAAACTAGCCATGGTTCTCAAATGAAATTACTCCTCCCATTGTACTTCAACTAATAAGCATGTTTCCTGCCATTGTCCTCTCCTCACCACTCTTGAGGACCAAGCACAAACATTACCCCTCTCTACACGCCTCAGTGACCTCTTCCCACATTCTTACGATAGCCAGCATCATGCATGGCACCCCACTTAGTGCTTCTGGCACTTGTTAAATTTCAATCGTTGACCTGTACCTACTATCTAACCCATTTATACATCTGTCTCCCTGGACATTTCCCTCAAATACTATGTCTTAACCATCTCTTGGATAGGTACCTAACATGGTAAACACTTTTGAGAGGGTCATTTAATGTTGGTTTAAAGAACAAGTGACATTCAAGGTGGAGAGTAGCCTAGAACATGACAATTTGAGGTTTCCCAATACCATCACCCTCAGGACCATTCTTACCTCCATGAGAAACCTGTCATGACTAATTCCTAACCCCAGCTTACGTTTATCTTTATTTACTCTGAGAGAGCAAGAATGAAACCAGACTACAGAAATCCCATTGCCAAGTTCAAGACTCCATGCAACCACTCCTTTTAGAGAGACATGCCTCCCATAACTCACCCTGAATAGGCCTCACTTTAAAATACTCGTTTTGAAGGGGCACCCTTTACAGTGGCTGAAACATGGCAGAGTGAGGAGCCCCAGGATGTGACATTAAAGGTAATGAGGTTCAGAGTGAGGCAGTGGAATTTTGCAAGCTTAAGTAGATGGCTTACCTGGCACCTTCCAAGGGACTGGATACAACCAAATGAGATTTAACTAGTAAGCATCACATAATCAAAGACAAGGTGTAGATGGAATGCAGAGGGAACAACCGTTAGGATTCTAGGAGGTCAATGTCTAATCTCAGCCCACTCCCACACCAAAAGAAGGTCCAACTTGAGTGAGCCCATCGGCCATTTGGCCACAGACTGTCACCTCTGTTCTAGGTGAGACAAAGTCAAGAAGAGCATGTGTAAACTACTTCAGCATTGTCACTGGCCTCTGAAGCCTACAGGAGTCCTTGGGCCTAGATCAGCAACCACACTACTCCAGCTGTAAGGGCAGCTGAGGAAAAGGACATCTCTAAAGAGCATAGCCATATTTAGGACAGCATGGCTGAAAACACACGTGTTGGTTCACCTTTTCAGGAAAACAAGGGATAACTTGAAGCAGTTACAGATGCTGCCACACATGGCCAGTGACATGGAAGCCAGCCTTGTGTTTCCAGACATAACAGTAAAATTAAATAAAAGGTTCCCATTCAAGATGCCTCTGAAACCTGGCATTTCTGCTTAGCCTTGCGAGTCTGGTTGCCAGCCTTCTATTGCAGAGGGATGTGTTTGCATCACCATCGATTCACTTCCTAAAAGGAACTTCACTCTCTAGCCACCATGAAGTCTGTTTCCTTTGTACAGCCTGGAAGAGGGAATGGCAAGGGAGACACTGGACTTACATATCACCAGCTGTCAGTCCCTAATGTTAAGCCTCACACAGGTAGGTGTGCTAGTGTTGAACTGTAGAATGTCACATAGCTGAGTTTGAAAATAAACGCACATTTCCAAACCTTTGGCAGAAGTCAAATGCCTCTTTGTTATGTGGACCTGAGTCCTACTCTTTCTCCAATGCTGAATTAGATCCACAGAGAACCGTAGACCTGAACTTCTCTCGGGAAACACAATCAGGATCTAATCTGGAAAGACTAGATCTTTCTCCAAAATGTCTGTGACTTTTCCTGTGGCTAAAATACCCTGGCAAAAACAACCTAATGGGGAAAGGGTTTACTTTGGCTCACAATTCAAGGGTACAGCTTGTTATGGTGGGGAATTCTTGGCAGCAGGAGTTAGAGGCATCTGGCCAAACTGCAGCTGCAGTCAGTAACTAGAGTGGTGAATGTCCTCAGCTTACTTTCTCATTTTCATACAGTCCAGGATCCCATCCTAGGGAATGATGCCCCCCACAGTGGGCAGGTCTTCCCACCACAATTGGCCTAATCTAGACCATCCACTAATAGGCATGTCCATAGGCTCATCTCCTAGTATCTAGACGATTCTAGATTTGATAAAATTGACAATGGCCATCCTCCATCTTTTGAATATGAGATGTAACTTTTGTTCATATGTTACATTTTATGGGACTGTTAGCCTTAAGACAGAGTAACCAGTTCTTTTCTTGTGGAAGTCAGTTCTTTCCTTCCACCATGTAGGTCTTGTGAATCTAACAAGGTCATTAGTCTCAGTGAGGCACACCTTTATCCACAGAATCACCTCAACAGTCTCCTGGGCCTTGTTTGTTTTTGTTTATTTTGAAACCAATTTTTACTTTGTAGCCCAGGCTGGCCTTGAACTCGTTATCCTACTGCCTCCATCTTATGAGTGATTGGAGTACAGGCATGCACCACCACATTCAGTTTAAGAAAAGGTTCATTTGGATCACAGTGATAGAGATTCAAGGTCATGATGCCTTTGCCAGTTCATTTCTAGTGAAGGGCAAATGGCAGTGACAGGATTGGATGTTGGAGCAAGCGGTCATGTGTCAAAAAACTAGAAACAGAGAGAAAAAGGGTGGCCTTATATAACAACCCTTTCCCAAGAGCTCCCAAAGGAACTGCACAAGGAAAACTTCCCACTAACTCCTTTTCCTAATATGGTACCACCCTGGAGACCAACCATTTAACCACAATAGACCCTTGAGTGACACTCAAACTGCAACCCATCCACAGCAATGATCTTCATCATGCCATTTCTCTGGCATTCCTGAACCACATTAGTCTGATAATTTCTGTGACTTCCGTCCTTCCCCTTGACAAGTGGGAACTTTCATTGAGATCATCCAGATCCTGCCTCACCAATACACTGGGGAGTGGTATACACTCCTTTATACTCATAGGTACAAGTATACAAATTGCCACAGCTATACTTGGAGTACTGGGCATGTAGTGGTTTGAATGAGAATGGCCTCCACAAGCTCATTTGTTTGAATACTTGGTCCCCAGTTTGGTGGAACTGTTTGGGAAGGACTAAAAAGTGTGACTTCATTGGAGGGGGTGTCAAGGAGGGCACACTTTGAAGTTTCAAAAGTCCCAAGCCTTTCCAGTTAGCTTTCTCTGCCTCATGCCTGTGGAACAAGCTCTCAGCTACTGCTCCAGCACCATGCTCCCCACCATGATGGTCATGGACTCACCATCTGAAACTATAACTGTTCATTAAATGTTTTCTTTTATAAGTTGCCTTGGTTGTGACTTACAGAAATTGAAAATTAACTAAGGCAGGGCATAACTCTGAGATCAAGGACTCTGTGCAGGGTAGGACCTTGGGTGGCCTTCTTTGAGAAGAGAACAGTGGTCTGCAAAAGGGAGAAATAGTGGGCCAAATATTGGGTGATCAGGCAGGGACACTCAAGCATGTATGTATGAGTGCTCTATTTTTATGCCAGAAGAGGGCATCAGATGATGTCATTATGGATGGTTGTGAGCCACCTAATGGTTCCTGGGAATTGAACTCAAGACCTCTGGAAGAGCAGCCAAGTGCTCTTAACTGCTGAGCCATCTCTCCAGTCACTCAAGCTCTTTTTACTCTTGGGTACATAGCTGAATTAAAACTCATTAATCAGGTTAGATGGGAACATGTGACCCAAGGACTGATTACTCAGCTATAAACAGGAGTGATACATTCCAGGCATGGCCTCAAAAGCAATCTTCAACACCATTATCTACATTTGCTGATTCACTGTGAAGATCCAGAAAGAGAACTCAGAGATATTAGAAGACAGAAGTGCCATGGGAGTCAGGTAAAAGCAGCCTCTATCTTTGAATAAACTGTACTGTGGAATCCTCACTATACACGTCCACTATTACTACCATCACCACCTGTCAGCCATTGGAATGCCACATAGACCTTTCAAGTAAGCCATTGAGTTGTGCCGTTGTTGGTTGTAGTAGTTAGACTACAGTGACTAATACATTTGCCCACCTGTATATTTCTTTTTTCTTTCTTTCTTTCTTTCTTTCTTTCTTTCTTTCTTTTTTCTTTCTTCCTTCCTCCCTCCCTCCCTCCCTCCCTCCCTCCTTCCTCTCTTTTTTTTTTTGAGACAGAGTTTCTCTGTGTAGCCCTAGGTATCCTGGAACTCACTCTGTTACCCAGCTGGCCACAAATTCAGAGATCTTCCTGCCTCTGCCTCCTGAATTCTGGGATTAAAAGTGTGCACCACCACCATCAGGTGTTAGTAAGATTTAAACTCAAATGCAGACATCATCCTTAGCCCAGCATTCTGGATTGTACTGTATTTCTGTGCTGCCACTTTGCAAAACCTCTACTCTATTTAAATTGTAATTGCATGTGTTGAATTTAAAAGACAACTAAAAAGCTTCTTCATATTAAAGCCCATGATCTCTGTGTTAAGCTCAGTCTTTGACATCAGGTCCAGCTATGGTACTTTGTGGTCTGGTGACCTATGGACTTTTGCTCCTGGTTTTAATAACCCTGGAGTGTTTAATAACGCTGCATATTCCATATTTGCTGCTGTCCTTTGGAAATTAATGGATAATCCCTTCATTTAATTTTACAAATTTCTAGTTGTACAAACTTCTCCTCTCATTTTTGGTTCTCTTTGGTGATAGCATGGGCTGTTATTTAGAAGTGGACAGCATAGAGTACACCCTTCCTCGTCCTGAACACCCTCAGAAATTATAAAGCCGTGCTCATCTATCATCTGTGCTTCTGCTCCTGTCTCCAGGTTCTTGTCTCGAGTTCCTGCCATAACTTCCCCCAGTGATGGACTGGGACCTGGAAATGTAAGATGAAATAAATGCTTTCCTCCCCGTGCTGCTTTTTCTCAGTGTTTATGTTTGCAACAGAAGAGGAAACTAGAATAGGCTTATTATACAGAGAGGCTTAGAAGCTGATACTGAGTATATTCTAACTCTGGGAGGCGGTGAATTCCAATCAAGTTTCCAATCACCCACCTTGGGGAGAGAAGCTCCTTTTTTAAGGAGGAGGTGGTGAGCACCAAGGCTTGTAGCAGCTCAAAATTCTGAGGTTAGGTGACTGCTGAGTGCTCAGACCTGAATTCCACAACCCCCCTCATCCCATCCAAGACTGACTGGGGGAATACAGGTAGAAGAGGATGGGAAGGACTGTAAGAACTTCAGTGGGAGAAAGAGCTGTGAAATGCTGTCTTGGAGCATGATGCGCCATTGCAGTCACCAAGCACAGCAGCTGTGGTCACTTGGACAAGATTGAGACCATGCACTTTCCATCACAGCCAGGGAGGGATGGCGCTCACGGGCAGCTATTGGCAGTTACTGGCTTCCAGAGAAGAAATCATCAGTTTTCTTCAGGAAACAACCCCACATCCGTGCACATGTAAACAATCTTAATTAAACTCAGGGGTTATAGGGAAAAGGCAACACAGGAGGGGGAGTTGCTGAGAAGAGGGAGTTGGGAAAAAGTGGGGAGGAGATAAAAAGAGAGGGCAGTGGTGAATATGATCAAAATACATTATATACATGTGTAAAATTGTCATTAAAAAAAGGTCCAGGCCAGCTTTGGCTACATAGTAAGAACCTGTCTTGAAAATAATATTTATTCCCAGTCATTTCCTAACAGTGGCTAAATTCTTCTCTCACCCAGGTCATTAACAAATTGTTTCCTCATTTTGGAAACTCATTGCTCAGCCCCAGTACAATCATTCAGACCTTCTTTGTCTGAGAATTCCCCAGCTGTCCATTTATTTATGAAAGCCAGTGTCTTCTGACTTCTAAGTTATTTCTCACATGCTTTGCTTTCTACAGTTAAATTTTCCCTTCCTGCCATTCTCTCTCCCTTCTTGTGATAATTTATTCTTTCCATCATGGTGCTAAGCATTAAGACAATTCAAAAGGACACAATTCCTACCTCTCTTTCTGGAAATGCAGGGCTAGTGTCACATGTGTTTATGGAGTACCCAGGGCTTGTGTACAAATAAGTAACACATTTACATTGGAGATATTCAGGGGCTGCTATTTCCCTGGTCTCCTAGAAGCTCTGAGTGTTTGTGAAGAAAAGATTTTCATTGCTGGTATTTTCTTCACATTTGTCTAAATTTGTTACCAGTAGCAATTATGTAAAACTAGTTTATAGTGGGAAATTACCAATACGGAGTCAGCTTCCCCTACACTAGTTACCCTTGTGATTGCATGTGTTGAATTAAACAGGCAGCACTCAGTCTGGAGAGATGGCTAAGCATTTAAAAATAAGTTCTGTTCTTGCAGAGGACCTGAGTTCAGTTTCCAGCATCATGTTGGATGGTTCATACTGCTTGTAACTTCAACTCCTTGGAATCTGACACCCTCTTTAGAACTCGATGCATCCCTGAACTCATGTGCACATACCCCCCCACATGCATATGCATTAATTTAAAAATAATAAAAAGAATTCTTTGAAAGGCAATGCCAGACCCATAATGCACACTTGTTTTTGGAGAAAATTCACAAACTTTTGCTCAAGGTATTACTCAAGAGCTCTGACTATTATGATTGAAGAAGATGAACCACTGAAAATCCAGTTTGGAAATATCAAGTGCATTCTGACTTAACACAGTGTGGATATCTCTCATCTACTTCAGATGAAGAAGATGGAGTCTAAGTTGAATTCCACCAGAATAAAGCAGAAGTTACTAAGCAAAGTGTGACACAATAATCCTGGTGGTGGTGGCACACGCCTTTAATCTCAGCACTCAGGAGGTAGAGGCAGGTGGATCTTCAAGTTCGAGGCCAGCCTGGTCTCCAGAGTGAGTTACAGGACAGCCAAGGTTACACAGGAGAAACCTTATCTTGAAAAAACAAAATAAATAAATAATTCTCATGGTGATAACTGTCATACCAATCAAAACTCTTTTTATAGGGTGCAAAATGTCTAATTTAAAAACTAAATTCTCTCCTATTTGTGTTTTTATAAATATGAATTTTAAAAGATGATTTATTTGTATGTATGTATGCATACTTACGAGCAGATATGTGCAATGAGTATGGGTGCCTGCAGGAGTCAGAAGATGGCATCAAATGCCCTGGAGTTGGAATTGCAGATGATTATGAGCTGCTCAGTGTGGGTTCTGGGATCCAAACTCAGATCCTCTGGAAGAGCAGCAAGTGCTCTTGACAGTTGAGCCACTGTTAGGGCCCTACATGAGACTTTATGAGTCTGGTCTCTTTGAAAAAAATGGATCTCCTAACAATGTTGATATGTCCAATGTATGTAAGATGTTCCAAAGGAATGAATGTTTTTTAAATGAGCATTTACTATCATAATAAGCCTCACTATTATTTCTCTACACATTAGAAAGCAATGTAGCTGAGACTGGGTGTAGAAAGGAAAGAAACACAATTCATCTTCAATCTCTCTTGGAGGCAAAGACAGTCACAGGATTATATGAATGAATGGGCTCTGCAAACCATCACAATGAAGAGTGTGGGAACTGGGCCCACAGGGGAATATGGGAATGGGGGAAATCTTTGGCAGCTGACACTGTGCTATCTGCCTTCCTCATTTGTGTGCTTGCTGAGTCAGCATTAGCTAAATGTTCCAGAAAGCCATCCACAAAGTACAGCCTGGGCGTTCAAGGGATGTCACTCATTTCCTCTAGTGATTTTGACAAATCAGAAGCTTGAAAGCAGGGAAATCCTCAACATATTTCCAGAACTCTCCATCCAGCCTGGTGATTGAGCATCTGTCTCCCTTACTGCTGGTGGCCAGCTACAGGACTTCTGAGGGGGTCTGCACAATGTTCAAGCACTTTAGCCTGGTGTTGCTTCTCACCTCTACTTGGACCACTAGGCTCCCAGTCCAAGGTACCATCAGAGTGCAAGGTAGGTGTCTTATCAGGTTTCTAAACTGAGAATAGACAGGGTCTTGGGAACTGTCCTAAGCCCACTCTGCTCTTGACCATGGACTGATGGGAATGGGGGAGACTCTTGGGGGCAACAGAAGATTGAATGGGTTTTATTGCTCAGCTTAGAGATGTCTTCACTATGTTGTCAGCTTCACCAAAATGACTTATATTCACCTTTACATCACTTAGAATGTTATTCTGGGTTATGGAATACTTATAATAATAATAATAATAATAGGATGAAATAAAACAATGAGAAGTCATTTGTTTTCAAAGGGTTTCATTTAAGAAGCAGGTCAGTGTTGTGAATATTTAAAGCAATCTCTGAGCCTGAGGAGGAATGGGTAACTTATTAAATATCACCACTTTATACTCCTGTTCGTGTAATTGTTTTAATAACAACGTTATTCTGCCACTAGTGAAATGCAATGTTTTAATTTTCAGTAAATTTAATATTCAGGAAATTAAATGAAAAATACAGGCTTAATTTGTTACCATTAGCAGCTATGACGGGAGGGACTCTATGGTTTCTGTGTTTGCTGGATGCATGCATGGAAACCTCTTTCTTCATAGTAGGAAAAACACTGGAACCACAAATCACTGGTTACACTCCTGGGCAAGTGATACAATGAGGTTATTAAGGAGAATCTATTCTTCTGCTGAAGATGCCCCAAGACAGGAGCTATATCAGGAATAGACATTCGGTATTGATTGATATATTGCTGGACTTGACTTTTAAGAGAGGTTAGAGTCAGATGATTAGTTCTCCACCCCCAAATACCAGAACTGTAACTTTTAAATAAACCTATTCCTCTTAGAAATCCCATCAGGAGACCATTCACACTTTCCCCTGAAATACTACCATTACACAGTTATTTTGGAGTCTTTTTTTTTTAAAGACAGGGTCTCTTATAGCCCAGGCTAACCCCAAATTCACTACATATCTAAGAATGACCTTGAACTCCAGACCCTTTTTGCCTTCACCTTCTGGCTGTTAGGATTATAGGTGTGTACTACCACGTCCAGTCTTAACAATGAAGAAGAGTGAACTGAAGGCATTATGCCATGCTAGTCAAGCTCCCCCAACTAAGCAATATCCCTAGCCCTTAGACAACACTCTTTGACAATGACTCTATCTATTTGCTTTGTCCTCAATAATGACATTTTTTTCTAAGGAGATTAAACTCTTGGAAAGAGCAGAAAGTTAGCTGGTTACCAACAGAAAGTCTTACTGGACTCTGGTGATGTGGTGAGTGGGCACAGATAGGAACTTCTTAAAGGGCTTGTTGCAGAGAGATTCAGAACTGAGTATATGTAGAGTTTCTTTGAGTACTCTCTCAATAAAACATTGTTTATATAAAAAAAGCATTAGTACAGCTAAGGACTTTGATGTCATGCAGGTAGTAAATACGGACACTTGGCATTGACTCTGTGCTATATGATTCCCAAGAACAACTATTCCTGCAATCTGTGATGTTTTCTAAGAAATCTTATGGAAACTGTGATAGGAGTGCACCCTTGGATTCCAGCTTGATGTCAGTCAGAATTTCTAAATGACACTGCAAAGCATGAAGTTTCTATATTTGATTGCCTCCCGTGGATCTAAGCTCTACTAGGTACACGTTACCTGGTTTAATTCCAAACATGAGAGGCAAGGAGTACTTTGCACAGGCTTGGGAATTTGAAATGGATTTTCATAGATAAAGCTAGACAGGTGTGTGTGTGTGTGTGTGTGTGTGTGTGTGTGTCTCACAAGAAAATTTCATGATGTTTTAAGTAATTTTATAATTTTGAGCCATTAATCTATCTTTTTGTTTGTTTCTTTGCTTGTTTTTGTTTTGTGAGATAGGGTTTCTCTGTGGCTTTGGAGGCTGTCCTGGAACTAGCTCTTGTAGACCAGGCTGGTCTCGAACTCACAGAGATCCGCCTACCTCTGCCTCCCGAGTGCTGGGATTAAAGGTGTGCGCAACCAATGCCCGGCTGCCATTAAGCTATCTTAAAGGTTCATGAGGTCCTTGGGCAGAAAGCTGGACATCCCTGCCAGAGGCTTGCATAGCCATTACTTACAAGGCTAAATGTCTTTTTTATTGGCCTTCATAGATAAAATCCAATGGGAGTAAGGTACTAGAATATAATACAACATGGTAAATGTATATAGGTCCATACCAGTGGAGTGGGTCAAAAAAAAAAAAAAAAAACCCTCCCAAAATCCACTAGATTTTGAGAAAAATATTCTGACAAGTCCGGCTGCTTCAGCCTTCCCAGGAAGATCAGTCTGTGGTGGGTACACCAGAATGCTTAAAGACCAAATGACAGCATTATCTATAGTTATCTATTAGCAGCTAGTATGGCAGATGCTATGCTGAGTCCTATAAGAATTCATTCATGTAGCTCCCACTTTTACTCTCTATATTCCAAATAAGAAAATGAGCTCAAAAAGATAAAGTAACAAGCATAGGGTCTCAGAACTACAGAACAGCATAAGCGATACCAAGCCCTGCCCTGACTCAAACTCAACTTCCTTTATTTAGTTCCCCTGCCCTGCAAGATTTCCTGCTTGCTCCTTCAGGAATTTCTGAGTAAGCCTGTCCTCCAAAGGCCAGAAAGGACTGAAAAGGAGAATTCACATTCTCTTCTAGCAAGCACATGGCCAGCCCCTGTCAAAACAGGAATGTCCCTGGCCACACTACTTTGGAGTATTGTTAATGATTATTCTGTTAACCAGAGCCCTGACTTCTATCTTCCTCAAAGTCTCAGAGGCTTCCTTTTATAGACTTCAAAAACAATGTTGGAAGCATCTAAATCCTGAGACACCACCCCAGGAACTGATGGATAGCTAAAGCCCTCGTGTGATTGGCAGGTTCCTTGGTGCAGAGTGATCTATGTGCTCTTAATCTGGAGATTTACAGCCGCCACCAGTCAGAACAAGCATCTAACCCAGAAGGCAGTCTTTGCAGGATATTCCTGGCCTTTGTTATTATTTCTAAGTCCAGCACCAGCCTCACAGACCTGGGTCAAGACAATGATTCTCTGTGAGAAAGGAAAGCCTGAGAGCTGGGAACAAACCAGAAGCAAACTGAGGACTTTATGATTTCTTTTCAGAACTTTCCATCTCCACATGTAGATACATGGGGGTTGCCCTCGTGGGTAAAAAGGCAAACCCACAGATGAATTTCACAGAAGCCGGGGAGGTCTGCAAGGTGCTGGGGCTGACTCTGGCCAGCAAGGACCAGGTGGAAGCTGCACAGAAGTCTGGCTTTGAGACTTGCAGGTGAGAAAGAGCTTCATTAAAGCCAGTGTCCTGCTTAGCGGTAGACTTGCTGCCTTCTAACCTCTGTCCATTCAACCAATGTGTACTCTTCTACAGCTATGGGTGGGTCGGAGAAAGGATCACCGTCATCCCTCGGATTTTCCCAAACCCCAAGTGTGGGAAGAATGGGATAGGTGTCCTGATTTGGAAGGCTATGCCCAGCACAAAGTTCAAAGCCTATTGTCACAACTCATCTGGTAAGTCGGACCCACAGTCACTTCATGTGGCACGTCTTCCTTAGGTGTCTTAAGATCTGGGACCTGCTGCAACCCTGAACAACAGCAGAGGCAGTCACTGATCATCAAAATGTTCTAAGACAAGGTTGGGGGAGCAACATGCCCCTCAGAGGAAAACATTAGAGAAGATACAACTGAGTGGTAGCATAAGGACAGGGTGTTTCCAGGGCTCAGGGTTTCCTGAAAGGTAAACAGGAAGTGGGAAAGAAACAGATGTATGTGATGCATCCCTCTGGATAAAGCAATTGAGAGGTTAGCTATCTCAAAGAACCTTGAATTTCCCCTGAGGAAGCCTTCTCATTCCGTCTTCAAACAAGGTGATGTATCTATGGGGACTTAAGTCCACTTGTCTAATGTTTCTTTGTTAGACATTTCCCATTTCTGTGATAAAATAACTGTAGCTGAGCAATTTATTAAAAAAAGGAAGATTAGCTCACAGTTCTAGAGAGTAAAGGTCATGGCACAGCAGCAACTAGACAATGGAGAGGTAGGTCTTCATGTCATCACAAAGGCAGGACTGTGTGGGAGAGTAGGGCTCATTGGCTCATGGTTTGCAGCCATCTTGACAGTCTTCCCCACTGGCCCTGGTTGCCCTAACCTAGTGGTTTTCCTAAGCCATTTCTCAGAACATTTCCTTCAACTAATGCCCAGCTGTTCTCTGTGTCATAAGAGGGCTGCTTGACTCATTTCTTTTCACATATACTCCCATGTCCAATTAACCAGCTAGCAATCGGTCATATGTACACAAAGAGACATCAATATTGATTTGTAACATCTGAGAGATAAGTAATGCATACCAATCGATTTCAGCGAAATTGAATCCAGGAATCCCAAGAAGTTCTCTGAACTAAAGGGCTTTGACATAGGAAGGGCTCTTAGAGACATCTGTCCTGCTTCCCGCCTTCACCAATAGTTCAGTGTATGTGTGTTAGGGTGGGGGTTTAGGGGTAGAGTCAAGATTTCCAGTTGATTCTCCTTCCAACATGACGACTTGTCTCCATCCTTCCCTGCACTCCAGCCTGTCCTAGCTAGAGAACTTAGTGATTTGTGTGCCTGCTTATCTCATTACCACCGTTCCTGGGTGCTGGCCCTGCCTCCTGGCTGCCTTGCTTCTCCACCTGCTGGCAGCACAGTGTTATGGTACCCATCGGGAACTAAACAGGAGAGGAAGGGGACTCAGACTTGTCTGTTTCCTCCTGCTTTCCTTTACATTGTACTCTTAGCCCCTGTTATTTCCTACACCCCAAAAGGTCAAGAGGCTTCAATTTCTGGTGTAGGTAGTGTTGTGTAGCCTCATCACAGTAAACAGTGTCAAATGTCAGTAGTTCCCATTACTAATTGCTCTAACTTTGAGTGTTTGAGTAAGGCAGTGACTAACAGACTGAAAATGAAATGAGGAGGTAAGTTTTCTCCTTTGTAGTTAGTAAGCAATCTAGCATATGATATTTTAGTACCATGTAAATATCCTCACTCCAAACTACCACTGTGGTCCTTGCTGAAAATGGTTTTTACTTAGGGGACTATGGAGTAGGAATTTTTCTACATAATTCCTCCTTTCTACATTTATTAGCTAGCCCCACCCCCACAACACACACATGCATGTGCATATACACACACTTTCTCCACCTTATACTATTGCAGATACGTGACATTTGATTTATTCAATGTGTCAAACATATTACAATAAATTTTATACTCATTATTCTTTTAAGTCATATATATATTCCAAATCTAGCATGTGGGAGTCCTAGACGTGACTACTGCTTCCTAGCAGTGGACAGGCCCTGGCTTACTTTGTGTCCTCTCTGCTCCTGGTGGAGAGGTAACAGTTAATTTCTCTACAGAACTCTACAGTACAAAGTGCTAACCAGAAACAAAATCTGCATGAAAATTATTCTCATTACTAGTGGTGTTTTTATTGAGTTTTAGCAATGAAGACACACACACACACACACACACACACACACACACAGAGAGAGAGAGAGAGAGACAGAGACAGAGACAGAGACAGAGACAGAGAGAGAATGTGTATGTGAACCATGCATTTATATTGATGTTTCCAATCCAGATTTAATAACTTACCTTTTCTGACTTCACCTTATCTGTCTTCTCCTACACCCAATATCTTGGTTCTTAGTAAAGAATACATTTTCTTGTGCTACAACAGTTTCAAAATAGCAAAGCCAGTATCTTTAGGAAACAAATCTATTGAGTAAAACTGAGGATTTCTTCACTGCCCCCGAAGAAATTTCTGCCAGGACAGGTGATCAGGGAACTTCGTACAGAAGTGACTGGACAAAATCCACCCCTGTTGGGATTAGAATCTCATTTGAAATAGAAGAGGTTTGTTTGCTTCTGTTGGTGGTCTGTTATAGGGTACAGATTTTATTGTTTTAATTTTCTCAAATACACACAACGTCAACATGCTGTGATTGTCCAAAATAGTCAGGGAGGTCTTAACTCCTGGTCTTTCTGTCTTTTCATTTTTGGTCTGTGCCTTTGTTTTGGGCATAAAGAAAGGTCTGTGGGATATTGTTAACTTTTCTCACAAAAAAGAAACTGGAATACCACACTGCTCTGTGAAATGAGTCTGGATTGGCTCATAGAGACGTTTGAATGGTTGTGTTTTCAATGAACTCCAGTGGCTTTCCGTATAGTGATGTATTCAGTCTGTCTTTTGTCAGTGGACTTCTGTGCTGTTCCTAATCTTTCTAAGTTTTAGGAACCAGACTTCTCTAGATTCTCCTATTTCTGTGCAATTTGCAAGAACCCTCCTCTGCTCCTGGATGCTCTCCCTCCCTTTACATCTGAACCCTCCCCCGCTCACCCTTTGGGTAACTGTTACTCTTCTGTTTGCCCTACAGCCTTGGGCAACTTCCCATATAATGCAGTATGTAACATGTGATGCCTTTTGCATATAAAAGTAGATGCATATGAAAACTCTCAAATATGGTTTAAAAGGGTTGCAAATCCCAGTAGAAAAGACCCTCTCTTAAAGAGTAAATCCCAAGCCCTTTAATAGGACAACTAGCAATCTTGATATCCTGGCCAGATCTTTCTCTTTAGCTTCACCTCCTACTTGCAGACTTTCTCCTACTGGTCACACTCACACCATTCTCTGGGCCACACTATACTCCTTGTCATTTTCCTGACCTAACTATACCTTCCCACTTCTCCATTCTTGGATCATGCATATCCTGCCAGGACATCCTGTTCTCTCCCTACAGATGAGCTCTGCTTTGTTTCAGTCACACTGGCTTTCTTTCTGGTTCATGGAATGGGCTCAGCATAGTCAAGTTCTAGCTCTTGTACTTTTTGTTTTCTTCCAGCATCTGCCCCAGATCTCCAGTGACTGGCTGCTTTTAACCACTGGGTCTCAGGTTAAGTACTGCCTCCCCAGGAGACTTCCTCTCACCACCCTAGCCAAGTATCCATCCTTCATTTCCACCCTTACCAGTTTAACCCCTACCACGTTTAAGTTCCTTTTCACTGATTATAATCTCCTGAAATTCATGGCTTGTTTATCTTTTGTTATCTCTATTCTTCCAATGGATTAGAAGATTCTTAAGAACAGGGGCTTTGTCTCTGGCATCTAGAAAACTGCCTGGCATGGAGATGGTACTCCATAAGTATCTGTGGAATGAACACCATCAGCCCTCCACATTCCACCCACGTTTCTCTGGCCAGAAGCAGGAACTATTTATTCTTTATGTGTCTGTGTGTTTTAGAACTCAACAGTGTCTATTGAGTTCTCTGTGTTTTATTCCCTTGCTTTAAAAAAAAATGTTCATTTTCTGGAGGAAGAGCCAAAAAGTCAACAATGATGCTTATTTGAACAGGGATACTTTCAAAGTACCATGAATAGGATAAAACATTCACTTGATGCATGTGTAGTCAAACATTCTTGTATAGCTTTAATTCTGGCCAGTGGTATCTAGTGCTGTAAATAATCAGGGGTTTAAAATAGATGCAAATTTGTGTTGTAAGACATTGTGCAGTCCTGCCATTTCCTAACCGTGATTGAGCAAGAGAACTTGATGTCTATGAACTTCAGCATCTTCCCGTGTAAATAAAGGCTTGGTGAGTGTTGCGTGAGAAAGCTAAACATCTGGTAACATGGCTGACTCAGACTTAGAAAACAGATAATGTGTTTCCTCGAAAGTCTATCCAACAGATTGGAAACACTACTCTCTCCCTCTCCTCTCTCTCTCTCTCTCTCTCTCTCTCTCTCTCTCTCTCTCTCTCTCTCTCTCCCTTCCTCCCTCGCTCCCTCCCTCCCTCCCTTCCAACACCAAGATATTTTATTTTAGATCTTCTTCTAAAGTGATATCATATGTCCACCCCCCCAAGTTACTCCTTCCTCCCTTTCATCTTTTGCTTTCTTTATTTCTTCTTTATCAGATGTTCACTGAGCATATACTGTATGCCAGGCACAATAATCCAATCAGACAAGTGCTCTACTATCAGAAGTTCACAGTCCGTCCGGAGTGGGACAAAATGATGGGAATTAAGATCAGGCAAGGGCAAGAATATGTGTCTAGAGAAGTATGAAACTTGGGGAGAATTGGCTAAGTAAAGATCAGACAGAGGTTTTAAAGGTGGAAAAGGAATCACTGAGAAAGCCAGGGAGATTAAGAAAGTGTAGCAAGAACTAAAGGGCTAGCAAGGCCAGAGAGAGAGAGAGAGAGAGAGAGAGAGAGAGAGAGAGAGAGATCTTTGAGTCTCCTAGCCTTATGCTGTCAGCTTGGCTGGTCATCGAAGGCCTGGTTGACAGTCTAGGGTAGGCAGATGCTGCAGTATGCTAAGGAAGGAAGTTGAGATTATATTTGAGTCTTGGTGAGACCTGAGTTCTGACTGTAGTGAGGGGCCTGGTAGAGTCCTGTTGCTATGCTTACTTCTCCTTTTCCTTCTCCAAACAGACACCTGGGCTAATTCATGCATTCCAGAAATCATCACCACATTCGACCCCACGTTCGACACTCAGACTCCTGAAATGGAGTTCTCTGTCAGCAACAGCGCCTACTCGGCTTCATCCCCAGACTTTACAACTCATGCTCCTACTACAACCCGGGCGCCACCATCCACCTCCATGGCATGGAAGACAAAAAAGATATGTTTTACAGAAGTTTATACAGAACCTAACACTGTAGCTGCAGAAACAGAACCACCTGTTGAAAGTGGAGCAGCATTCAAGAATGAAGCACCTGGGTTTGGAGGTGAATGTCTTCTGGGTCTATTGGGCATGGGCAACTGTGTGTGGCAGACAAATTCACATCACCCAGTTCATCCTCTGGCCGATCACTCAGCACCTACCAGGCACAAACAAAAACTCAATGCAAGCTCAGCTTCCATAGACTCATAGAGCTAGCTTTATAAAGAGCCTCAAGGGTCACGTCACATATCATGAGCATAAAAGAACTTCACTGCTTTTCACAAATAAATTATTATCCTTTACTGTAGACACAAAACTATATACCTGCATGGCCTATCACTTCAATCTAAACAACTGTTTGTCACATTAACCTGTGAGGCTGGTCTTAGTGCTCCAAGAAACAAATTCTACTTTTCATATTGCAATGATAAAGGAGAAGTAAAGAACGCCCCACGTTGTAAATAGAGGGATTATGAGATGGCTGGGTAAAGGCACCTGCTGCCAAAGCCCGACGACGACGTAAGTTCAATCCCTGGGACCCACCTAATGGAAGGTGAAAACTGACTCCCACAAGTTGTCCTCTGACCTGCACATGTGAACAGTGTCATGTTAGAGCCCACACCCACCTACACACACCCACACCCCCCACACACACAATGTAAAAACTGAAATTATATGTGTATGATTAAAAACAGTCACAGAGAAGGGTCTTCTGCACCAGCTCTCATCCGCATCACACATAAAAACAAATCATTATGTGCACAGACAACACAATGTGCAAGCAAAAGACCAACAAACCTGTCTTCCTCCAGGTGTCCCCACGACCCTGCTGGTGCTCGCCCTACTATTCTTCGCAGCTGCCGCTGTTCTGGCTGTTTGCTATGTGAAAAGGTGAGGCTGTTGACACATCTCTGATCTTGTCACTTTTGTTGTGCTCCATGGTTGTTACTGGCATTTGGTCAAAATGGAGATGGCACTCCTCTTAGACCTCCCTACCCCATAACCTCAGCACAAGTAGTATGTCATCTAGACAGACAGTAGATATTGATCAATGGGCGACAAACTCAAGAAATATAAAGGGAGATATCAAATTAGGAAAAATCTTAGGCTCTATTTGAGTTGGGGGGTCTTGGTTTTGTATGAAGGAGTCATGAAGACATCCAGAGTTGGCCCTATAGGTACTCTCTGGTTTGAATGAATCCACTAAAAGGGGGGGGGATGATATATTAAAGTATACCTATATTACCATCAAAATAAAGGTGCCGAGGGGACTGTGCCAGCCTGTCCAGGGGTAGACAAAGTGCTATTTGCTGTGATGTGTGTCACCTTAAGTCTCTCATTGTGATGTATGTGTACACCTGCAGGTATGTGAAGGCCTTCCCTTTCACAAACAAGAATCAAAAGAAGGAAATGATTGAAACCAAGGTAGTAAAGGAAGAGAAAGCTGATGACATCAACTCTAATGAAGAATCAAAGAAAACTGATAAAAATCTAGAGGAGCTCAAGAGTCCACCCAAAACCACTGTACGATGCTTAGAAGCTGAAGTTTAGATGAGAGAGAGCTGAGAGGCTCCACCTGAGGCAAGTTTCATGCCAGGCAACCAAAGAAGCCAGTCACTGTTGGTTCCTAATTAGAAGAAGACTACAGAGTCCTCCATAAGGAGGCCTCTCCTTATTGCAATCCTCTCCGGACTCTACCCTCCTACCTCCAACCTGCCCACAGCCTTCCTAGCCTACGCTGCTGTCTGTCTTACAGCAGTGCAGAGAATGAAGGGAGCTTTCAAAGCACCTAAACAGTTCCTCTGCTTACATTCATACACAGGCCTCCGGCGCTGGCTGCCTGACACTGCCAAGGGCCAGACACAGACAGCCCCATAGTGCAAAGTCTTCCTGCAGGGAAACACACTACCTGGCCAGATCCTTTGGAACCAGGCACAAGTAAAATAAGGAAAGGAAAGCTACAGGAGGTCATGGAGAGCCAGGTGACTTGAGACCTAATTAATATCCAGGAAGCCAAAATAAACAGAGCACTAGAAGGGAGGGGGTGGGGAGGTCGTACTGATAGCAACCTTGTCAGCAGACTGTAAATACAGGCTGGGGCCAGGAAACCACTCTGAAAACAGATCAGAGTCACTTTTTAGAACATAGAAACACTTTCTTTCCTCTACACTGTTGCTGCTGTTCTCTATAGATAAATACACTTTTGTAAGAAACCAAAAAACAGAGGGGCCTGGGGAATGTCTCTGCATTTGCCTGGCTTGTGCAAAGCTCCCAGTCCAATCCCCAGAGCCTGCCCACCCCCATATACAAACAACAAAGCAAACAAAAACACACATTTCCATTTTTACCTGTTACAGACCCATTCTGAGAAAACAGCTATGTGTAAAGGTAATAAAGTAAAAGGAAAATGCCAGATAATATACTACAGGCTGAGAACTCTTTACCTGAAATGCTTGCGACCAACAGTGTTAAGAATCATTTTCAGATTATGTTTGAAGTCTGGAATACTTGCATTGACATAATGATATATTAGAGGGACTCAGTCTAATATGAAATTTATTTGTGTTTCATATATACCTGTACACATAGCATGGAGGTAATTTCATACAATATTTTAAAAATAACTTTGCTCATGAGATAAAGTTTCACGGTGTGGCATTTTTCCCTGGGGATGTCATGTTGACTCTCAAGCAGTTTTAGATTTGGTAAAAGATTGATTTTCAGATTTTTGAACTAAAGATGTCAGGTGCTAGGTAAGATATGACATTCTGTAACTGAATATTGTTCTTCAAATAGTTGTGTATAGTGGAGTGTTGTCTGAAGCTAATATTTTTCCAGTTTTGACATCCCTAGTTTATCTGCTTCCAAACTAATTGTTTGTTGCTGAGACTAATCCATTCATTTTTGCTAATACAGCAACTACTACAACCTTAATTTATTATTAACGTATTTGAAAGTGTATTCTTACTTCTACATACCAACACATATCTTTGCATGCCTTTAACAAATGTATTACTGGCTCTCATTTTCCCAGAAAGGAGAACCAGAGGAGTGAAGAAATGTTGTGACCCAAAAAATAAAGCCTTTAGAAAACTCCTCTATTCCTTTATTTCCATAGAAACACCGCTTGTGCAAAATTTAAGGGCTACATCATAATCCATACTTAGCAAAAACTAAAATGGACGCAGGAGCATATACATCACCCTGTGGGATGTCTTTCCTTCAAATTATCTCATTTAAGTTGGTCAGTATCATGATTTTAATGTGAAATATGTCTCATGGGCTTGTGTGGTTGAACAATTGGTCTCCTGATTCTGCCGTTCTAATGGATTGTGGAGCTTTGGAGTTAGGCATTATCTAGAGGAAATAGTTCTAGGACTGGGCTTTAAGGTTTATAGCTCAGCCCTACTTCCTGCCCTTTCTTCACTTCCTGTATCATAGTGGCATGAACCAGCAAGCCTGATGCTCCTGCTGTCTCAGCTCTAGTTGCTCCCACCACCATGCCAAAATGAAACCAGAACAAATTCTTCCCCTCTATTCAGGCATTTGGTCACAGCCATGAGGAAAGGCTTACATGGTTAAATTCACACACAGCAGTCTTTTACTTGGGTCCTACTTCCCCAGTCTGTTTCAGAGTTCCCATGAGAGGCATTGAGGGAAGAGCCAGAGAGCAAGAGCCAGAGTGAAAGCAATCATAATCTTTTAGACTTAGTCTTGGAAATGGCAACCCCTTACTCAGAAATGAGTCTCAGCCAGGCAGTGGTGGCGCACGCCTTTAATCCCAGCACTCTGGAGGCAGAGGCAGGCAGATCTCTGTGAGTTGGAGACCAGCCTGGTCTATAAGAGCTAGTTCCAGGACAGCCTCGGAAGCCACAGAGAAACCCTGTGTCACGTCCCCCCACCCCCAAAAAAAGAAAGAAAAAAGAAAAGAAATAAGTCTCTATGTCCATTTATGCTTAGAAGGAGAGGCTTATACAAGTTCCTGCATACCAGGAAGCAGGGAGCTTGGGGAGCCAATTTAGAAGATTGTCTCCTTACAGCAGTAATGAATCCTTCTTGCTCCTTGTTCAGCTTGCTCCTGCTGCCATGCTAGCATATGCCACCTTGCATTGTTATAATTACACAGGTTATCTTTCCTTTTATCCTTACCTTCAGTGCAGACACACAGAGGTACCACATACAACAAAGGCGCTCAGAGGGCTGAAGGGGTGGCTGGGTGTTAAGAGCACTGGCTGCTCTTGAAGAAGGCCTACGTTCTGTTCCCAGAACCCACATGGCAGCTCACAACCATCCATATTCCAGTTCCAGGGGATCCAACACTGTCTTTTGATCTGTAAGCACCAGGCATGCATGTGGTGGTGCACAGACATGCATGTACACAGAACATTCATACACGTTAATAAAAATAAGTAAATTCTTTTTAAAAATCAAAGTAGCTCTCAGTACATGCTGAATGAGTGAATGTATGTAAGCTTTGAGGCCAGTTATCTGTGTTAAGTGCTAAGAATATTTTCTTTTCTTTTTTTTTTTTCAAGACAGGGTTTTTCTGGTACAGAATGCAGCTGTGAACTAACCAAGGGATAAATTAAAACTATTAAACATAACCTTTTCTTTCTGAGTTGAAATTGACTCACCTCTGCAATCAAGAATACAATAAACATGTGAAAAATTTGGGGTTTTTTGTTGTTGTTGTTTGTTTGTATTTAGGTATTTGGAACTGGTAGGCGTTGGAAACAATGTCACAGACAAGAGACAAACCTGACCCTAACTTGGATGGAAGCAAGGCTTTGTCTGCCAGGAATCTTGCCCTGCATGGGAAACCCCAATGCAAGTAAACCCTAACACAAAGATGCTCACTCAGCATGACGATAATTCAGTGAGTAAACTCAGCTTTGCGTCTGTGTGGAGGAAGAGTCTTGTGGGGTCAATCAGAACTGAGAAATGAGGTCTGTCTTAATTACAGTTTCTATTGCTGTGAAGAAACACCATAACCACAGCAACATTATAAAGGAAACATTTCATTGTGGTGGCTGTCTTACAGTTTCAGAGGTTCAGTCCACTGTATTCATGGTGGGAAGCATGGCCATGTGCAGGCAGACATGGTACTGGAGGAGTAGCTGAGACTCCTGCATCTTGCAGGCAACAGGGAATCAATTGAAACACTTAGCAGTATCCTGAGCATAAGAAACCTCAAAGCCGGATGGTGGTGGCACACGCCTATAATCCCAGCACTTGGGAGACAGAGGCAGGTGGATCTCTGTGAGTTGAGGCCAGCCTGGTCTATAAGAGATAGTTCAAGGACAGCCTCCAAAGCCACAGAGAAACCCTGTCTTGAAAAAAAATAAAACAAAAGGGGGAACCTCAAAGCCCACTCCACAGTGACACACATCCTCCAACAAGGATATACCCATTTCCAACAAAGCAACATCTTCTAATAGTGCCACTCTCTATGAGCTTATGAAGACCAATTATATTCAAATTACCATAAGGTCTGATAAATGGATCTGTAGCTCCAGTTATATATTTCTCATTATGAATCCTACCTAGGTCTCCAGCTATGTGCACAGAGCCCCCTGTACTAGCTAACTAGCTAACTAGCTGATTTAACACAGCATGGCAAGGAACAGAGGCAATTATTCTTATTGTAATGGATAGACTTCCTTTATTCTCCTCTCCCAAAACTATGATTTGAGAGGCACTGCATGGCCTTCATTCCCCTGGATCTGTCAAAGCAGAGTGCAACTCTTTTGGTTTACCTAAAATCAGAAGGGAATTCCTGGAGCAATGTGACAACACTCCAGGCTTATCTACAAGTATATTACTCAATGTGCCCACAAAGTCAATGTGGTTACCACCCACACACTACTGTTTTCTCCATTGCCCTTGGCCTAATTCTACTCTATTTACAACTACTGTACTTTCCATAGAGCACATCAACCATCTTTGCTGGGTTTTCCACTTCTCACAAAACACTGTGACCATTTCCTCTAGGTATCACCTCATCTACCAGATCCACTGTCTCTAATAAGCACAGTTTCTATACCTTCCTGTCACTACCATACCCATGAGGTCCACTGACCTTGCCAGACTCCATACTGCTTCCCTGGCACTCTCCTAGATATCACAGTGCTCCCTGTCAATGGCACCTTTCTCCCACCATCACAGAGTCCTCCGGGCACTGCCAACTCTGTGGCTGTTATTGCTGTCCTGCACAGATACTTGGATCCTGAAGCCACCTTGATGTGAAAATTGTTGATGTTTTTTGCCATTGCTACAGTTTGTTCATTCCTATAGAAGCTCTTCTCTGTAAATATGCTAATACATGACTGGATTGCAAAAGAAGTACAAGAATTAGCAATACATAAAATTAGATTTAGGAAGGCATGAGCTCCCAAAGTGTCTAAAAATAAAATAAGAGAGCTAAGGGAAGACCATGCCTCAGAGTGCAGTATCCTGGAAGATGACAGGGATTTGATTTTTTTTTAATCCATGTATCCCCATTCACAATACAGACCAAGCACAATGGCCTAGGCTGAGGTGTATATGGGGTAGGTTTACTCTGCCTCCTCTTTCTATACAGTCAGTGTTAGAACACAGCCTATAGTAAGCACAAGGAGGCCTTGATTTTTTTTTTCTTTTTGAGACAGGGTTTCTCTGAGTAGCCCTGGGCCCTGGAACTTGCTCTGTAGACCAGACTGTCTTTTGAGCTTGGAGATCCACTTGCCTCTGCCTCCCAAGTGCTGTGAGTAAAGGCGTGTGCTACCACTGCTACGGCAGAGATTTGATCTAAACTGTAGATAAGTAGTTCCTCTCTCTCCTACACTGAGAATTGAAGGCAGTGCCCTGCTCAGAGGGAAAGCACTAGAGTGGTAGCCAGAGAAATCTGGAATCTAACCAATTTTCATCTACTTGCTCTGTAGTTCTTGGGTAAATCACTTCCTACCTCTGGATCTCTGCTTCCTCATCTATAAAGCATGTGGCAGCCCTGTCAACCTTGCAGTTTCATCAACTAGATTCAGGAAGTTGATAGTGTTTACCATCCACAGCCACTAGCAGTCTTCCTTCAGTATTCCCACAGTCCTGTCACAGATGTTTAGTGACCTTACAGATGAAAAGGAGGCCTGGGACACACCTTCCTAGAAAAAAACAACATGCATTTCAAAAGGCAAATGCTTCCGAGCTTCACTACAGGACTGTATTCTCCGAAGTTGCATTCAATCCTCAGGTTATCACTCACTGGAAAATCCCTAAACTGTGGAGCTCCGAGTATTCACGACAAATTACAGCGTTTATAAAAAAGAAAGAAAGAAAGAAAGAAAGAAAGAAAGAAAGAAAGAAGAAAAGAAAAAGAAAAAAGGTCCTTTTTCTTTTAGGTAGAAGAAGAACTTGAAGAACTTGGAGGCTTCTTCTATAACTTATCATCTATATGTATGATTTCCTATAAACATTTTGACACTTTTGTTATATGTAAGAAAAAGATTTCCTTGTCCTGCTAAAGAATAACTTTATGGCCGATGGTGGTTAATCACTTATACTTTGTGGTGATTTGGATAAGAATGGCCCCCATAGACTCATATATTTGAATGCTTAGTCTGTAGGGAATGGTACTGTTTGAAAGGAGTAAAAGGATTAGAAGATGTGGCCTTTGTTAAAGGAAGTGTGTCACTGGGGATGGGCTTTAAGGTTCCAAAAGCCCATACCAGGCCCAGTCTCTCTCTCTCTCTCTCTCTCTCTCTGCCTGTGGGTCAGAATGTAGCTATCAGCTATTTCTCCATTGCCATACATGCCTCCATGTTCCCTGCCATGATGGTAATGGACTAAACCTCTGAAACAGTAAGCAAGCACACCCCCCCCCCCGCAACCCCACACCATTAAATACTTTCTTTTGTAAGAGTTGCACAAGGTCATGGTGTCTCTTCACAGCAATAGAACAGTGGCTAACATATGTTTAGGGTAACACTTATTAATAAGATAGTGATCTTATTTTGTTTTGCATTCTAATTAATTCATCATACTTATGCAAAGTTAAAGAAAACTTATGCTAAGCAGAAACTGTCTAGACTTGTCACCGATGATATTAATTTGATCATCACCTTATATTATCTTGATTTTGTAAACTCTTATTCCAATGCATATTGTACTCACTATAAAAAGGAGTACTGGTCCTACCTTATAAAAGTGTAGACAATATATAGAGAGTGATTTTTCTGACTTCTGGGCTCATATTAGGCAGAACCATGAGTCTTTTAAAATAAACCAGCTATATCTTTTCCCATAATTTTATTGAAATATAGTTGACCTACAATAATTACAGATGAGTAAGGTATACAATTTGAGAAATTTTCATACTACATTTATGTCTGTGAAATCAGCAACTAAGACAATGAACATAGCCAGCACCCTCAAATATTTCTTCCTTCTCTTTTGAAGGTTTTGAGGGGTGGTGCTTGAGTCTGAACCACGGCTTCATGAATGCTAGGCAAGTATTCTTCCATTGTATTAGCCACCTCTAGTCCCCGTTTTGTTACTGTAGTGTTTCCCACCTGACACTATTCTCTAAGCAACCACTGATCTGATTTTTGTCACTAAAGATTTCTTGGGGAAGGAGGAGCCTTTTGTAGATATTTTGGAAGACCTATCTTCTTTCACGGGAGTCTTTCAGGTTCTTCTACATTGTTGAGTGTGTCAATCATGTATTATTAGTGCTGAGTAGTATTCCATTGTGTGGCTTTATGAACTTATGAAAAAAATGAACTGTTTTCCACTCGTTGACAGGTGTCTTTGTCAGTGTTCTATTGCTGTGAAGAGACACCCAACCACAAAAATTCCTATAAAGGAAAACACTTAACTGGGACTGGCTTACAGTTCAGAGGTTTACTCCATTATTGTCATGGCAGGAAGAAGCATGGTGGCATGCAGGCAGACATGGTACTGCAGAGTAGCTGAGAGGTCTACATCTGGATCAGCAGGCAGAGGGAAGAGAGAGTGACACTGGGCCTGGTTTGAGCATCTGAAACCTCAAAGCCCACCTCTACTGACACACTTCCTTCAGCAACATCTACTCCAACAAGGCCATAACTCCTAATAGTGCCACTCCCTGTGTACCTAGGGGACCATTTTTATTTAAACCATAACAACATATATCTGGTTGTTTATGGTTTGAGTGTATTATAAATAACTCCAATTTTGGTGTACCAGTTTTTGTGTGTATATATGCTACAAGCAGGATGACTGGATTGTGCGGTTGGCCACAATCTCTTTCCACAATGACCGTGTTACCTTACACACGCTTTACATACATGCAACAGGCAATCTATAATAATAATTCCAGTTGTTCAGCATCAACATTTAATACAGTCCTTTCAATACTCTTGTGATATTGCATTGACACTTCATTTTCCTTCTAATTTACATTTCCTTAATGAATAATAATGTCAGGCATCATTTTATATGCTTATTTACCATCCATAATCTAGAAAGCTCGTTCAGTCTTTGGCCAATTGAAAAAAAGTGCTTGTTTCTTTTTTGAGGTGAAAGAATTGTTTGTGTATTCTAATTGGAAGTACTTCTGTTAAATATATTTTGCTTATTCCAAGTCAGCGGCTTGCCTCTTCTTTTTTTCCTTTAAAAAATATTTTATTGATTTTTATATATGTATTTTATCTGCAAGTATGTGTCAGCAGCCTTGAGCCATAGAGGCCTCCAAAGCGAGCAGGTGGGGTGGAGCTCCGTCTCCAGGCAACGCGCGAGGGCGTGGCTTTGCGTCACTGAGGTGCGACTGGGACCGCCGCGGCGCCGCTGCCGCCTAGCGGGTTTAGCTAAGCAGCGGCTGAGGCGGCGTCGCTGGCGCGGGGGAGCAATGCCTTCATCAGGGTGAGCCTTGCAGCGCCGCCCCCTCGCCGTGTCCTTTCCCAGCTGCTCCACAGTCCTGGAGCAGGGAGTGGAGGCCGGGGTAGCACTGGGCTTCGGGGGAGCGAGGCCGCCCTGATTAGGGCCTCAGCTGTGGGTTTGGGGCACCGGCTTCCACGGAGGGTGGATGCGTTGGTTCCGCCTTCGCCGTGGTACTGAGGAAAGGTTTCCGATCAGCTCTGACTGTTTTGAATCTTGGCGCTGGAGCAATAAGCAGTTTAGCTGTTGGTTAGCTGAGCAGGTGCGCCGAGGAGGGGCCGAGGGGCGGGGGCCGAGGCGGGAGGGTGGCACAGGGCAAAGCTCCTAAGGGGGAAAGCCTGGGCCTGTAGCGTTGGCCAGCCCTCCTCCTGAACCCGCCCTGGATGTCCACCTGGGCCTTTGCTTGTCAAACTAATTGCTACCTTGAGAACCGACATTTAAAAAATAGTTTCCTTGCTAATCGTAATTGTAGGGTAAGTCGCCTTCTGTGTGCAGTTTCATTACAGAATGTGGGTTTACTATTGTTGGACTTTCTCCAGCCTACCTATTAAATAAATGGCCATGTGCCTTCTCTTTCTGACCCAGCCCCATTTCATGATGCCCGGCATCTCAAGTCCTTCTGTTGGATATGTGTAGCTGCAGTAACACTCCCAATTGCTTTTAATCCATATGTTACGAATAAAGTTGGTTATTTCCACTCCCTCTTCCATTCTTGCTATGCCATTAAGTTCATCCTTCAGAATTTTACCTTGGGAGTGAGCTGCCCAACAACCCATGGTTCTGATAGTTGTCTTTGAGAAGATAGCCTCCTGTATTTAGAACCCTCAAAAGTAGCATGGATTCCCCCTTCATGCTATCTGGTTTCAGTTTCTGTATATTTTCCTCAATTTGATTGTGGTTTTGTCATTTGATAAGAAGGAACAGTATATATAAAAGATATATATATATATATATATAGAGAGAGAGAGAGAGAGAGAGAGAGAGAGAGAGAGAGAGAAAGAGAGAGAGAGAATTTGTATCTTGGTTCTCTGATTATGACTTAATTCCTCTAGGGGAAGTTGTTTTCTCTTTCTAAACAGGTAAAGAAAGTGCAAAGAGAATTCTTACAAATCTAGTATTTTTTTTTAAAGAAGTGAACTTATTAGAACACACCAGGACTATTAGAACTCCAGCAATTACCCAGTACTCTGTTTTTAGGTTTCCAGTGTTTTTTAAGAGTTCTTTAGTTTCATTTTCTCTTACTTAAGACATTTGACCCTAGAACAGGCATTCTAGATTCTCTAGTGACTCTGACCAGCCTAATCATTGGACTATTATATCTGTGTTAATTTCAACAGCTGGTACTTCTTGTAAATTTAGAGTTTGTGTAAACAGTGAATAATAAGGTAGTGTCCTTCAACACCCAGTTGTAGGACTTAGTATTTATTACTAAGCTTGAAGATGTTATAAAATTTAACAGATTTCAAAGGTGCCTTTAATACCACAGTCCTTGTCAAATGATCAGTGTGTGTGTGTGTGTGTGTGTGTGTGTGTGTGTGTGTGTGCGCATAAGTGCACACCAAAGTTAACCTTGGATCTGGTTAGACTACACCTGCTGGATAGCAAGTCCCAGGGATGAGATTACAAGTGTGCCAACACTCTGTCTTTTCATGCTGGCCCGGGGATAGAACTTGGGTCCCATAAGCACTTCCCAGCTGAGCTCTCTTGCCCTCTTCTAGTCATCTTGCAGTTTGATTGTCTCAGTTTCCCTCCAATACATTTCTGAATGGCTTATGGTTTAAATTTTTAGAGCGCCTGTGTGTGAGAATTATTAGTGATGCAGTTGTTATATAAGGAATACTTGGACGACAACAACTCACTTGTTAGAAAAAGAAGTGATCAACTATCTGCGCCACCCACTGAAGAATGTGGCATTTTTGGAATCCTTGATTTCCTGTGAGTTTCAGAATAACAGCTCTTATTTAGAAAATCCTCCAGATGCTTTCAGGAAGCACAACTGTTTCTTGCTAGAAGGGGCCATGCTAGAGATGGCTCTTTGGTTTGAAAGCCACTCTTTGAGGAGTCTTGACCACTGACTTGTCTTTTGCTGAATTTTATTGCCAATGGTTTGCCAGCAAATTATGTCTGTAAGCAGCACTACTGTTCCATGATTTCAAGGGAGATATTTTGTTGTGCAGATATAATATATATATATATATATATATATATATATATAGCTGATAAGTTTTTACAATTTTACATTTTCCATAAATATATTTTAACTTCCACTTCATGTTAGTGTGGATGAATGACTGAGCTAATAAAAGAATACGAGATGAGTGATTTAAAAAATTTACTATGGTGACTAGGGAAATATTATATACATTTACCTGTTGTCCAGAATCGAGAACACAGGTAGGTGTCCTGAAGAACTCATGGGGGAGAAGTGTAAGTGATTTAATTGAATGATACATGCTATAATAGTAACACGTAGGTCATTAAAGAGTGATACTGCAAAGGTTGTGTCTGGCCACTGAAGTGTGACTTCAACAGATTGCTTTTGTGGATACTCATGTCAGTGGTTCTGTATTACACATAAAAAATTGTATTTTCACACAAGTGATGAAACTGGTTAAATGCAAGGCCCTCCCTCCTAACCAGTGCATAAGAAGTCTTTAAGGTACAGATACTTTCTAAAGTAGCAGATGAAAGAAGTGTGCTGGGACTTACTTTTCTTCCCTAGAGAAGGGGATGAAGCAATCATGTAAAAGTACCTGCCTTTTACCTGGGAAACTTCCCCCAGCCCCAACCTCTTGTCATCTTTTCACAATTTCACAACTCCTCTTTGTCTAGTGAGTACCTATGCTTTGGGCCCTATTTAAGGTCTTGTGAGGACTTCCCCATATATATAAACAATAAACCAAAATGTGTATAGTTTTCTCCTGTTACTTTTAGTTAACTTGGGAAGAGTTGGGGACTTTTGGTTCCCCTACAAATGTTGGTTCGGTTGTCATGAGTTCCATTAAGTCTTGATTGAGACCATTTCAGAAGTTTATTTTTCTCTGCTAGGTAATGTAGATGGAATTGGAAATATCAGGCTGGTTGATAAGTCTGTTTATTAAACTAGTACAGCAAAGCTTGAGGAAAGTTAAGCCTCATTTTGAGAACTAGAGCAGTGGTTCTCACTCTTCCTAAAGCTGTGACCTTGTGATACAGTTCCTTGTGTTAGGTTAGAGCAGTGGTTCTCAACCTTCCTAATGCTGTGACCCTGTAATGCAGTTCCTCATGTTGTGACCCAACCATAAAATTATTTTCATTGCTACTGCATAACTAATTTTGTGACTGTTGTGAATCGGAGTGTGAATATCTGTGTTTTCCGATGGTCTTTGGGGCCCCTACCCACAGATTGAGAACCATGGGGTATAGGTTAGCACCTCCATTTTGCACCTGGAAAATTCTCTTCGGTGTCACTCTTTAGAGGAACTTCCAATTTTTAAACATTTTCGTATTATATCATTGAAAACTTCACCTATGCTACAGCAGCACTTTCCATTGCTGTGTTGGTAGGGCATTCTTACATAAGTCTGGCTCTCCCCTCTGTCCTTATTGGCCAGTCTGTTCTTTATAGACATAAAAAAAAAAAAACAGTTCTTGTGACAGTTCCTGAAATATTTGAACAGGCTGTTGTGCTACACAGGTCATTGCGTAGCTGTACTCAGCCACAGCCAGTCACTTTCATGTGACTCTTGAATGTGTTCTCATGTGTTGGCACTCCTTTAAAGGTGTGGCCGCCTTGAGCTGAATGAAAACCTCTTGTGTGGTCAGCCCATTGTATGACACAGTAGAGTGGGAGGCTCCTTGCTGTAGACATCTGCTTCTAGCAAGAGTTAGGGTTATTTTGACATACCTGCTTAACCTATTGTATGTTATTTTAATCTAAAACCTCAGGACTCCTATTTTTGTGCTGCTCTAAAGCACATCTTAACTAGGTGCTTTTGTGCAGTCAGCTTTTCAGCATACTTTGAAGAATTAACTTCTTACTGTATTTATAGACTTAGGAAATCAGAGACTTATTCAGTAGATACAGTTCATTCATTCTAGTCTTGGTCAGCTGGTTTGGGCAAGCATACCTAATATTGTCTTTCAGTTATCTGAGAAAAATCTTAAACAGCCATCTTGATTTTGTTTTGGTGTCAACATCTCCCTTCTTTGGTCACCCCAGGGTTTTTATTTCCCTCCAAGGCACCATGGTCCACCTATCTCAGAGACTTTTGGAAACCTCTTCATAAAAATGCCCTCCCACCATGTCCCGACTCTCTTGCAAACCCAGACTATCTTTCTGGACTCAAGTGTTTGCCCAGGATTTCTTTTCCAACTCAAGGCTAGTGTCTCTCACCCTTCTAGGCTTTCATAACACTCTGTACTTGTTTGGTTTAGTGTTTCTCATTTTGTAATTATATACTTACTTGTATGACTATTGCTCCATCCCTAACTGTATCGGATACCCTGTGGTGCCAAGAAGCCTGTCTTTTTGTTTGCTCACCATCCTGTCCCCAGGCCATAAACAATACTTGTTAAATGTATTGTTGTTGTTGTTGTTGTTTGTTTTTCAAGACAGGGTTTTTCTGTGTTGCCCTGGCTGTCTTGGATTCATAGACCAGGCTAGCCTTGAACGCAGAGATCTGCCTGTCTCTGCCTCCTGAGTACTGGGATTAAAGGTGTGTGCCATCACAGAATTTTTAGAAAGACCATGTATGACAGTGGTTTCCAGCTGCTCTGTAGCCATTTGCTTATGTTTCCACACATTTGAATCAGAACATGAAAAGTAAAGATAGCATGTGTTTAAATACCTATATTCAGTGTCAGGGTGAAATTACTGCTTTTCTTGATAGGGACTTACTCTAATGCCATACCCTACTTTTTATGTTATAAGATGTTACATTTTTCTTAGGTTTTTGGCATTTGGGAATTTTTGTTTTGAAACTGTCTTTGCTTAGGATAAAATGGAGTTCAACACTATTGTGTTTTGGGATGTCACTAGTCTGTGCTGCCCAGAAACCACTAAGGTGAATTCCTTGGACACCTTCTCTAAGCTGGGAATTTTAATGGTTTCTCTTTGGATATAGTTGGTATGAGTCTGTTATACTTGGGCATATTTAAATTGTAATCTTTTGCCTTCAGAGATTATGTTTTAGTAGTCTAGGTTTCCTTCTTTTTCATTATTCCTCTACTATGGTATTTATTGCTACCACATGGGTTCAGATCCAAAATAGTATTAGGGGAATTATTTTTTTTTTAGTATAATTATACTTTTTAAAGTAACTTTAAAAAACCATATAGCACATTAAATTTAATACTGAAAGTAATACATATTTGTGGTTATACGCTTTAGTTTGAAATCTTTTTGTTTGTTTTGTTTTGTTTTGTTTTCTGAGACAGGGTTTCTCTGTGTTAATACCCCTGATTGTCCTGAGACTTACTTTGTAGACCAGGCTGGCCTCAAAACCACAGAGATCCATCTGCCTTTGCCTCCTGAGGGCTGGGATTAAAGGCATTCGTCAGGACCTGGAGACTGCTCTTGCAGAGGTCCCGAGTTCAATTCCCAGCAGCCACATGGTGGCTCACAACCATCTATAATGAGATCTGATGCTTTCTTCTGGTTTGCAGGCATACAGTGCCTAGAACACTGTATACATAATAAATTAATAAATCTTAAGAAAAAAAAAAACAGAGGTGGTGGCAATGCACGCCTTTAATCCCAGCTATCGGGAGACAGAGGCAGGGGCAGATCTCTGTGAGTTCCAGGCTAGCCTGGTCTACAAAGCTACACAGAGAAACCTGTCTCAAAAAACAAACTAAAAAAGGTATGCACCACAACTGCCCTGCTAAAGTCACATTTTTAAAAATGTTTATTTGCCGTGTGTGTATACGTGCATGTGTCTACGGGTGCACATGCTACAGTGCATGTATGGAGGGCAGGACAACTTTCAAGAGTTGGTTTTTTTTTTTTTTTCCATCATGTGACTCCTGCCAATAGAACTCAGGTTGTCAGGCTTGGCAGCAAGTGCAGTTGCCCACAAGCCACCTTGCTAGCCCTAAAGTCACATATTTTTATTTAAACCTATAATGTCATTTTGATTAAACAATAAAGCAAGCTTTCTGCTGAAATTCTTTTCTATGTAATTGTTACTACTTTGCTTGCTTTATGTGGCAAGGGTGTAATTTGAGTAAAAGTAAAAGATAGATATTTTTATGGTAAACAAAATGGAATTTGCTGAGAGTTCAAAGTTCACATCTATCCCACACCGTAGATTTAACCATTTCCTTATCCATAAAATGAGGATATAAAAAAATCCATCTACCCTGTAGGATGCCGTGAGTAATAAATGATGTCATAGATGGAAAGCATTTAGTTTGGAGTCTGACATATAGTAGACAGTCTGGAAATGTCTTTAGGAAAATGCAGTCACTTGACTGCCTCTCCGTCTCTCTCTGTCTCTGTCTCTCTCAATCTCTCTCTCTCTCTCTCTCTCTCTCTCTCTCTCTCTCTCTCTCTGTGTGTGTGTGTGTGTGTGGCTTTTGTTTTTGATAGAGGCCTGTCACTCTTCCATTATCATAAGTGAATCATTTAGCTATATGATTCTGAAAAACTTGATATAAATTTTTACTTTAAAAATGGTTAAATAAATTGTATCTCAGATTCATTTGAGTTGACTGAATCCCCCTTAAGGTGCTTGTAGTTTTTGTTTGCTTTTTGAAGGACAACTGTGCTGGATAGTTTTATATCAACTCAACCCAAGCTAAACTCATCTGAGAAGGGGGAACTCCAATTGAGAAATTACTTCCATAAAATGAGGCTGTAGGCAAGGCTGTAGGTCATCTGCTTAATTGGTGATCACTGTGGGAGGGCCCAGCCCGTTGTGGGTGGTGTTATCACTGGGCTGGTTGTCTGAGGTTCTATGAGAAAGCAGGCTGAGTAAGCCCACTCCTTTGTGGCCTCCACATCAGCTCCTGCCTCCAGGTTCCTGTCTTGGGTTCCTGTCCTGACTTTCTTTGATAATGAACAGTGATGTGGAGGTGTAAGCCAAATAAACCCTTTCCTCCCTAAGTTGCTTTGGTCATGGTATTTTATCACAGCAATAGTAACCCTAACTAGGACAATGAGTATATTGGTATTTTTTATAATTATGTACAAATAACTTCTGCATTGTATTTAATAGAAACTATGTGAAGCAAAACTCTGAATTCTGAAAGACACCGTTTCACCATGGGACAACAAATTTCGGATCAGACGCAGCTGGTTATTAACAAGTTACCAGAAAAAGTAGCAAAACACGTCACCTTGGTTCGAGAAAGTGGTTCTTTAACTTATGAAGAATTTCTTGGGAGAGTAGCTGAACTCAATGATGTGTAAGCCTTGCTCATCTTCTTTCTGTTTTCCCTCATGTGTGATCCCATTTGTTATGTACAGAAGGTAACCATATGTACTGATGGTAAGAATGAATGTTTTTTAGCATAAGTTAGAAAGTACATTGACTGTCTGCTCTAAGTAGACTTTAATGTAGCTATTTTAAAATATGGAAAGGGAACAGAGGGGTGGGAGGAACTTAAAATGAAAATTAGAACACAGGCAGCAGGTATGGCAGAGCAATTCTAGAATGTACTGCAGCTCAGCAGCTGTACTAAGAGGCTGTAACTGACTCTGGTGTGGAAGCACTTAAAGATAATTTGCCATCAGTCACCAGAGCAAAAGAGTTGGACAGTCAGAAGCACCACAGTGTACCAGTGTGTGTGTGGCCGCCTGTTTCTTCACTGAAGTAGTCTGCTTAACTCTCCTGAATGAGTGTCTAAGATAGTGTAAATTTCTCCACCTTGAACTTAGTCTTTCTTTATGGATTTCACCTCAATTTTTGTGCTGATCTATGTAGAAGCTTTTCAAAGTACAAAGGGCTCTTTGCCTTTGAGTGGCCTCAGACCCCTATACTTTCTCAGTACTGCTGGTCTTTTTTTTTCTCTTAAACCTTCCTCTGGTAGCACCTTCTACTTTACTTTATTCTGTATCAATCTTCTGTCTCTTGGGGAACTTAATTAAAACTTGCCTAAGATACTTTAAATGATATATTTAAAAATATTTCTATTTTATTTTATCTGTATAAAGTTTTGCCTGCATGTATGTTTGTACACCACATGCATGTCTGGTGCCTGTAGAAGCTTGAAGAGGGCACCACATTCACTGAGACTGAAGTAACAGACCATTGTGGGCTGCCATTTAGGTGCTGGAAATTGAACCCAGGTCACGTGGAAGAGTAATCAGTGCTTGTAACCACTGACCCATTTTTCCAGCCCCCTTAAGTGATATCCTAAAGCCTCTCTCTAGTCTCTTCAATCTAACCAGTGTTCACTGAAGACGATATGCACAAAGCACTGTGCCATGGGTTTGAGCATTTTAACTGATGATTCAAATATTGATGACACTTCCAGCTGTCGGTGAATCAGAAGTTCCTTCCATTATCCTACACTGCTTCTTATTCAACCATCTCAAAGCCCAGGACCACTACATACAAATTTATAGTAGTAGTCACTATTCTATTAAAAGCTCATCTCGTGCTGATATGTATGCACCTATGCTGGAGGCTTTTATGACAACCCTGTTGGATAAGGGACATAGTGACAATGTGAAACATGTTATGTAAGATGATCATACTTCTTTATGAATATAGCGTCTATTATTTTTAGTCAGTTATGAAGGCTAAAGGACAGTCCTAAGGTTTTATTGGGGTAGCTTTCTTTTAAGAACACTGAATTTTATTAATTAAAAAAAAGAAAAATAGCTTGTTTCTGGAGTCATATTTATAAGGAGTAAAATGGGATTGAGAATTTAGTAGTATTAGAAGCATAGGGTACCTTATTCTTATTCCAACTTTTAAAAATATTACATTTATTTATTTATGGGGGTAGTGCACATGTAGAGGTCAGAGGACAATTTTAGGAATCTGTTCTCTCCTAACATGTGGGTCCCAGGGATTGAACATAGGTGATCAGGCTTGAGCAAGTGTCTTTACCAAACACTAAGCCATCTCTCCGATGCATTGCTCCAGCTCCTAGGAAGAGTAATTCATAATATTTGCCATCCTTTAGTTCATTATATATGTAAACTCAGACTATTTAATGCAGTTTTGCTTATTGACCTAAAGTTTTTAGAAGGAAAAAAATTGTCCTTTGACATCACTTATGAACTAAATTACTGTGCCACAGTAAAAATATATTCCTTTTACTTACTTGGGACAGGATGCTCAAGTGAATTTGAGAGTTTTGTTTATTTTGGTGGCTTTCTTTTTGTTGTTGTTGTTGTTCTGTTTTTGTTTTAAAGTGTTGAGAATTAAACCTAAGCTCTTGCTGCTGACTGTACACTAAGCAATACCAGCAGTGTAGTTTGAAACACGTTTCCATGGGCTAGAGTTGGACATTTCATGAATACAGTGCTCCCTTCTGTCTGCCAACCATGAAGTCAGACCTGCATAGAGGTGTGGCTTGGTATCTGGGGAAACAACTGGAAGCTGGCATGTCTGAGTTACTCCCTTTGGCTGGCTTGTTGAGGCCAGTTGATTTACTTAGCTGGAAGGTACTTAATTGTATGCAACTCTCCTGCTGCTAGTGCTCAGAGAAAAGCCAGTAATGATAATGGGAGCTACAGTCTTAGGCCTTTAGATCCATTTTAGATGGTGTTGATAGCAAGATTCTGAAAGTGTGGCTCTTGTAACTACTTCTTGAGGAAAGAGCAGTAAAGCTATATTAGTATCACAACTATTTGTTTTACTTGGATGAACCCAAAATTAGTATAAATTGAAAGCTTTCAAAAAAGTATGTGAATGTGGTTATGTAAATAGGACTCAACCAAAAATAAGGTATTCCTTAGAATTATGTGTATTTGGTCAGCATTTCTGTAAATTAAGCCTGCAAACTTTTACCTAAAGTACCAGTTTTCTTGAGCTATGTTTGTCGGGGTTAATTGTTATTGCATGTTTTCTTTTAGGCAGGACCTCATGCAGCCCAAGCTGGCTTCAAGCTCTCCTTGAACTCCTGATCCTCCTTCTTTTCATCTCCCGGGTGCTGAGGTCATAGGCTAGTGTCACCATCCCCAGCTTAGGATGAAGTTTTTCAAAACATCTGTTTTAGGCATTCAGAGACAATTGAAATATAGATATGGAGTATTCCACAGAGCTTTTGACTTTAAAAACATTGGCAACAATCTCTGTCCCTGTGCTGTAGGAATCTGCTTATTGCAATCACTTCTGCTTTTTTCCTTCCTTGTTGGAAAGTGTTTCTTGAATTTGGTTTTACTTTTCATAAAAATAACAAATGTGCTTGCCTCTTTTCAGAACTGCTAAGGTAGCTGCTGGCCAGGAAAAACATCTTCTCTTTGAGGTACAACCTGGGTCTGATTCATCTGCCTTTTGGAAAGTGGTTGTACGGGTGGTCTGTACCAAGGTAAGATTGGTAGTCTTCTGTTTCAGAGCTGATACTGTATTGGTAGTTAGAGGCACATTTAATAATGTAATAGACTATACATAAATGTTATTGATTTTGTAGAACATGGGGGGTGTACGTGCACACGTGTGTGTGTGTGTGTGTGTGTGTGTGTGTGTGTGTGTGTACTCTAGTACTAAATGTGTTAGTCTATGTATGCGTGTGTACATCATGATTGAGGCCAGACATTGACATTAGGCATCTGTCACACTTCACCGTATTTTTTGAGACAGGGTCTTTCATTGAACCTGAAGCTTACTTATCATTTTGTCTCGGCCGACAGGCCAGGAACCCCACCTCATGCCCAGGACCGTCTATTCTCTGCTCCCCTAGTGCTGGGCTTACATAAATACTCTTTTGCACCCAGATTTTATGTGGGTCCTGAGTATCTGAGCTTAGGTCTTCATGCCTGTGTAGTTGGCACTTTGCTGAACTACATTCTTGACCCTGAAAGCACTGTTTGATATTGTTGTTGCTTTCAAGCTGTTTGAATCTCACTGTTGTCTAATTCCAAGTCATAGAGATTATTATAATTGGGAGGAAGTGGTAGTAAACTTATCCTCACCCAACATCTGTCTTTTGAGGTTTAGCCAGCTATGGAGCCCTCAGAGGACATGTTATAGTTAGCTCTGAGGTGTTACCTTAAAAATTAGTTATCTCAGGAAGTTCGTTCTTTTGAGAACATTGTTTTACATTCACTTAAAAACAATATCCACTGGAGAGGCTGTGCTGATTTTTGAGTTATGGAATGAACTTTTGTCAGGAATGTACTATCTTATAGTTGAGTTTTTATATTTTAGGTAACTGCTAAAAGTATTTTGGCAGCTGTTACAGAGTATTAGAAAACTTCCTTCTCTCAGCAAGTTATTTAGAATAACAATTCTTAGTCATAGGCTTTTGAGAGGAAATGAATTTTATTAGCTCTCCTTCAGTTTCAACCCCTCTTCTAAAAGCTAAGGTAAGCCATATAAGCCATAATGTACACAGTCGTGAATGCCCTAATGTCCATTCGTGACCAATTGGACTCTCTACCAGGTGAGTCACTTGACAGTCTGAAATATACTATATAAAAGATAATACTCTGTTTATGGACATGGATAGAAGCTAATCTTGTTAAGCAAATCTTAAAGGACAAGGGGCAGTCTTAAGAGAATTATCTCAGAAGATTTCTTTTAAGAACATTGGGAACAACAACCCTTTTTGATGTGTATATAATACGCTAGAAAAAATGGTATTTTATTCTGCAAATAAATGCTAGTGAGTAACAGACCCCAGAGACGTCCTTAGTAGTCTGTCACATTTCCATAGTGAGTTGTCAGGTTTACTTCTGCCATGTTTTATTTCTGGTTTATTCAAGCAGAATAGAGCTAAGAGTGCAAGCAAATGCCATGTCCTCAAGGAAACTGATTATAGTTCAGGTCCTTGTCCCTTCCAAGTAAGAATGGCATAGACTCTGGTGATCTCCACGCCTCCAGAATCCTCCAAATTCCAGTTTATGCTGCCGTGAAATGGCTTTTCTGCCACACAGCTCTCCTCAGCTCTCTACCCTGCTTAACACTCTACAGTCCTCAATGCCTATGAAACTCACCTACTCTTGTATGTGGCATTCATGGCCCCCACCACGACTCCAACCTTCTTTTCTGCTTTAAGCACTATTCCATTTTACATTCTGCATGTCCATCACTGTTAATGAATTGAAGTTATTACTTTTACAGCTCACACCCTCTGTTTATTGAGTTCCCACAACTAGAACGTCTGTTCCTTCTGTCTCTTTAATGGTTATCAGCTATGAGTCAGAGAACACTTGTTTAAACAAGTTTAAACAAAAGCCGTTTATTTTCTCATGCATCAGCAAATCCTGATATAGTGGTTCCAGAGGTGGTTACAGGCCCAGCAGATGTCCATAACCATTGGTCAATACTCCAACACACACACACACACACACACACACACACACACACACACAAAAACACACAGTGGGGGGTGGAGAGAGAAGGAGAGGGAGATGGGAGGGATGATTGGCTTAGATCAGACTAACCAGTACTGATTCCTAAGGCATTTTAGGGAGTGGAGGATTCCAAAATAAAAGCAGGTGTGCCAGCAACTAAAGAGGGAACAAGACTTGGACAGTCAGCTGCTGTTCCCATCACTCTTGCATGTGGAAACATGATGTCTCCAATGGTCCAGCTTAGGTACCGTCTTATTCATAGTCTCCCTTCACAGAAATTTTCTAGCCTCTTCTAAATTCCAGTGGTTCTAGGTTTCTACTTCACCACTAACATTCAGTACTAAGAATAGTCAGGCTGGGAGATGGCTCAGCGGTTAAGAGCACTGGCTGCTCTTCCAGAGGACCTGGGTTCAATTCCCAGCATCCACATGGTAGTTCACACTGTCTGCAACTCCAGTTCCAGGGAATCTGACACCTTCACACAGACATACATGCAGGCAAAACCACCAATGTAAATGAAATAAAAATAAATTAAAACAAAATGAAGAGTAGAGTAGTTTGTTTAGTCCCTAATTTCCCTGTGGCTCCTTGGGCGGGAACTGTTCCTTGCAACTACGTGTCATGGCTGAAATATGTGCTTTGCATGCCGCAGCTCACCTTGTACTACATGACCAAAAACCTGTTGAAGAAATACTCTCCTTTGCATGGCCAGGGCTGAGTCTTCCCTTTTGTTTGGCATACATGTTACCTATATTATATTCACTCTTCATCCTTAGTTCATAAAATACTTAGTTTGCAAGGAAGAGACCTCTATAATTATCAGAATGTAAATGTATCAGGCTTCTGATCCCTTGGTTTTCTGTTACTCCTTTCGATACAGAGTTAATGTTTGATATTATTATTAGTCAGATTCTTTTTTGCCCCAGCAACTTTAACTGTGTTACTGTGTAGTTAAGTTTAAATTATTGTATTCTGTTGAAATTCTTTCTTTCTTTCTTTCTTTCTTTCTTTCTTTCTTTCTTTTTTGTTTGTTTTTCGAGAGAGGGTTTCTCTGTGTAACAGCTCTAGCTGTCCTGGAGCTAGCTCTGTAGACCAAGCTAGCCTCCAACTCAGAGTTCTGTCATTTCTTACAAGCTTTTTTGCCTGTCATTTCAGGCAAGCTTTATTTGTTAGAGTATAAACAAGACATCACTACATTCCCCTTTTGTCTAAAATAAAAAGGTTATAACTAACATAAGAAAAACTATACACAGTAAGTACAATAACTATATATAATATATACAGCAACAAATATATCAACAATGTCTAGTCTGTTAACAATTAACAAATTCAGAGAAAATACTCCATATCTATCCTATCTTGGTGAGTCCAAAAAGTTGTATCTACTTCACTTTTCATTCTAACTTGCATTACCACAACTATTTTTTTAATGTCTCTCAAACTTATACACTTTACCTTTCTTTGTTTGGGGGGGGTGTTTTGAGACAGTTTCTCTGTGGCTTTGGAGGCTGTCCTGGAACTAGCTCTTGTAGACCAGGCTGGTCTTGAACTCACAGAGATTCACCTGCCTCTGCCTCCCGAGTGCTGGGATTAAAGGCGTGCATCACCTACGCCTGTCTCACTTTACCTTTCTTTAAGGAATTCCTCTTCTGAATCTGGTAACAAGGAAAACTGTGGTGATATATTGTTTATGATTATTAAAGCTTGCCTGGGAATTCAGAAAGCAAAGTCATCCACAAGCCATAGAAGCCAGGCACACATCTTTAATCCCAGCAGCCAGAAGCTAGGAGGTGCTAGTACACACCTTTAATCCTAAAACTCAGGATTAAGAAGTAAATGGATCTCTCTGAGTTCAAAGCCACCTAGGGACACTTGAGGTTGAATCAGTCTAAAAGAGTAACAGATCACACGCCCTTAATTCCAGCACTAGAGAGGTATAAAAGCTAGAAGCAGGGTCTTCAGTATTCAGTAGGAGGCATTCATTCTCCAGCCATGCTGAGGAGAGACAACAGTCTGAGGCTTGGTGAGAGCTTGTGGATCCAGGATCAGCCCTTTCAGTCTGAGGTAGAGGTAAGAAGTTAGTGGCCACCTGCTTTGCTTTTCTGATATTCAGTTGAAGCTTGAACCCCAATATCTGTCACTGGGTCATTTATTTGTTTGTGTTACAGAAAACTATAACTATAAAGTCTTCAACTCCATCAGAGACCCGAGAAGGAAATAATATTACCTGAGTAAGCAGGAAGTGCAAGCAAGTGACTTCCATAAAATGTGAGAAATGACAGAAACCTGCCTCTGCCTCCCAAGTGCTGAGATTAAAGGTATATACTGCCACACCCAGTGAAATTCTTAAAATAAGATTCTGAGTAGAAAAATAAAAGTATTTAAGACAGCTGTGCACGCCTTTAATCCCAGCACTCAGGAGGCAGAGGCAGGTGGATCTCTGAGTTCCAGGCCAGACTAGTCTAGAAAGCGAGTTCCAGGACTGCCAGGCCTACACAGAAAAACCCTGGTCTTGGGGGGGGGGGGAAGCAAAAACAAAACAAAAAAGTATTAAAGGCAATGGCCATTAGCACCTTCTTTTGTATGTGCATTTCCTCCCCCCCCTTGATGGTAGATCTATTCAAAGAATTTTTATTTGCATTTCTTTGCAAAGGATGTTGTGAAGCCAGTATTTGGATTAGAAAGAGTTAAGGCTAGTGTGGAAAAATGATTTGGGCCAAAAGTGTTGTGTTTTTTCTCTTTATTTTTTTTCTTTTATTTTAATTAAAAAATTTTCAGGGCAGGGTTAGCAGTCTCAGTGTGTAACCCAGGCTGTCCTAACTAGTTCCTGGGAATCTGATGACCTCTTCTGATCTCCTCAGGCACCAGGCACACATGTGGTACACATAAATACATGCAGGCAAAAAACTGACACAGATAAAATAAATATGTAAAGCCCCCAAATTTATAGACTGAAGTGGCTGTTAAGAAAACTTCATTAGAGGGCTGAGTAGAAAGAGTTTAGTCAGCAAGACCCTTGCCATGCTATCATGAAGACGTGAGTTCAATTCCTGGAACCCACAGTTTAAAAAAAAAAAAAAAAAAAAAAAAAAAAGCCAGGCTTATTGGTATAATCCTAGCACTGAGGTGCAGGGGGTGGGGATGGGGAGACAGGAGGATCACTGGGGCTTCCTGGCCAGCCAGCTTAGCCCAATTAGTAAGTCTAACCAACACAAGACCCTGTGTCAAAGAACAGGTAAAAGGTGTCCTGAGGAGCAAACAGTGCCCAAGGTTGACCTTTCCTTCACACATATGCCCACACGTGAATACACCTGCATGTGTGTGGGCAGACAGGTCTTCATGAAGTGTGTGTCTTACACCTAGTGTGCTAAATTGACACCTTGCAGTTGTCCATTAGTGTTCCTAACCACCCATGTTCAGATTCTGGAGGCCCTCACGAGGTCCTCTCTACTTTGAGTTATTCATGATGGCCATCACTTCTCACCAAGAGTATTCCAGTCACCTCCCAAGAGGTCCCTGCTTCTGCTCTGGTATCCCTCTGTGTATTCCCAGCACAGAAGCCATTCCTTATCTGTGAAGTAGATCCTGTTATGATTTGGCTCAAAGCGTTCCCGTAGCCTCCTGTGCTTGGAATAAAAGTCAAAGTCATTGTTGAGATCAGCAAAGTTCTATCACTGCCTCACCTTCTAACTTATCTTTCACCACCTTTCCCTCTGTCTTACCAACTCCTGGCTCTTTATCTGGAAGCCTTCCTTGCCCTTCAGCTTCCCCTTTCCCTGTTTTATCTCCACTGCACTGATTTCCATCTAACATCCCCAGGTAGCCATATGTGACTCCTTCCAGTACCCCTTCTAGTTCTTAAATGTTTCTTTTACCTTGGGACCTTCCTTGCCCTTCAGCATCCTCTCTTCCCACCTTATGTCCACCACACTGATTTCCATCTACTCTAGTCTGTTCTTTGTCTCTCTTCCCTGTCATGCAGCTTGTACACAGCAGGGGTTTCTGTTTTATGCTACTTTGTCTTTAGTCCCTAGAAGTAATGCACATCATGCCCATAACATCTGCATTGTGGACACTCAATAAATACAAGGACTCTGTGATTAGAATAGTTACTGTATGACCCATTTCATTAATAGAGTAAGACCCTTATATGAGTCACCTCATAATGTATTCTATGTTATGCAGTTTCAAAAGAACACTGGCCCACTTTTCTGAGTTCTGAAGGCTTATTCTAAATGTTTCTGTAAATTCCCTGTCATGTTTTATTTGTTCTCTCTATATAGTTTTTTTTTATTGCAAAGAATCTTGTATGTTTGAATCTCCACATAGATATTAGCTTCCCAAAATTTAATCAGGTTTTTGAATATTAGATATGATTTTATATTTTCACAGTATGGAATCTGACCCTTTATTGAGTCTCAATATTTTTTGCTACTTTCTCAGATAGTAAACAATTAATAAATGATTAGTTATACCTTAGCATTTTCATTCAAATACTGCTGTGATAATTTTAAATCTATGTACAGTCTGTGTTCTCATATTTTCTTTTCTATGAGCACATTTAACAATCCTTAGGCTCACTGTTACTGTCCCTGCCCTTTTCTGTCTTTTTGAGACAGTCTTGTTGTGACATCCAGCCTCCTGGGTCCTGGGATCATTCAGGTATATACCCCACACCCAGCCAGTTCAACTCTCTACATAGTTTCTAGCCTTTCTAGTCTTTGGATAATGTTGTTTCTTTGTTTTTACTTTTTGTTTGTTTGGTTTTTGAGACAGAGTCTCATTACATAACCCAGGCTTGCCTTAAACTTGAATCGGTCCTCCTGCATCAGCCTCCTGTATGCTGGGATTACAGGAATGTACCACCACTCTCAGCTTTGTACAGACTTCTCTACCACCTCATCTGCTGAAAAGAAGTCTATCTACCTATAACTAATCTCTGATTATCTCATGCTCTTCAAAAGCATTACATCCTCATTCTGCTGATTTCAGTTATTTCAAAAGATAATGTGTGTTCCACTCTGATTTTCTCAAGTCTTATGAAAGTGTCCTCTATCCTTGTCTCAAGTATGGTGCATCAGATTGTCAAGTGGAAAGGAAGCTACAAAGGAACTATCACCAAGCCACTGGTTCAACTTCATAGGAAATGAAATTTTATGAAATCTCAAAATTCAGTAACTTTTTATAGTTTAATGTAGCATTTAGGTTTAGTTTAAAAGTACAAAGTAGCATAAAGATGTTCAAGAACTGAGCTGAGGAAATAGCTCAGTTGGTAGAGGGCACTGTGCAAACATGAGGGCCTGAGTTTGATCTCCAGAACCCATGTTGGGGAGGGGGGGAATCTAAGCATTACAGCATGCTTGTAATCTCAGGAGCAAGGAGGTAGAGACAGGTAGATGAATCCCTTATGCCTCCTGGTTTGTTGAAAGTTTCAGGCCAAGTGAGAGAACTTCAAACAGACAGAGCAAGTAGCCAGTGTCCTACCCTGTTGTTATCAACTCCAGACAGGATGCCTGATCAACTTTTCGAGGTTATTTTGAATGTCAGATGGGAAAATTTTTTAAGTTCTCTAATGAACTACACAACTGAAGAGAATGTGAGTATTCTTTAATCAGACACTTATTTTCCTAGGTACATTCCATACCATAAATTTCTGTTTCCTAGGATATTTGACTGAGTTGTGTGTCTGTGCCCCCCTACCTTCCCCATTGTTTCTAGATTAACAAAAGCAGTGGTATTGTGGAAGCATCACGGATCATGAATTTATACCAGTTTATTCAGCTTTATAAAGACATCACAAGTCAAGCTGCTGGAGTGTTGGCTCAGAACTCCACCTCTGAAGAGCCAGATGGGAACCCGTCCTCTATAACGTCATGTCAGGCTAGTCTGTGGATGGGCAGGTATGTGTGTACCATGTAACACAGTTACAGTGAATAAGCAAAGCTCTGAGATCACAGTGACATTCTCCCTAGTGCTTGGTGACACCCTCAGGCCTGTTACCTCTGTCAGTGTTATAGCCAGATCAGTTTTAGGTTATCCTATTCTTCGATTCATTTTACAGTCCCAGATTAAGGTGGTTCACAACAGGAAATGTTTCTGTCAGCTCACTCTCTGGGGAACCCACTCTCTGTCTCTTGAATTTAATAACATTAATTACTGATGCTTCCCCTTTAACAGGTTTTTAGACAGTCAAAGCCATTTATAAAATTAGGTCCAAGAATCTGGCAAAATTGTTTCAGAAATGATGTAATTGGAAGTTAAATTTTTAAATATTGTCTCCAGGCCTTGGTGGTCTACTTAGTAAAGAACAAGCACTTGTATGCATGTGGACACTGCATTAGCAGGAGGAAATGATGTCAGATGGAGTTTACCATGATGGCACCTGCTTACTCGGGCCTCATGTATTACTGTTCTGTCTGAGCTTTTCTTTGTCCATGCTTTTGGTGTTGCAAGTTCCCTGCTGCTGCTGCTGCTGCTGCTTGACATGACATATTTAAATTTGTAAGTGCCTTGTTGGAGAAAGACTTCTGTGTTTCCAGGCGTGTTGATATCTTGTCTTACTGGGACACTGGGAGATGGCAGAATCTGCATTGACTCTGCCCTAATTAAGTTAAGTCTGTGTTTGACAGGGGTTTCCCTTTTATTGCTTTATCCACAGTTGCATTTTTGCTCCATTCTGAGTGTTTTGAAAGCTGAAAGTGGTTTTTACATCTGTAGCCACTGAAAAACAAGTGGCATTTCTCTTCCTGTTGGGGTCGTCTTCAGGAAGATGGTGAAAGTGTTACTCTTAAAGACTAGGAAAAGCCGTACCAGTTGGTTAGGTAAGCCAGCACTTGGCTTCATGCATTGTGGGCTTCTAGTGGTACCCTAGTACCCAGGTCATAGAAAAAGACTTTGCAAGTAGAAGGTGAGCCTGGGGGCTTCTGCAGTCCTGCTTCACTTAGATGCATAGTTCTGTTAGTAGCTAATGTTTGCTGAGTACTTGCAGTTCATTAAATCCTAACAGTTATTCCACAGGAATACAATTAGTCAGATGAGGAAAGCGGGTTTAGAGGAATAAGTGTGTGACTAGATATTGATTGACATAGCTAAAGACTCACGTTTAGCCCATTGATGCTCAGTGGTTTGGAGGAGGAGCTGGAGATTGTCCAATTCTGAGATGCTCCAGTGCCTCTGATCCTAGGCAACTGCTCTGTGTGTGCTCTACAGGATCAAGACTGCACCATAGTTCACCGAATGGAAACCAGCTTGTACTTACAAGTTGCATTACCACTAGCTCCCACAGCTTTGTGAGACTCACTGTCTCAGAGAAGCAATCCTCTTCATATCCAGATAGTTTTAACTACTGTGAAGGTTTTCTTTTTGCCTTCTAGCCTCAGAGTAGTCTCAGTCTGGCCCTCTGGAAGCAGCACAGCAAAGGCCCTAGAACCAACTTGCCTGTGTTCAAACCTTAACTCTCCCCTTTCCTCAGTTTGAGAGCAATGGCATCTGCCCTAGAGGACTGGTGAGAGTTAAGTGAGTTAATAGATGAGACACAGAATAGTACCTGGCACATATTGGTATATGTGGGGGCATTAACTCTCACCATTATTATTAAATTATAGAGTGCCCTGCTCGATAAATTATAGAGTAGCCATGCATGACCTCTGGAATTCCACCAAACAAGTCTGATTTCTTCTGTCCTTCAAATGTTGAAAACTAATCAAATTCCTACTGAGCCTTGATCTTCAGAATAAGTGTCTCCAGCTTTGGTTTCCTGAGTTCTTCCTGCACTGGTGTCCTGTGTGGTCCTCATCTGTCAGTGTGCCTCTCAGGGGCTGCAGTAGGAAGCGGCACCCTTCCAGCTCCAAGTGGTCAGATAGAGCAAGGTTCCTTCCTCCTGCTAACTGTGCTACTAGGAAGATAGCAGAGAGTAGCATGGAGCAGCTTCTGCTGGCAATCTGTCTCTGTTTTCTCTGACTACCATGCTATTCTTTGTAATGGCCTTCTGCTCCTGACTCTGAAACTTCCCTGTCAGGACACCCTGTCACTCTGTAGAGTCTGCTGTGTTCTCAGCTGCTGACACCCTTGGGTGACGACTGGACACTCATAAGCAGAAATGCTAGACCATTGGACCTGAAAAGGCACTTAAATGTCAATATATGTGTATAAATGTTGGTATGCATATTTGTACGTGGCTAATGTATGTGCATACACAACTGTATGTATGAATACACATATCAGATCCACACTCATGTAGGTTTCCACCCATTTCACCATTTCAGTTCAATGAGCACTCTTTTCTCCATGATTGAAGCAAGCATTAATCTGTTACCTCACCCTAATGGTATGCCTGTTGTAATTCTCCTTAAACCAGGCCCTAGCTGTCTTTCAAGTGTACTGTGAGATAAGATCCTACCTCGTTCCCTCTCTCTATACTGCCCCTTGCTCTCTCTACTCTTAATTTTCCTGAAGTCCTGTATCAGTGGGGATTTGTGTTCCCTTGATTAGACACTGCTTCTAGTTTGCCTCTTAAAACAAATTCAGATTTAGTATTTTAACATTCAAGAATCAGATTGTCTTTTCTATATAATGAGTCCTTTCTCTCAGTTTAATGCCTGAACACACACACACACACACACAGAGGTTTCGTGTTTTTGTTTGTTTGTTTCATGCTTCTGTGGCTTACTTTATACTCCTAGAATGTTCTCTATCAATGTTCTGTGATTTCTCTCTCATTTTTCTAAAGTCCTTACTTTACTTAGCACATACTATATGTGCTGCACATTTGATATTTGTTTATATTATGTTCATATCAACAGATTCTGTTATTGCCATGCCTTACATGCTATGCTATAAATACAGCAGGAGATGGAAATACATCAGACACAGCTCCTGCCTTTGAGAAGAATGTCTGTACTTTAAAACAACAGAAAAGCACAAAGAGTGCAACATTTAAATCACTTTAAGGAACATTGTATTTTTAAAAAACTAACCTATGGGGTGACTCACCATGGAACAGCTGTATGCAATTTTAAAATCATTTAATTGAGGCAAAATTTAGTTTCGAAAGCAGAAGGAGATAGGTATTTTAAGCTGAGCTACTGGAGTTGGAGTTGATTAAATTCCACATGCAATGGAGCATGGTTCCTGTTGCTCAGGGTTGTGGAGGGGAGAAGGTTTCTTCCTGGGAGCTCCCTGAGATTGCTGGGCTCCAGCCCTTTTGTGTTTCCTGTGCCATCTGATACTTAACCACTGTGCTGTCCCTTCTCTTCTCTGATACTGTCAGTGCCACTCTAAGGTCCTACTGATGAGGCAGCATTGTGTCCTTTATGGCAAATAAATGATATCCTGGCTCATTTCCTATATGTAAATTCAATATACCTAAAATGGAATGAGTTATTTCAGAAAGACCTGAATATACAGTTTTTGTTCAGATTTTGTTTCCTTTAACCTACTCAGAATTTCTTCCCTAATGTATTTGCTATCCCCAAAAGATGTTAATTTTGGTTTCTTGTTCACTATACACATAAGTCATGCTGAGCTTTATGCTGTGGGTGTTTACTGATGCTTCTTAAGGCAGTGAAACAGTAGGAAGCGTATGGACAGAGACTGTCATTGTTCCAGCTATTTTCACACTCAGGGTGAAGCAGCTGACTGATGAGGAGGAGTGTTGTATCTGCATGGATGGCCGAGCTGACCTCATCCTGCCCTGTGCTCACAGTTTCTGTCAGAAGTGTATTGATAAATGGTAAGTTATCCACTGCCCTTGGGGATAGCAGAGGTCAGCTGGACTGTGAATAAACAACTGGAAATACAAATGTTTCAGTGCTAGCCACTGGAGCTTTGCTCTTTAGTACTCTGAGTTTTATGGTATGCTGTCCACTAGTTCAGGTACTTTTTATACCTAATGCTTATGAAATGTGGAGATGCAACTTGGTTTTAACACTGTAAGAATCTTTTTTGGTTTTTCAAGACATGGTTTCTCTGTGTAGCCCTGGCTATCCTGGAACTTGCTCTGTAGACCAGGCTGGCCTCGAACTCAGAGATCTGCCTGCCCCTGCCTTCTGAGTGCTGGGATTAAAGGTGTATTCCACCACTGCCTTGCCTGACACTGTAAGAATCCTGATGCCTAGTTTGAATCTAGAATCAAACACTTCCCCCTTTTTGGCTCCCCTCCCACCCATAATTCATTATATGTATGTAGAGGAACAAATCCTCAGCTGTATGATCTTCATCTAGAAGGATGTTTGGTCAACTAACTAAGGTCATTTGCTTACAAGACAATGGAGCATTTAGGAGAATTTATAATTGACATGCAATAAGCTATACATGTATCTGAAGTATAATCTGATAAGCTTTAATTTATGTGCATACTAATGAAATCTGTCACAACAAGATGAGGAGCAATCCATCACGCCCCAGAATTACCTGTAGCCTGATTCTTAAGTAGCTGTTAAATGCTTTCATTTGCTGAAAATACTTTGGATTTGCTAGACTTTTTAAAATTGGCACCATACAGTGCTCTCTGTTGTCTAGGTTCTTTCCTTCAGTATAGTCATCTTCAGATTTAACCATGTTGTAGGTGCAGGTAAGTACCATGTAAAAGCTTCTATATATGTTTGTGAACAAGTATTTTTTATGGACATGTATTTTGATTTTCTTCGGTAGCTGCCTCAAGTGGCCAGATCAGATATAACAGATGTTTCTCAAGAAATTGCCAACTCAGTTCCAAAGAAGTCATACTTTTTAAAAGAAAAAGCTTTTTTTTTTTTAATTTTTTTTTGAGACAACATCTTTCATTGTATAGACCAGGCATGCCTCAATTGGAACTTGTGTCAATCCTCCTGCCTCAACCTCCCAATTCTAGAATTATAGATGTGTGCCACCACGGCTGGCTTCTTACCCTTTTTGTGCCCTCTCCAGTACTACATAGGAGTTTCCACTGTCTTTAGCCAGCATTGTAATCAGGCTCTCACATACCCTGGTGTCTGTGCATCTTAGATGATGGTCTGTTGGAGTCTTTGCCTGTTTTGTTACTGGAAGTTTTGCATTATCATATGATTTGCACTTGTTTCTCCCCCTCTGTGGCTTGTCTTCTTTGTCTTGAGACAAAGGGAGAAGAAGTTTTTTGTTTTTATGAAGCTAAATTTCAATTTGTGACAGAGAGAGACCCTATCTATGAAATCTTCCTGCCTCAAGGGCACATAAGTTATTAATCTTCTACAAGTTTAGGGTTTCACATTTAAGTCTATGCTCTATTTTTAGTTAGTTTGTCAAAAGACTGTCTTCACTAAATTGGCTTTGAACCTTTTTTGAAATTAGTTGTTCAAGTATAAGTCAGTTCTGAACTTTTCTGTCCCCTGATCTGAATCTGTTTCACTCCAGTCTCATGCTGTCCTGCTTTCTATAGCTTTACAAATCTCTGCTTTCCAAAATCATTTGGACTGGTCCAGGGCTTTGGCATTTTAATAAGAAGTTTAGAATTAGTGTATAAGCTCCACAAAAGATTCTGCAGAGACCTTGATTGATACTGTATTAGCTACATCAGTCTGGGACAGTGGCTTCATCATGTTTAGTTAGCCCTCTGATTTCTGCAAGCAGTTTTATAGTGCTCAGTGTTGCAGATATTGGGCAGATTTGCCCTTGGGTATTGTATTCTACAGTTTTGCTCTGTTCTAATTAGTTTTTGTTTGTTGCTAGTGCATAAGATGACACTAGTCATTTCACATCCATCTTGTATCTTGAAGTCTTATTAAACCACATATTATTTTTGGAAACTTTCTTCTGCAGATTCTGTTGAACATCTTGATGATTCTATTAGACATCTAACCATTGTTTTTCAAAGATACCTTTTCTGATACAAAATTCTAGGTCAAGTGTTTTTTCTTCCAGACTTTAGTGTTGGGCTCTACCTCATCTTGCTTTGTGTTCCTAGGAGCAGCTGTCTCTTTATTGTTCCCCTCCGAGCAGGCAGTGTGCCTTCTTTTCTCTTCTGTCTGTTGTAAGGTCTTTATCTTTTAACTGCTTTTTAAGCTATTTGAGTAGGAGATGCCTGTTGTCACTCCAGGTTTCTTGTGCTTGGAGTTTGTTGATATAGTAGGTTGATGGTTTTGTTGATATTGGAAATTTTTCAGCCATTGTTTTCTCAAATCTCTTATATGCCCCTTTTCCACTCTCTTCCTGTGACCTCCATTACCATGTGTTATACCCCCTGAATTTTACTTCATTTGGGCAGTCACTGTGTTGTCACACTCCCTAGTATCTAGATATTTGTTTGCCTTGTACTAGCCCTCACTTCTGTGTCCACTGAATATTGTGGCTCTCTAGTACTTTATGTGGACTATAGTTACAGCTTCTCATTCATCTGCTATAGTTCTAATTTCATGTCAGTTCTACATTTTTTATTGTTTTTCCTCTATATGTGTCTTGCAATAGTTTTCTGCTACTTATCTGCCTTATAGTTTTTTATTAAGTACTAAATATTATGAATTTTACCTTTCTAGTTAACAATTTTTTTATTATTGTTAACATTCAAGCTTTGTTTTGGAATATGGTTTGCTTACTTAGAAGCACTTTGACTCTTTGGATCCTACTGTTACAGTTTGTTAGCAGGAGCAGAACAAAGTTTAGTTTCCTCTTATTATTCCCCATGGATGTGACAGAATCCTTCAGAGTGCTTTACCCAGTGCTCCAAGAGTTAGGAGGGTCCAATCTAGCTGTGAGGACACCACCCTGTGCCCTCTGAGGCCTTTGCATACACCTCTCAAATTTCAGCCTCCTGGCATTTGCTCACATGCTCACACTGGTGCACTATTTCGTTCAGTGGAGGGCCTGCTGTCTCTTGACACTGCTCCTCTCTGTGTGGCTCTCTGCTGTGCAGTGCTCTGCCCTGTAACTCTAGCTGCCTTGCCTCAGCTGTTTCTACAATAGTCTGCCAGGCCTCAGGTCCCCTACTTCTTTTTCTGAGTCCTGGAAACTCACAGGGCGGCTGGCTTGCAACCACAGATTCACTTTGCTTCTCACTTCTTGGGAGTCACATCCTTGTCTGTGTCCAGTGCTTTATATGAAACTCATCAAACACCATTCTTTTGGACAGTGTCCTGTGTGTTAGTTGTTTTAAGTGGTAAGATGTCTTAGGGTTTCTATTGCTGTGAAGAGACACCATGATGACAGCAACTCTTTTTTTTTAGTTTTTCGAGACAGGGTTTCTCTGTGGCTTTGAAGGCCATCCTGGAACTAACTCTTGTAGACCAGGCTAGTCTCGAACTCACATAGACCCCCCTGCCTCTGCCTCCCAAGCACTGGGATTAAAGGCGTGGGCCACCACCGGCTGGCGACAGTAGCTCTTATAAAGGAAAAACATGTAATTTAGGTGGCTTATATTTTCAGAGGTAATTTAATCAGATTTTAAATAATTAAAAATAATTAAATTATTTTCAGATAATTTAATCCATTATCATCACAGTGATATGCAGGCAGACATGATGCTAGCTACATTTTGATCAGAAGGCAACAGGAAGTGTACTGAGACACTGGATGCGGCTTGAGCATATATGAGACCTCAAACCCTGCCCCCAAGTGACATACTTCCTCCAACAAGGCCACACCCACTCCAACAAAGCTGTACCTCCTAATAGTGCTACTCCTTTTGGGATCCATTTCTTTCAAACCACCACAGAAAATAAATCAGGTTTCTGCTGGCCAGAAGCAGAAATTGACTGTTTTTAAATTATGATGTTTTATTTATAGAAAAGCACACATAATGATCTTGTAAACCATCTCTGGGGAGCCTAAAATCAACTGAATAATGTATGCCAACTCCAAATTTCACATCTAGTTTTTGGAATAAGTTTCTCAGTTTTTACACAAAAGCAAAAGAACAGTTGATGAACTGGTTATTCTGGCCCTAATTTCACTGGGAGAAGGGAAAACATTGTCTTTTCCTTTCATAATGTATTTCAAGTTCAAATATGGTATTTAAATTTCCAAAGTAGTATTTGATGAAGGAAATCCATTTGAAAAACATAATCTTAAGTAATCACATATGTATTCTGTATCAGAAAATTATCCTGTATATAAGTGTCATCTCTTGTTTTAACCCTCAAATGCTCCATCTTTGTACAATTTTCTAACATTTTCTTGGTTTTAAACCAAAGGATATTTTATCAGACCTTTAGTTGTAATTAACTTGTCAAAAGTCTTTTATTTTACTCCATGTGGTGGTGCATGCCTTTAATCCCAGCATTTGAGGAGGAAGAGGCAGACAGATCTCTATGAGTTCAAGGCCAGTCTGATCTACACAGCAAGTTCTGTGCCAGCCAGGGCTGCAAAGAGACCCTATCTTTAGAAAAAATGGCTTTTAGTACTCAGAATAATAATTAGTATACTAATTAGTAAATACTAGTAATGCCACCATGTGCCTACCACTGGCCAAACATGAGTCCCAAGGCACAGTGGCTTCTGCTTAAAGATAGATAAATATTTAAATATTACACTGTGATCAACTCTCCCACTGGTAAGAGGTAGCTTCCTCTTAGGACACATAAGGAATCTTTATTGTGAAGGAAAACTTATTTGGGTGCAGGAATAAGAATTAAAGACCCTGGCTGGTGGTAGCAAACAAGATGGGGACTAGGTTCTTTCTGCTGGAGGTTAGTTGGATACTTTATGGCATCTCCATACAGTACATGTTTTTAACAAAGAGTAAACTGAAGTCCAGGTGTGTTGATGTGCGCTACAGTCCCAGTCCCAGCACTGAGCAAGCTTACAGCAGGAGGATGTCAAGTTCTGGGCTAGGCTAGATGTTATATAGCAAGACTGTGTCTCAAAGGAAAAAGCAAAAAGACTAGCATAACATATGCTGGTACGAAATGGTTTCTAAGATATTTGGATAGTAGTACAAAGTCAGTGAGACACATACGTACTTCCTGGTTTCCTACAAGTGTGAGGTTTTTAATTCATCCCTAGTAAAATATGTAGACAACTGGTTGACCCTGGGAAGAGAATTAAAGATTGGGATGAAGAGAAATATTAATTCTTCACTGTGTACTTTTATGTTGTTTTCATTTTTTAAAGCTGTGTACTTTTCAAACAAACTTGTTTTTTTAGAAAAAGAAAGAAACTTGTTTTGCTTGGACTTCCCTGACAGGAGTGATCGGCACAGGAACTGCCCCATTTGTCGCCTACAGATGACTGGAGCGAATGAATCATGGGTGGTGTCAGATGCACCCACTGAAGATGACATGGCTAACTATATTCTTAATATGGCCGATGAGGCAGGCCAGCCTCACAGGCCATGACTAGGGGAAGACTTGTTATTGTGAACTACAGATACACTGTGGTCATAGAGGAAGAGTAGAGGGATGTGTGGCACACACAGGAACATCAGTTTTCCCACCCTCTTATTTTTGCTACTCTGATAATATATCCCATTCTTAAATAAACTCCCATGTCTTCCATGTAGGGTGGGCTACACTTTGCTACTGTTTGGCCATAGTCCTCACAGTCGACCTGTTCTTTGTTGCTCTTGAGCCCTTTGCTACAGATAGCAGCAATACTTGATATTACTACTTTTCAGGGAGGGGGCATTTTTAGATAGGTTTAAAATTTAGGGTGTTGAAAGTTGTAACCATCTGAGATAAAGGACTGAAACTGTCTCAGTGGGAGTTGCTACTGCTGGGACCTGAGGCGAGTGTACTCCGCCCCCTTGTGGTTTATTCTGGATCCTCCAATACTGTGGCCCATTTGCTTCCTGATGTTACAAGTAACTTCGGCAGTGGTTTCTAGGACTACTCTTTATCATTGCCATGCTGCTTACTCAGAGAAGGACACAGAAGTTGGGACTTCATCTTGCAAATGGACTCTACTGGAAGAATCTTCATGGCTGTTCTCCAGACCTGGGGAAGTGTTCACTGGATTTTTCTTAATGCCCATGTAGCTTGGCTTTTCAGAAGGAAATCTTTCTTTATCTCAGACACATATTTTGTATTTCCAGGTTACACTGAGTCATCCAATACTGAGCTAGAGTGTGTTTATTTTAGGTAACGGTAACTCTCAGAGGCTTCAGTTTCCTCAGGTCTCTTAGATTAAAAGAAAAGGAAGATCAGATGAAGTTTTTTTACCATGCATTTGTAAACCCCTGAAATCCAGAGAATGATTGGCTTTTTTCCCATTTCTCTGTACTCCTTCAAGTGTGGAGTGGACAATATGGTAATAGGAGTGCAACCCTCAGCCGATCTTGGCCTTGGCTTATGGAATAAGAATGTTGATGTTAACGGTTCAGCTAAACTAGTGCATGAAATCAAGTCACCTTTAAGAAATTTTATCATTCCATAGAAATTTTCTCACTAATTGTAAATTTTCCTCTTTTCCTAAGTACAAACATACACAATTAAAGTTGCTGCTTATTGATTTTTAATTAAGATCTTACTGGGCTTGCAAATAAAATCCCTTTCAAAGAAAAAGATCTGACTTGATTCTGCCCCCCAAATACCAAAGACTTAAGCTGTGTACAGATTGTCGTGATAGAACAGTGAAGTATAAAATGGCCAAGTAGACCTCCTGGGTGTGGGCAAGTACAGTGCTGTCCTCTCTTCTAGCTTAGCTGTGTAGTGATGGTTTCCCAGCTTGAGACAGCCTTACTCTACTGTAGGTTCCTGTTGAGAAACTGAGACTGAATTTGTGGCTTTCAAACCTTAGCAGTGAAGCTCCTCCTCCTCCTCCTCCTCCTTCTCCTCCTCTTTTGTTTTTTTGTTTTTCGAGACAGGGTTTCTCTGTAGCTTTGGAGGCTGTCCTGGAACTAGCTCTTGTAGACCAGGCTGGTCTGAACTCACAGAGATCCACCT